CGGCCCCCCCCCCGCTCCCCCCGCCCCCCCGGGCCGCCCGCCCGCGCCCCCGGGCCCCCCCCCCCCCCCGCGCCGAAGAAACAAGAGAAGAGGAGGAATTAAGTAGGTTGATACATGGGGACTTGCGGACTTTCTATCTCCACCGTAGTAGTTTATGTAGTTAATTAAAAGATAAAGATGAGAAATAGACTAATGAGATATGAGGGAATTCCAATCCCGCAGGTTACACCGAGTCACCGACTCCGTTTGGTTTCTTTTACCTGTATATAATGAAAAAGTATGAAAAGTGATATGTAAAAAAGAGACAGGGACGAGAAGTTTGATAGGTGCCCCCTGTCGGTGTACCGCGCTCAGCTCTAAGTTAGTTATACCTTGTTCGGTACATGATTTCATTCATTCATCCACGTGGTGGCTATTGTCGGTTTCATTAGCTTGGGACCGAGATCGGAGATAGTTATCTGGAGGCTTTGATTGGATTAGGGTCTGGTTTAGGCTTGCTTTTTTCTGGGGTAGATCTAGACCGCATGTAAATATGTACATCTTAAGGGGGGATACATATAGTTACGCTAGTTATGTCTTCAACTTATGGAATATAATAACGACGGCGACGTGGTATAGGTTAGGTACCTGATATATAGGTGTCATAACAGGTAGTCTGTGGTTATTTCTTAAGAGCTGCCATTATTTTGACGCTATTCCCATCGGGCTTCGGTTAGTATACTGTATCTAAAAACTCGGATTAGGTACGTCAATTAGCTAACCCTTTAGCTAGTACGCAACAACGCTTCTCTTGAAAATTAATATATCCATGAAGTCTAACGTCACTGTAATGCAGCATGGCCTATTCACTCTCCGTTCCTGGTCTTATTGCACGTGAGCACCGAAAATCGCGTAGGTATAGGATACCTCAGGTGGGCAGTTAATGGGATTCCTAACATGCAGAATATCAGGTTTGGAAGTTCAAACACGTGTAGCATATATTGCAAGCTTATAATGAAGGAGTACGCAGACGGAGGAGTCATCTTCCAACCATGCTTTCATTCAATCTATCCGTTTCCCCATCAGTAGTTAGATATTGAATGAGTGCTGTTCATACAGAGACTACCTAGTCCAAGACTCAGTGTAGAGGAAGGGCATGACTGAATGGGAGCATCTTGAGGATAATGTAAACTATGCGATGGGATCTACCTGTATTCTATTCACTGTCGTAAGGACAAGACACGACATTCTTAGAAATTTCCTATATATAAATAAATATTTTACCCTTCATCTTTGCCCCCTTTTTTTATCCAGACATCTCATCGTCAACTCTTCTGTTAATACCAGTCCTCGATACTTTAGGTATCAACAGCAGACAATATGGGGTCTCGTCCTACCAACAAGCTATTTACGCCCACTATATTGGCCCTGGAACCCAAACGGGGGAACGCTATACCTAACCACGATGGAACAAAGGTTCTCTATTATGAATCTACGCCTACAATCGGCGAGGGCGCAACCAAACGCTGGAAAGTTATGGATATCGCGACCGGAGAATCGACCGTAGCCATCGAGAGCAACGATGCATACGAGGCGGCTTGGTTGTCAGATGAGCCCGGTAAGATCATATCCCTGCAAAAGGACGTGGATTACCCAGATTATACCGACGTCATGATATACGATATTCATAAACGTATGAAATGGCACCGCGCCGCCCGTATATTTTCGTGGGTGCATGGCCTCAAAGTGAAGCGCCTCAAAGAAGGCCGCATCGCATTTGTGGTTTTTGGCCGCGTAGGTATAAATGGCGAGCTGCGAAATGAGAATGAGTATCAGAGACCACCCCATACAGGCCTAGTATATGATACCGGCGAAGTCCTTAACGTATGAGACCCCTTATCGAAGCCCCCCCCTTTGGCGATCTCTACTTTACTTATTACTGCATTAATAGAGACTAACATGACGTGGTTATTAGCCGGGTTCATTTATCCAGCCTGACTACAGGTCCGCAATATTTTACTCCATCTTGGTGGAAAAGCGTACGTCGGGAGGTGTTTCGTGGCAGTTAGCCGGTCAGCTGCACAACGCTCTTGCAAATACGGGCCTTGCCCCACAGGAATTCGATATATCTCAGAATGGAATCGTATTTGCGGCCCAGGACCTCATTCTGGAGCCCAAGCCCATTCGGCGTCGTAGTCACGCTTACATCCTTCAGCTTGATTCCTTCGCTAGAGCTAGTACTCAAGGGCCTAGGAAAATAATATTACCAGATAACCCCCCAGACGACGGTCCGTATGAAAGCCGTTTTCATGGTAGAGACCCCCATTTTAGTCCCGACGGCTCTGAGGTCGCATTCGGAGAAGGTTATAGCATCTATCTCTACCATCTTGGCACACGCAAGACTGTCAACGTACTTGATACGTTTGCGGACAAAACATTGCCATGGACAGCTGGCCTTATGCGGTTCGCCCGAAGTGGTAACGCGGTATACCTCACTGCTGAAAACCACGGAAGGGTTAGTATATACAAGATTGACCTGCGGTCACGTACAGAACCTGAGCTGCTTTTCCGTGGTGGGAGCGTAACGTCGTGTTACCCTCTTGGTGAAGATGACGCGAGCGTCCTTATAACCAGCTCTAGCCTTGTAGACGGGTCGCTCTACAACATCGTCAATGCTGACGGAAGCCAGGAGTCTAAAGTGCTTTCATCACTCACGAACCATGGCGCTCGGCTTGGCATTTCTTCGAGCCAGATCTCAGAGATATACTTCAAAGGCGCAGGTGATGATTATGTTCACGCATGGATGGTGAAGCCTAGCCATTTTGAAGAAGGCCGAAGATACCCTGTGATGATTTGTGTGCACGGAGGTCCGATGTGCTCCTGGCAAGATGAATGGGATGCATGCGTATGTTGGTCTTTCATATCCCTTTCCACCCAATGTGTTACTGACTTACGAATGCCTCTAGTCTCCATTCCTTCTATATGCTGAACAAGGCTATATCATTGTGGCTCCGAACATAACGGGAAGTACTGGCTTCGGATTAAAATTTAGAAATGGTATGTAACTAACTATCTTAACTATAAGATCAGAAACTCACATCAGTACCTAGCAATTCGAGAGAGCTACGGCGGTCGTCCTTATGAAGATCTAGTAAAATGCATGGATTATCTCGAGAACGACCCCAACATTGATATCAACAAGGCAGTCATGATAGGCATAAGCTATGGAGGATACATGGTAAATTGGGTGCAGGGGCATGGACTCGGCCGACGCGTGAGTACTCGCCTGATTCAGATAACATTCCTTATGGTCACCAACTGCTAATTTTCCTTTCCATGTTAGTTTAAGGCTATGGTTTCCACTGCTAGCATCTTCGACCTACCAATCAACTTCCTGCAATCGGACACAAAGACAAGCTTAGTCGAAAGAAACTACTTCAGCGGCTCGGAAATTCTGTGGGAGAACTATGAGATGCTACAACGGTTCAATCCGGCACGTCCGGACCTCCTCCCCAACTGGAAAACCCCTATGCTCATCACCCACGGCGGCGCAGACTGGCGAACGCCAACTCCCAACGCCATAGCCGCATTCCGCACGCTGCAGAACCTGGGAACGCCGTCCAGGCTCATTATATACCCCAACGAAGGCCACGCGAAAGTAAAAGCTGGCGATATCCTCCAGTACCAAAGCGAGGTTATCTCTTGGTTTAATAAGTATACCGGCAATGCGGAGGAGGAAGTGGCACGATGGGAAGACGAGCTGGTTGACAGCCTTGGTGAGGATGGCTACCTTAACCCGGACTGGGGACAGCATAAGCATTATCTACCTTATGACAATTGGCTCTTTAGAGCTTTTCCCGGTGATGACGATGGGGATGATGAAGCGAATTAGTTCCACATTAGGATCGCGGCAACTGAGATACACACCTCTTTTGACCGTCAATATATTTTTAATACCTGAAGACAAACACCCAGTGTCTGTTTATTCACGCTTAGTTTGTATGTATACATCTACCTAAATGACATACTTCATACGCTGAATGCTCTACAATGGTGCTTCACAACGCCCCAAATATCTATTATTACCAAACCAGATAGCAATATATACCATGTAGATAGATAAACTCCAGATCCTCCCACCAGGCGCACTGCATTACTGAGCGAACCCCAAGATGGTTGTCGCGAAAAGTGCCTACACACCTGCAGACAAGTAGCTCTATCCACAAATATGTGAGGTAGGTACCTAGGAAATAACCGAACTATTTTAATAAAACATAAGGCAGGCAGCTAAGATCTCCCCTGATGCGTATTAAGACACACAGGAAGGTTGATCGGGATATGCAAGATCACCATCTTCGAACATATGACTACGAGATGCCCACTTTGTCTACCTTCTTTTTTACAGGAAGAGAATGCCATGGAACAAAAAAGAAAAACATCTTTCTGTAAAACTTAGTTCTGGCCAATTACATCCAGAGAAAAACGACCGCCACTATGTTCATGCATCTCCATGCAGGAGCATCCATCCAGCAATTCAGCCAAACTTCCTGGTACCTACCCGTTCCACCCGCCGTTCTGTCCCAATTATTGTAGACCAATAGGATAGAAATATCTGGGCATGACATAAAATCAAATCAGGTATAAGGTACGTAACCCAGGTATCTCCTGTATTGAGAAATCATCCTCCATAACCATTCCCCAGAGTAAATCAGCCACCAATGTAAAAACATTTCCAAAACCACCAGCAGACGCAGGTTGACCAAACTAGGTAAACCCCAAATTCACTTACTCCGCGCAAACCATGCCATCTTTGTATTCTATTCAATATTACATCGCATTCACGCACCAAAGACGGGTTTGTGTGGTCTGTATACCACATGCAGCACGACTGCCCGGGATAAGTTCCTAGGTACCTCCTAGGTATATAAAGGGTAACCAGCTGCTCTCGTGAGCAGATAAAAGGTCAGGCGTTCCTAGATCGTTAATGAACTTATCTGGTTACCTTGTCCTACCCCGATATTCACTCCGTATATCACGTTTGTCAGGGGCATAAGCCTAGCTCTTAAAGAAAGGCCCTTATGACCGATCCTGTGAGAAACATAATAACACTTTTTAACATGTTTAATCGCGTAAAGATACACATCTCTGATTAATAGAACCCCAACATGTTCCTGGGTGTAGCGCACCCGACGTACTTGCCCTCCGCTAAGGAAATAGGGGGGAGAAGTGGCGGGAACAGCGTGGCACAAGATCGGCATTAGCGTCCCGAGAACTTGGAAACCCCACATCAAAATCCCTGTTTCTCTTCCCGAAAATCTGGGGGTGAATGGCAGGGGTACCTAATATATTCCATACATACAGACACATCAAAAGACGGAAGGCGCAAATTATTCGGACAATTTACGTTCGGCGCTTACCCTCAGGACTCAAACCAAAGCTATTGTTCTTTTATTTTATTCACTAATCATATTCAAGATCGCTATTTGATCATTTATTTCCGTGATACCAAATCACTGATTCACCCTGTCGTGTGGTTCCAAGAAACCAAGAAACCAAGAAACGGATCAGCTACAAAATCTCCTGTGTAATTACCTTCTTAAAAAAGGCGTTGTAGACGGTTCAAGTTTGTGTTAGGCAACCTTGATCCAAAACTTGCAGTCCCCCCAGTAACGTCGGGGCCAAATCAACTCCACCGATCCAAGAATATATATATCTGGCTCTCCCCCGCCGCCAAGCTTCCAAAACACATTCCACCACCATCTTAATCCTCCTCGTCATCATTCTCTAGCACAGCTGGTTCCTAACGTCTGTCATCTCCAAGCCTTCATCATAGCTAACATTTGACCAAACCACGCTTCAACGTCAGAGCCATCGGAGTCATCAGACAACCACTCAACACCAGTCAAAATGTTCTTCAACAGGCTTCCACCTTTTGACCCCACCCGCCCGACGGGCATAGGCGCGGTTCCTTAGGACAGAACCGAGCTGATAAGCCCTTGGCAGAAGTTCCGCGAACAGGTGAAATTGTGGTATCACAAGGCCTTCTCTCGGGCAGCGGTACAGGAAGTAGACGAAGAGGAGCAGAAGTGTAAGTTAAGCCATGATCGGAAGCCGCAATGGATTGCTAATTAAGCTCATGCAGCGGCCAGTAAGGATAGCACCCAGCTCGAACGTGGCCGGCCTGAGTCTCTCAAATTTGACGCCCCGCCACGACTAGATGTGTCGCGAGGTCCCACGCTGAGCGATAGCTTGTCAGACACCGGCTTTTTTCCAAGCGGACCATCCAAAAAGAAGAAGAGCGGCGCAGCTGTGGCAGCAGACATGTTTCGCTACTCGTTCCGAAGCGAGAACAGCCGTCCTGTATCCATGGTTACAGAGGGAGGATCTAAGTAACAGGTTGTCACAAGCTGTACTTCCGGGAAATGTCTGGTCACGTCTATGCTCCATCGGCAATGGACATCGGCGAAGCGGCACTATTCCTTTCACGATGTCGCGACGACGATCCACTACTACCATAGGGTGAGCTCTGCAATTATGTGCCTCTGTCCAATTGTTCAGAAGAACGAACAATAGCAAATAGAATAGGAATGAAGAATATTCAAAGTCGAAATATTATGCTACTCCAACCATGATACGCTTTTGAGCCATTACTGTGCCCTCAATTTCATGACATTATTAGCATTCCGGCTATTGTCGCTGGCTTCCCGTAATATTGTAGGGTGAGAGTAATAGTCGTAGTCGTTCGTACCAGTCTCCCAACATCATCCATTTATGGAGCCTGAGGATAGGAGTCGGGTAATATGTTCCTGTTGACCGATGGCATTGGTACTTTTGGCGTCTCGCTCCACGCTCCACTGAATAAGTAGGTATGGGTTATGGGGAGGCGTCACAAGCGGGACGAAGTCGGATGGTATGATCCCTTAACTCTTGCCGGCCGAGACGCTTCATTCTTGCGAATAACGCGAATTGGAATAGATGGGTGTGTAACTCTGTCAGTTCATAGGTACCAATAACTGTAGACGTCCTGTTAGCTTCGGATGCCTCATAATATAGGTAGGTAGCTAAGATTCCAACATACCTCGCAGCCGCTTGTCTATTAAAAGTTGACTCTGCGACTATACACCGGCAGTAAGCTTAGCGCGATGTCATGTTTGTATTGTATCCGTATTAGACATGTAATAGGTAATCAATAAACACAAGAAGCAAGAAGGAACAAGAGTATGTATTCTGTCATGAATTGTTTTGGCAGATTAATAGCACCTCCATTGGTTACCCAGAGTCCGGTATGGTGAGTAGTCGGGGATGAGATTAAGTCAGAATAGGGGTTGGTGACAGGACAATAATTTTGTCGTTCAGTAGGATAGAGGATATTGTTGAAGAAGACCTCGTCTAGTTGTGTTGTGTGATGTAATAGTTGATTGAAAGATATGTTAATTGAATAAAAGTATGAATGGAAGTAGGAGTAGGGGTAGGAGTAGGGGTAGGAGTAGAGGTAGGAGTAAAGGGAGAAGTAGAGGTAGGAGTAAAGGGAGAAGTAGAGGTAGGAGTAAAGGGAGAAGTAGAGGTAGGAGTAAAGGGAGAAGTAGAGGTAGGATTAAAAGTAGTAATAGAAGTAGTAATAGAAGTAGTAATAGAAGTTGGAATAGAAGTAGGAACAGAGGAGGTGATAGGTAGTGGATGAGAGAAAGAATAACAAGTTGTTGTTGTGGAGGAGCAAGTTTAAATCCCAGACCTAGGTGGGAATTGTGAGAGCTTTAAATAGGCAAACCCTAAGGTAGACAACTCTTCAAAATCATGTAAAGGAAGGTGCTTATGCCCAAGATAACCTGCGCAGCCCCTTCCCATGTGTAATCTCTCCAGGGACAAGGAGGGAGTTGCCCGGGACTCCCCTATATCAGGGGGGCAGGCACACGTGATTACCCAAGGAAGCTACAGGCCTGGTGGGAAGTTACATTATGTCTTAGATAAGAAAGACAAAGAGCAGTTGTGTTTGTTTGTATGTGAGACTAAATGGAAGTAGTACCCGCATATAATATCCAGACTTACAGTTGGTAGGAGGCATGTACATACAAGAGGGGAGGGCAGGTACATCTTGATTGAACTGCACAGACTTGTGCTAAACTTGAATAGGAATGTTAAGAAATAAATAAATAATGGATCATGGCACTTAGGATCAATAAAGTAACTCGAATTGGATAGTGTTCAGACTATTTAGGCACTCAATAACTTGAGTCTGTTCTGATAGTATCTATAAAAGATCGCCGGCAAGTCTATACAGAATGACACAACCTTACAAGCCAACAGATAATTCAAAGCCAGATTAGACTCAACGTATTGAGACTACGACGTAATTACTTAAACCAATTAGTTATGGGGTCTCTGTTTGAGTTAACTAGTCCAGTGAAACGACTATACGAGATCTTCTAGTACCTAGCTCTAGAAGGTAACCTTGTACTTTGTTGCTCAACAGTTTGACGACAGCTAAGTATATAAAAGCTTTGAGACGACGAGAATAATACAGCAAGTACGCCGTTAGGGTTTGCCGGCACATAGATGAGGCGTGGCGCAGTAAGTGTCAAAGCTAGCATTGTCCTCTTACGAGCTATAGCCGTCTATAGACAGTGTAAGAGGTACCTAAATCAAGTATTCATTCAAAAGTTGAACGAAACTTCGAACCTTAATAACTAACTCTATTAAGCTAAAAAGAACAGCTAACATAGTGTAAATGAATGTAGGTTCTCATTTAAGTTAATGTTTTTGAAGTTCTCTATTTTCAGCCTAGCTAAGTGATACCAGGTCCTATGATGCCCAAAGTCCTACATCTCAGTAGGAAACACATCCCGTGTAGTTATGACTAATATAATAGTCGTGGGTTTTATCCTAAATAGATTCTGTCAGGGTATAGATGAGTTGGGTACCCAGGAGTAAGGATAGGGGTAATTATACTGGGTATACCTACCTTATATAAAAGGGTCCAGCAGTCCGTAAGAAGATAGAAGCGCAAGAGTTATCATATCAAGTCAATACGACAATAACATTTAATCTTACTATATATTAGGTACCTAATGTATAAAATCCATCAAGGGTATCCTTGATAGATCTAAGGTACTTACCTAGCTTATACATACACCACTAAAGCCATACCATCATCAACCGACTAGTCTCATATACTATTCCAGAAAGGACTTTAGGTAAACCCAATATGTTATCCTACAACTAACACCGTTATAGCAATTGATTATATCTTACAGTACATCAGAGCAGCAACCAACACCCCGAGTCTAACCCTTCATATAAGGTATATATATAGGTATATATTAGGTGCTTATATAAAATACCCACCTACCACCCCCTCAAAACCCCCCCGTCCCCTTCACCCTCTGAACCGCACCCACCACGCCCCTAACCCACGCGAACCTACCCGCATCCACGCCCGTCGCCCCCTGCGCCTCCCTCCCCGCCTCGTCCCTCCACACCCCATCCTCCACGTCGACCCGTCCGAACCGGTGCGTGTTCTGGTTCCTCCTCAGCGCCCCGATCCACGCGCGACACGCCGGCCCGCTGTCGACCAGCAAGTTCGCCTCCTGGCTGTGGAACCAGCTCTGCGTGTCCTGGTTGCCGTTCCCCACGACCCCGACGCGCTCGTCCGCGATCAGCAGCTTGACGTGGCAGGACCGTCGCTTCTGGCTCGCCACAATGGGCGCGACCTGGTCCTTCGCGACGTACCAGTACCAGTGAAGGCGCTGCTTTGCGGGCGGGGAGAGGAGAGTGGTGTATATCCGGTGAGCGATAGCTTCGTTGTGGCCGCCTTGCATGGGGAGCATTTCGCCCTGGATGGGGAAGGTTGGCATTGTATATATAGTATATATGGTAGTAAAAGTGCGTAGGCATGTGCATGATAAATACATCAAGGGGGATAGTTGTTTATAGGTGTTAGGATCAAAAGATAAGAACTTACCGAGTCATTATATCCCAGGCAGATATAACAATACACATCGACACCGCGCTCGCAAGCCTCCACGATAGCCGGGATAAGCGGCTCAGCATTCAGCGTCGGAGACTGGATAAACACGTTCTTCCGCGCGTTGCGCAGAGCCGACAGCCAAGCGGCATTCTGCGGATTAAAAACGGAAGAGTGATTTGGTTGGCCGTAAGGAGCGCGGCAGACGAGAGCCATCGGAAACGGCTCGTGCGCAGGATGTGGTATATACGGCGTCATCTCGTCCTGCGGGTCGCACTCCGGCGCAGTCCCCTCGAACCCTTTGTTGACGGTGTGGTTGAGGTGGCGCGATACGGCTTGCATCCGGGTCTCGTCTGGTTTCTGGCTTACGGACGCTTGGACGCGGCGGATCTCCCCTGCGAGATCCTCGTCGTAGTGAGGAGCATCTGAAGTATGCTCTGGGAGCGCACCCCGAGGTATAAGGGGGTTGTGTAGGCCAGGATTCTGCATCGTGAGAGTTTCCTGATCTGGATAGCTATCGGAGCTGCTGCTAACACTATCAAGAGAACATAAGCTATTCGAAGCCGCGATACTCGACCTACTAGACCCGTTACCGTGGCTTCTCCATTCGTCTGTTGGGTTCGACTCCAATACGTCCAGGCCGTAAGTTTTTTCTCCAGGCAGTTTATCTGTGTCAACAATCGCAGAGTGGCCTTTGATAGCTCCCTCAGGACTTAACATGGCAGCATAACTAGGAGCGAAACTTGTACTTCCGCTCTCAGTCGCAGTGGATTGGAGACACGGCAACGGAGGTTCTAGTTTTTTATGCCAACTTAATAACGCCATATCGTACAGCGAATCAACAATCGGGCCTTCCACCTGCACCATCATCTCCAAATTATCATTATCCTGCATATTATTGCTCTGTACGACAGCGACCTTGCGGTCAACAATCATGTACTTGGCATGGAAGGTACCAAGGAGCGGACGGTGGTAATTCATAACCTGCAGGTCGATATTAGGAATATCGTGGGAAGCCGGGAGCCCGACAGCACTGCCGGTGTATTCGCTCTCGGGGACCATATAGTGCGGCTCCACGAGCTGCTTGGGGCTGCCCCGGTCATATATGATCTTTATGACGACTTTTATCCCACGCCCCCCGGCGCGACGTGAGAGCTCCTTTATCGCATTTGTGATGTACTTGGAGGCCACTCCATTCTGCCAAAAATTGGTCGCGAGGTATACCTCTTTTTCGGCACGGACGATGAGGTTGGACATGTGCCTCACGATATCAGGGATGCTTTCATAAGAAGTTAGGGACGAGTTTCCAAGGCCGTGTCTCATGCTGACTTACACGGATATGATAGTCAACGGCATAGTCCCACTGCTGCCCATCAGAGAAGGACTCACCATGCCACAGCCCAAGTCATGGTCGAGTGTGGACAACGCATCATGATAAATCTAGTGGTATTAGCACACTGTCTGCTATCTAGAAGGACTTTATAACTAACCCTAAGAAATAAGTCGCTGGGCTTCTGCGAGCCCCATTTTCCACAAGCTCGAGCTTTCTCTAGCTCTTTGGAACTGAGAGAGCCTTTCCCAATGTCGTGGACATCGCCTTTGGAGCAATGGCCGTGGTCATGGCAACCAAACAGCTTCTTCCACGCCTCGCCGGGGGTCAACGACGAGTCCTGGGCAAGAGCAGACGAGACGCTCTTAGAAGATAGACACAATTTACACAGTTTCTCACTAATCGTGAAGGGAGGCTCGGTGGGCACACTCATGTCTTGCGATGTTTGCATATTGAGTCTAGTGACTTGCCGCCGAGGTTTCCTCGAAAGGCATGTAAAGATGACGCAAGGATGGCAAAACGAGAACATGCAGTTCCAATGTATTCTGGGTCAAGGAAAAGGCCATTTGCCATATTTTAAATAACTTCACATTCCATACGGAATGGCGCTTCTGCTTGCCGGACATATCTAAGATACATATGTGAGGTAGGTATCTAGATCTAAGCGATACATAGTCTCGGAGGTTAAAACAAGGCCATAACGAGCTATGATGCCAAGACTTGAGGATAGATGAGGTTTGGGAGTCGAAACCTTGCAGAGGGCTGCAGGTAATAACGGGACGTGAGTGGATAGTTCACCGATAAGAATGACGCAAGCTCCGGCTCCGAACTATCCAGCTCGGATAATCGGCTCTACATGGTACATTGACTTTTAAGGTATTTCCATGCTCCCGTCTAGCCGTCTTACAGGTATTACCTAGTTGGCTTGGGCATGAGGTAAGTACCTGTATAGAGTTAAGAGTTTAGTTTAAATCGTACGGGGAAACCCATAGAATTAAAAACTTAAAAAGAGTTCTAGGCTATATAGTACCTAGTTACCTCCTGTCATTCTGTCATTCTGCCATTCTAGTAATAGCAAATTGCATGTGCCAATCCAATAGTTCTACTCTAGTCTTTACTATCTGTTCAAACGCCATTAACCCATGCATGTATGCATTGATCTTGATAACAAATCTCATCTGCTAATAAGAGCGTAGCTCAGGCTGAGCGTTCCATCTTCTACAACTCTCCCATCTCATTCTCCGACTTCAATTTCTCGAAATCGGTAAAACCCAACTCGTACACGAGCGCAAGAGTCATCCTCGCGTGCTGGAGCATGTGGTCGAAAGACAGGTACTTAATCACGTCATCCGTGTTGTGGATGTGCTGGTTGGACTCGGGGAATGTCGACTCGATAACGAATGCAGAGGGGTAGCCAGCCTTGGAAGCTGATGCGTGATCCGAGCAGGCGTATCCACACTTAGTCTCAACCCAGGGGACCTCACAGTACTCCTCGATAACCTTCTTGATGAAAGCCGTCAACCCGGGGTCGACGAAGTCGGTAATAACACCCACGCTCTCGGGCTTTCCCGCATCAAGCGTTCCCTGGACGTAGCCAGTCATGTCTTGCTGCAGCATGGCTTTGACGTCGCGGTTCTTCTTGGCGTAGTCCGAGAAGACGGCCTGGCTTCCAAGGAGACCGCCTTCCTCGGCGCTGTACCAGTGGAACTCGATCGTGTTCGGGGCATTTCCTTCAATTACGTCTTTCGAAGATAGAAGAACGCGGAAAGCCTCGAGGATCGTGACGGTACCACTTCCATCGTCGTCGGCGCCGGGAGCTGGGAGGATGGAAGGAAGCCATAAGTTAATCGAGTCCTGGTGGGCACCGATGACGATAGTCGAGTTCGACTTGCCAGGAATCGTTGCGATAACCGAGTTCTGGCCCCAGGAGTGCTCGAAGTGCTTGGCATTGACTCCATATTTATCAGCACCAGCCTCCTTGATCGTATCTTGCACCGTCTTCAGTAACCACTCGGAAGATTGGCGACCGTAGTCTGATTTATAGTATCGCGTGTGGAAGCTCGAGAACTTCTCTAGGTGTTGTTGGATTAAGTCCTTAGATAGGTCCTTAAGTAATGGATGGATTTCTGATTGGAGCTGGACCTTCTCGGGGAACACTGGTGATGCTTGGGGTGTAACACGTAGTTCGGCGAGGTCTATATTGTCCGTGATGTCCATGAATCGTAGTCCTTCCTATAAGGGATCTCTGTTAGTGGTCGCAATACATTTGGAATGGATAAGCTAAGAAAGGTTAGGTGTATACGTACACGACGAAGCTGCCACTTCTCATCTTCGGTTACCCATGCTGTCTTCCCCGGAGATAGCTCGATGAGATATTGTTCCGGAGCTTCCACCTCTTCCAGAAGGGCATCTATAGTAGGGAGGATACGGTTGGCTTCGTTTGCTTCGATGAAACGAGCGCTCGCTGCCGCAGGCAGGAGAAGTCCGATGATAGAAGCCTTCATAGTTACAGACCTATGTTCTTATCGACAGTCCTGCTACTGTTTTGACGGAATATTGTTGAGATGATGATAAAACACCGAGATACAAAGATGAAATAGACCAACAACCCCTTGAACTTGGGGAATGTAACACTGATTAGGTACTCGGAACTGGCACAGCAACAGCTGACTGATGACCAATCTGGAAGCTGGCGCACCGTACATAAGGCCTGAGGCACGGACCATATATCCCCTTATCAGTACAAGAAGTGACGTAACTTTTACCCTCCAAAATTCGGCACGCGCCAAAAACTTATGCATGTACGTGCATGCACTTATGCAAGGGGCGCATGTGATCATGAACTCGGTTACATAATTAAGCATAAGGGTTCAATCATTAAACTTTAATGAAACCCAGTTATGATTGGGATGGAACTGTTAGAAGCGTACCGCAACTTAATAGGACGACTACGGATTCGTATAGGTAACAGAGTTCAGTGCAAATGTTAGAACTAACCTAATCTGCATAAAAAAACATATATCACTAATAAAACAGGATTGAAGAGCTCAATTGAATCATTACAATACTACAGCACTATAGCCTTTGGTGTCTTGGGGTATTAAACACTGGTCGCAAGATCTACTACTATACAATTTGGAGCGGACAGCCCCTCGTTGACTTGCCGACTTGCTAATATCGGACAGGCCTCATACCTTCATCGTCTGCACTGCGTGACATCCAATCTCGATCGAAACTGCTGCCTGCCTGTATCTATCCTCATGGAGAAAGAAAGAAAAAAGGTGATAATAAGGGGGAAAGGGCATCATCCACAAATCAACGGGTATCAGAACCCCATAAACCATATGCAGAGAGAACCGAAATCTTTTGGATGCTGTATGATGCCGTGAAAGAAAATGTACCGCCCCTCGAAAATGCATCAAATGCTTTCATGTGAAATCAGAAGCCTTATCCGCGGCTCTTTCCTGAACGCCAATACGCCAAAATTAGATAACCACATCCACGAGCGGATTTATTCGACGCTCTCAGATTTTATCGGATGGTAGAGCGTTCCTCGTAGGCACATGCGATCCGATCGAGATTCTTCCATCTTCTTTCCGCCTTCCCCGTTCTCATTAGCTCCTAACCATCGTCGCCATAGTGCGCCGCTGAACCCGGCATTATAGTAGAAACTGCCACCTTGCATGTTGTGCTCACCCCAGCCAAACGGACTATCCTCTGGCGTGGGCGGGTAGTTGAAGGTCTTGTCCATAACGTCCAGCGGCCATTGTCGGTCGAAGTAAACTGGGTGCGGCGCGTAAACCGCCTTATATCCATGGTGAAGGGCGACCGTTGGCGGCCACATCTCTGGGAACATGGTGTGGTGCAAACGATATGTTTCCTCGTGCATGGTATTTAATAAGCCTCTGGAAAGTCGCGCGACGGTAATGATTGCTACTCGGCGAGGAGGTATTTCAAGGGACGTGTTATATCCTGATACATCTCTGCGGAAGACCCAGTTCGTCTTTGCCGGATCAAATAGCGGATCGAAGACGATTAGATCCGCGTCTTCACCCACACCCCATTGGAAATTATCGTCTTCAAACTTGGTTGGGGGCGTATTTTCCTTAGGGGACGGGATAGGACCAGGACCAGAAGTAGGAAATGTTACTGGACCCCAAACTGGCTTGTCCTCCCCTTCCATAGTCTCTCGCTCAACCAGTTGAGAGAACTTGGACCACGAACCATGCCTACCGGGTATCCAGAATCGAGAACTTCTTTCCCATAGTAATTTTCGAGGTTGTTCTTTTGCCCACTGCGAGATGCCATTATGAAACTCGTAGTAGTGACCGGTATATCTTAGATCCATTTCCCAGTTCCAAAAGAAATCATACTCCTGGTGCTGCTGTGCAAACCACTGCAAGGCGAAGTGAGCACTTCGATAAACGCCATGGATGTCGGATTTGGAATGATTCTCAAAGTTATCTTCCTCGGGGAAAGGACCAGGATAGTATGTTCGCATCTGCTGCTCCGACCATAGAGTTGTGATACCCCAGAATTCTTCAGGCACGTTGTCCCTTATTGTCTGGTTGTACACCTCTTTGGATGCCCAGATTGGGATTGAGTTATCTTTGACGTGAACGAGAAGATGTACGTCATATTCACCGCCAGACTTTAAAGACAACTCATTGATCATGGCTCGCAGAGACAGGAGTTGAATATCGGTATACTGGTAGCCGGTCCAAGTTCGTAGCACATAAGCAGAGCGCTTAACTCTTTTCTTATCCCCGGTTGCTGCTTCGGGATCAAATCGCTTCTGGTTCTTCTCAAAGCATTTCTTCTGTGCTCTGCCCCAATTCACATTGCGATAATCAACCTTGGTAAACATTTCTTGAACCTTCTCAGCACCCGCATGCGCCGAGTTATTCGAAAGCCCTAAGCCACCTTCGGCGGGATTATAGCTGTAACCGTATGGGCCAAACCGACCAAAACGTTCCCAACACTTATCCGGTGCAACCCCAATGCTCTCGTAGGATCCCCAAAATGGCGCAGGCATCCCGGCAGGTATTCCTGGGTATGCGAAAATATCGGGTGCTGGGAACTTTTCATTTTCATCCACGTAACATCTTTGAACGGGGTGATGATCTTTAAGGTATTCGCTAGAGCTGAAGTCGGGATACGGATTAACAACAACAGGGTCCATGGGAGGTTCTTTGTGAATCAGGGGTTTAGTTTTTGCTGTAATTTGTTGTTCCGGAACCCAGTCCGTATAGTTCACAAGTGTACGAACACCATGATAAAACCCATTTAACCTAGAAAGTGCATGTTAGAATCATTGTGGTCTTCTTTGAGATACTCCCAGGAACATGGGTTGCATTATCTCTTACCTGGGGTACTTCTCCCAGTGATAAGGGACTCTCTCATCTTCCTTGGCCTTCTCAACATAATAGCGCCTAGCTCTAAAACTTCCTCCGGCCAATAGACATAGTGTAAAGAAAATAGTGATTGTCAGAATGAATAATCTCTTCGGTGACGTGCGAAGTAAACTTCCTAGTCGTCGACGGGGTGACGAGAACCCTTTGCGCCAACTGTCCGACATAATGGGGGATCCGTCTAAGGGCGAACCGGCATTGCTCGAATCGTGCGAAGGTAGTACCTCGTAAACTACTCTGGATCGTGAAGAGAACCTAAGAGAGGGAATTAAGGAAAGTGTATTTTTTATCGCGCCCATCCTAATTATGAGAGATGGGACCAAAAAAAACGACCGTATCGTGCCCACGTTGTCCTTCACGTCTCAGTGCACAAGTCAGTCGCACGCCTTGTTGTTGTTTTTTAGCATTACGTATAGTATGGTCCCACGATAGAGTAAAAAGAGAATAAAGATTGTGTATCGTGGGAAGCGCCGACGAAAAGAAAAGGAGAAGGTAAAAAAAAGAGGAACCTAGCCCTGGAAGGCCAAGACAAACTTGAGAGAGTGGAGGTGGTATGAAAATGCTAGACCAGCCAGGGCATGAATGCTGGATTAAACAGGACTCCACTGAGAAGAATGACGGAATTGCTCCCCTTTTGATTTGGTTCTTGGTGTGGCAGCTGTCCCAGTTGTCCCTGCTGTCCCTGTCCAGTATGAGTAAGGTGGATAAGGAAGGCGCCGAACTGCCTGGCAGCCTGGCCAGCTGGGCAAGAAATGCTGGGATTCGCTAGTAGCAGTCTTCACCATTTTCGTGGAAGTAACGAACCGTCTCTGCAATGATCTTCATAAATGATTGCACCCCACTAACACCAACATGGGAAGGTCCTGTCAAGTAGGCAACTACCTAGATTAACTCACCCGTTCTTCTTCACCAGCACTCCCTGGCAGGTGCCCCGTTAGTTGGCGGATCTAGATTTCCTATAACATTGAGTAGGGGGATTATCGCATGATCTGATTGGTCTAAACAGCCAACCGTGTGGCGCTCAGTACATGTATACAAGTACCTCCAAGTTTGCACATGACTTTTTAATTTATCTCATCTCCTTTTACATCCCACCCACCCAAACCAATTTCGTACCTTTAATGCTATTATTGCTTTTTTACATCAATAACTACCTAAATTGAATAGCAGTCAGTCAGTCAGTGTCAATATTCAGTCGTATATTCAAGGTATCAAAGATTTGGCAGGATTTATAGTTATTACTACTTCATGTAGAATGCCGTCTTACGCTACCATGCTGGGTGAGGCTCTGCAGCCAAAAGAAGCCATCCCCACACTCACATCGTGAAAAGGGGTCTTTAGCGTTGAAGAAAATAGGCATTGTCTCTAAACCGAATGTCCTACGTGATAGATAACTGTAATGTCTTAGACTAGCAAGGGCGCAGAACTTTATACATATATACACTAGTAAGTGTACGCACTTTTCGAATGATCAACAACAGTAGTATCATGATGCTTATCTTATGCAAGTCATGAATACCCTAACAGGTAGAACGTAACGATACCTGCATACATAGTAGGTAGGTATTTTTCCCATTTCGAAAGGGTCGAACAGGGATGTCCTCTTAGCCTATTCTAATCGAAATTTGCATCGGTCAGGATCCTACGCTAGGAATTGCCATTTGAGATGCTTATATACGAAGTAGTACTCTCAGGTAGTAAGATTCATTGCCAGCCAGCCAGCCAGCCCAAATGCATACAACCACAACACATAAGGGATGTACCCATGATTATGGATAGGTGTGCGGAAAGGGCCCCTGATCTACATACCATCTTATACTAGAAAGCTCACCGCATCCGTACAGGCCTGACATATGTTATGATCTAAGTTGATATTGATATAAGATTTTCGCAACTCTTACATCGTCGCTACGTCAATTAAGGACCTATATAAATAGAAAACTCCCGATGCTAGCTTAGCACAAAATAAACTGAGGTGTGCATTGCAGACTGAAGCATAACCACCAAAATTCTATTTGAGTCTAGGCCATCCCCCTAAAGCTATCAGACCAACAACCCTGGCTTAGTCCCAATTTCTCCCGTCATGGTTGTCACGGTCCTTTGGTCGAGTATCCAGCGGGAATTTGCCCGACATGCCGGATCCATGTTCGCTAGACGCACATGTAAAGTTCGCCGCAACGTCCAACCATGAAACTTGGAAGTTTTCCAAAGTCGGCGCGTCGCGCACAATGGATAGAATGTACGTACCTCATTCACGTCGGTATTACCTAAGCAACTGTACCCCTAACAGTGTACCTAAGCTTTTCCACCACATGCGGTGTAACGAGCACAAACAACTTGCAGGTAAGGGCGCACTTGTGATACCTCGGGTTGCTCAGTAACTTCTATTCGGCATGCAAAGAAGAGTCGCACAACCACTTTTAGAAGCTAGATTTCTAGACTATGCATGTACGTGCCAACCTTAAGTCTTACCGTTTTGCTCAATCATGATTCTTTAATTGACATTAAATGAGCACAGCCCAGCGGGTTCCATAACCTTGTATATAAGTTAACAAAATCTATGATAACAAGTAGAAGAAGTTATTAATAGTTAACCAACTTCTACGATGTAAGTAGGTACAGCAGGAGGTACCTAAGGTATCAAAAGTCCCCTCTCTAGCCACCATAAAACAGTAGCCTACTCGCCGTTCTATGCGTCGCGTAACAAACCGCCTAACCAAGAATAAACGCCAAAACCATGCTAGTTAGTCCAGTGCCACAGTACGGGATAAGAAGGTTCTATCCAATCCGCACCGCATCAACATACCAGGTCTATCATATACTATCCTCCATCTGTTGACTGTGCGTCTTCGCCCAGTCGTCCCTCTCCTTTTCGCCCCCGGACTTTTCTAGACCCATACCGCGCTCGACCCATTCCTTGCTAGACATCTCGCTTAGTCTCGACAACGCTCGTGCAAACGCGAAGCGCTCTTCGTCTCCGGAGAACAGACTCGAGTTCTTCAGTTGGTCAATATTACTGTCCACGTCCTCGAGCATGTGCTGCATAGCGTGGCTAGTCGCTTCGTCGTCGTCGTCATCTACGGCCTTTCCGTCCTTCTTACGGGACTCCCGTAATTCCTGGGGCGAGATGAATAGTTCCGCCAGAGGAACAGCCGTGGTGAGGACCAGCTTGGCGCGCGACTCGTAAACGGCGTCGATGAAAGTAATAAACCGCCGAGCGAGATCGCGCTCCCGGAAGGTCATCCCGGGCACGTCGGAGACGATGAACGCATCGTAGCAGCGCATCAGCTCGAGGTAGTCGGCCGCGCCCGTCGCACGGCCGATAAGTTCCTGGAAGGTGAACCAAGCGCAGCGCCCACTGACTCTGGGAACGTAGATTTCGCGGCCCCAGACCTTCTGGGTTTCCGGGTGAGGCTCCGGCGTGTCGGGATCGCCAAGAACCCGGAGCCACTTCTCTATGTGCAGCGCCGCCTGGTTGTCGAGCTGCGTATGGTAGACCCCGGATGGCGGCCGCGGGATTTTGCGGTAATCGGTGGGGGAGTCGAGATTGATGACATTCAGTCGCGCCTTCAAAAGGTGAATCGCCGGAATGAAGGACTCGCGCTGTATCCCGTTTTTATATAACTCATCCGGATGTCTATTCGATGTCGTCACGAGAACGACTCCGTGGGACATCAGAGACTCTAAAAGCCGCCGCAGGATCATCGCATCAGCTACGTCGGTGCACTGGAACTCGTCGAAACACAGTACATTCGCTTGCTCTGCGATATCTGCTGCTACAAAGGGGACCGCGTCTATATCGTTTCCGTGCGTCATCTTCATCTTGTGCAACCTCTTGTGCACGTCCTGCATGAAATTATGAAAATGTATTCTAGTCTTAGATTGGACGGAACTGGGTAACGTGTCGTAGAAAAGGTCCATCAGCATCGTCTTCCCGCTCCCGACATCGCCGTATAAGTATAATCCCTGCGGCAGATTGGCTGGAATCTCTTGTATGGCTCCGGCACCCGGCTTCGGCCCGAACCACGAAAATAGTGACTTGGTCGGTTTTAGACTGTCGAGGCTCGGGTGCACAACTGGATTCGCTCGGTAATGGACTAGCTCGTCGTGCAAATTCTGCAGGTTCTGAATAATCCCGCGTTGGTGCTGGTCCTCTCGGAGGCGCCCCTCTCGCACTCGCCGATCGTATTCTTGGATCGGGCCATGGTTATCGGGTACTTGGGCTATATCAGAAAGTTAGAAAACTATAAGAGGGGAAAAAAAACGTGCGAGAGCTATTGGTGTCCTAACCGTTCTCTAAAGCAGATGTAGTCGCAACGGTTGCAAAGCGTCTGGGTGCGCTTGGCGACAAAGCGGGCCATGTCGAGAAGGCAGACGACAACTTGCGACTGGCTGCAGAACTGCTGACTGTGTTCCGTCGGCTCTCTTCAGCCGTCGCTATTGAGCATCGAGTAGATATGTGGCGCCCTGTCTGGAGTCTTGCGATGGTCAGGCCAGAGAGACGTCGCACGGGAGGGGTGCGAAGCGAATAGCGGCGCATCCTGGGTCCTCCTCATAAATAGCAGCAGTCTCTTGGAAGGCCTTGATGCATTATAAGCTGATATTATAGGGATTAATTTGATGAAGTCGCAGGGGCCGCAACACGTGGGATTTCAAGTCGCGCAAAGTCAATGCTGGAAATACCACCAGAGGTTAAGAACAAGAAAGAAAAGTATCTAATTAACGATTATCTGTCTCTATTCGAAGATATGCCAGGTACCCAGGTATTTGAATTTCAAAGGTGCTTTTTATGTATTTGGCAAATGGCGAAATTGCCGACAAACAGACCGGGAAGATCCCGTCTCTATGTAAAGATGGGGTCTAATTATTCTTATATCCCGAGATCTATACCGTGAAAGTGAATATTTCCGGCTTAGTCAGGTGAAAACTTGGCCGAGGCTTCACCTCGCTCACGAGAATAAAATGGGGGGGCCGCCTAAGAACGGCTATTCTTAAACTCCCGCGCTACCACCAGGGCATACATTTATTACATATGACGTAGTTGGGAGGCGATTGGAATTAACTTAACTCTTATCTATATTTCCTACTTACTCGGTCTATATACAATGTTAGCGATTGTTTATTAAACAAAGATTACTTGGCAACTACTAATTCCTCCCAAATCCACATAGTGAATTCATAGAATGGTATTTAGGAAGTATTCAGGTAACTTCACATGCTAGCACTACGAACATCAGTAATACTTGCTACTGAGTAATGTAATAAGTAGAGCACTACGATCGATAAGAGAGGTACCAGCACGGCCGCGACCACGGTGGTGATGATATAGGTACTGATGACACAACTATCACAGTACGGTCCTCATAGGTGGAGATAGTCCGAGTCGACATCATTCTACCTTTTGGCCGTGTAGCGGTTCGATAACTATCTTCCCGAACCCGTACGACAACTGACTAGTGATTCCTCGTATGAGCTACCTCAAATTTGACGCCGAATACGCGATGATATAGAGCGAACACGACGTCTCGTAATCCACCTTGAAGGCGGATCCGGAGGCACCCGAGGCTTTACATATGGCACTTGGGTACTGCAAAGCATCCCGTAGAACGCCTATCAGACTAACTGCATACCTGGAATTCTAGGTCATTCGGGTTCGGTCCTTCGAGTTTCGAGTTTTGAGTTTCGATATGTTAACCTGTTGAAGCAGTGCGTGGTCTGAAACTTATTATGGAACGACCCCCTTTTTCTTTTTGCCTTCAGACTCCCTAAGGCAAAGGTACGCCGTCTTACTGTGTTCTTTTGGCTTCTTTCTAACGCAGCGGATTTGGCGCCACTGCGCTCTGGCGGCTCTTCTTTTCCCCATGAGCCAGCCTCCACCAATCTCGAGAGTAGGTGCTCTGTTCGCCCAGGGTTGGCAGTGTCCCGCTCCACAATCCTGCCGAAGTTTTCTTCGCGATGGATGGTTTCGACTTGCAGATAGAGAAGTCACATAGAGGAGGCTCTGATAATTAAGTCGCATGAACCGTCGCAGGATGGCGAACCCCTCATATGTTGGCATTAACTGAGGAACTTTCGCATAGCCTTCTAGATCCAACAACTATCTAGGCGGAGGGCTGCGAAGTGAGACAACTACCTGTGTTGAGGGTTCCGACTTCCACGATATCAACATGCGTTCAGCGGGCTTGCTTGGAGTAGGGCTGTGCATACACCCGCGGAGTTTTAAACGATATTTTGTAGGTACTGCGCAGGATAAGAAATGCCTAATCCACAGCCACGAAACATTCATTGCATCACAAGAATAGCCTTCGAGGTATATAGGCGCTCTGCAGCTTAGCTTCGTCGCGACTCGTATCGTGATCAACTATAGCCTCGACATCAGGCAGATAGGTAGTGTCAGGTATCAGATGTGAGAACCAGAGCTACCCTAGGCAGAGTCCCTTGCAGAATAACAAAGTTGTACGAGTGTGCCACTCATGGATCAGATAGACTGCAACAGTTATTTGTGCCAATAAGAAATCTCCTTTGGGCGCAGCGGTTTGTTTCTGTCGAGTTTTTCAATGCCTAGGTACTTTCTGTTCTACCCCGTGACGAGATATTCGAGACGTCACGAGTTAATCACTGCCAAAGAACTGCTGTCCTTCATGAGTATACTTCAGTCCTCAGGATCTCCAATCGTATCATGACGTTCGTTGCCCTCTTTCTTCATGGCAGAATGCCAAATTTTAGGTAGATTGGTACTTGATACTCGCAATGGAGGTCACGCGTAGAGTGAATGCTAGTATGATCTAGTAACACTTAGCCTTTCGTCCTCTTGAAGGGGGTGATGGGAACCTCCTATACACCTATATAGTATACTCACTTACCAGTTCTACACCTCTTTGATAATAAACCATTCACTATTTTAGCTGTCAAGAAGAACGAGACGTAGAAATACTGGTAATTGCAAGGGACTATAGGGATATTGTAAAAGGAGAACTACTTGGTAGTAGGTCGAGGTGTACCTATAGGGGGGGACGCCCTTCATCCGATATTAGAAAATCATGATTCGAATGAATACTCCAATCGAAATTCGGATTATCACTCTCTACTCAGCTATTTACTTAATATCAACAACAGATGATTCAATTATCTCATGTGTATAGACGTTTATGTAACATTTGTGGTTTGCCAATTCGTAATTCACTAGTCCTCAAGATATAATATTCAATAAGCCTACGCATTGTCTTCAATGAAATGGATCTGATCACTGACGGAGCCGCATCGACAGTTTCGTATTGGATTTCTTGCAGGAATATAAACTTATAAACAGGACTAGCCCACGGAAAGTATCCTTGAGCCTCAATATCGAGACCAAAAAGCCAGAATAACCTACAGCACAACAATCTCAACCCGCGATATTCCCACCACACGTTCCACCTCCGAAGATGCCGAAGGAAAGATCGAAATGCTGGTGGTGTTTGCCTTCTCAGGACTTGCAGGGAAGGGATGGCTGGTTTAAAAGCCCCCGAGACACGAGCGTCACCATCGACTCAACCATCAACGGCAAAAGCAAACCATCCGGCTACGACAGCAACTCGCTCATAACGATTCTACGATCGTCGCAGTGTTTCACCGCTCTCATGGTACTGGTCCTCTACGTGTTCACGTCTTCGGTCCCTATTTTCTGGCTCATCTTCTACACGGTTGCCGAGGTCGTTCTCGCCAGCGCTTGGAGCATCTTCGTGCTCTTCCTTAGGCACCGCTGGTCGGTCTGGTTGGTCATACCGGAGTTCGTGATCACGGTTGCCTGGGTCGTATTGTTCGCCATGAGCTCGCTCCTAACACCGGACGAATCGAAGGAATCGACGTTCCGCTTATCGCTCATAGCCATAGAAGCCTCCATGGTACTGTGGCTTCAGACTTGCTTTCTGGTGCTTACACCCTTCTTCCACAAGCTCATGCCTTGTTTGTTTCAAGTGCGAAATCGTGGAGGGGATAATTTTGATGAGGGCGGTGCCCGAGAGATGGTAAAAATAACCCTAGTATCACCTAGTTAGACAATTTTGTGGTGGCTGACAATCAGTAGCAAATGTTTCCTCCAGGGGGACCACCACCAGGCCCGCCACCTGGGTGGCCATTGCCCCCTCAGGGTCTAGTCCCTCCTCCTATGGACGGACCGGGAGGTCCCGGCCGTGCGCTCGGGATGCCGCACAAGGCAGCTCCAGGAATGATGATGCCGCCGCGCCGCGAAACAGCCGGGCCCCGAAGAAGCAGTTCCCCAGCAAAACGACCTATAAGTCCCTTGTCGTACTACAGACCCGATGACTAGACCCTAATTTCGGCTATCTCGTTTAGCCAAACTGAATATGAAACGATCGCCACATCTTCGCACATGCTAATTTCTGGGGCACGGTTTCTCTACTCTGGGATGGGGCGGGGAGCAGGACGGTTTGCTACATAGGGGGGAGATCACAAATGAGGCTTCATATGCACAAACAATCGAACCTGTACGTTTGGTCAACGGGCTAGCCTATTAGATAGCGCAGAGATACCATAAAGTTGGCTTCTATCAGGCCACCCTGACACGGGACTTGCCTATATATCTTATCCGATGTTGCCAACAAAGCAAGGGGTGAAAAAAATAGTATGGCTAGTTATGCCTTTTCTCAGGGATTCTTCCACGTTCCCTTGCGTATAACTGATTTTTATAAGCAATCGAAGCTTTATTAAGACGAGCTTACGATTTAGATAGGTATTGTATATCCCACATTTCTGGGGTACTGAGCTGTCCAGGGGGTTCGTATGCCGATTTCCCCGGCTCTTGTGCCATCCAAATGCTCAGCGAACGCATTAGCGCCCTAGCAAAGGGTCGGCAAGGCGAATGAGGAAATAAGATAAAATAGGAGTGTCAAGGGGGGGTTAGGGTGGTTGATCAGTGGCGCTAGGTACTCATACATATACTAGCCATTTTATGTATCCATCTATTTCGTAGGTATGGATCATATCTCCGATCTTTGTACGATATGCCGGGCCTGATTGGCCTTTTCTCTCCACTCTCACCCCCAGTGGCCAGTGGATATATCGTCCAAGATCGCGATTGAATAATTGGACCCTCGGCGGAGGTGGTCATTGACGCCTATCTCACCGCCGACTTTGTCCATTTATGCCCGCAAACGTACGAGGATTATCACAAATGGCGTGTTGCTGATTATCCAATAGAGGAAGGGTTTTCCGGCCTTGGGTTCGTAGGGCCGGGGCGTGAGACGCGGAAATAAATTGATGCAATCAAGTTAAAGAATCGGGGAGGCCCATTCGGCGACGTATTTCTTTCCTTTCCCAACGAAGGGGGGAGAAGGGGGAGTTCGGTTACAGAGAAAATATCTACCTAGGTAGGCTGCCCAGGCTGCTAGGTAGGACTAGAGGAGTAGTAGTGTATGTAACAAATATTACATGTCAGGACATATATGTATAATACTACTAGTGTACCTAGGTATGTAACCTAATAGTCTCAGTAACCGGGCAAGGTGCCAAGGGTTGTAAGGTCAAAGGCAGAAAGGATGGACTTTGAGGAAAGAAGATGATTTGCGTGGTTTAAAATTTGATGGCCTAAGCGGGACGGGCCGGGGCCTGTCTGGTCTTTTTTTTTCTTCTGTCAGTAAGGTTCTGTACATGTTCGGATGCATTGTTAGTGCAAGTTAGCGTGTCCGCTGCAGTGGACATTAGCACACTAACGGATACTATGTATCCTAGCAGACAGGCAAGCTGGCAAGGCAGGCAGACGGCAGACAGGCAGACAGGCAGACAGCATGGGCAAGAACATTCGCATTGAACACAGAGAAAGAGAGGGAGCCACCCTCCCTTGTACCCCTTGGAGCCAGCCCGTGGAAAAGGTGATAGATCTTATCGGGAGAAAGCCCATGCAGATGTCTCATGATGCAGCAGCAACTGCGGACGTGGCTAGGTAGGTACTTTCTCAATTCATAAAACCCCCTCCATCGAACCGCGTGATTCCTAAACTAGCTGGTTTTCCTTTTCCTTTTCAATGTCTAGTCTCTTTATTTGAGTAGTTTTTTTTTTTTTTAACAATAAGCTATGGCATAGCTCGATCCTTAGCATCCTTAGCGAACTGGACCCTTATTAATGCCTTAATCAGACCCAGACATTTACCCCGCTTTGAAGCTAACAATAGATGTAAATATTGAGCGACAGGGGAGAAGAAAAAAAAAAGAGGAAAAAAAAAAAAGTCAGGCATTACAAGACAGACTTGTCCGTTTAATCTGTTCAATCAGAAGTCGCCTCCTTCGCCTTAACATCTCCACTACTAGTTAACTCATTAACTCGTTATACTAAAACGGTTATTCAACCCATCCCTTTACTATTATACCTAGATTCAATTACCTAACAGCCTTTAACAGTCTTTAACAGCCTTGGGCGCGTCGGCTAGATTTAGAATTTCCCACTACTATGAAGATGTCCGAGGGCGACGGGCAGAATGGGGTCCAAATATTGACCACTCAGGCTCCTGTGCCCAGGAAGAAATTTGCGATCCCTCCCGTCAAGAACGCCTGTCTTTCCTGGTAAGTCGTAGCGGCTCCGATCATCACGCCATACGCTGGTATCAATTCCTACTTGTCACCGGCTTCATTAGGGCAACTCATATGCTAACCGCGATTGAAGTCGCGCCTCGAGAACCCGATGCAACGGCGAACGCCCATGCGCAAGTGTACGCTCAACTCTTTTGCTTTCCTCAATTATCACCTCTTGTTCCGAATAGGAAGAGAAACATGTAACAACGAAGTGTGAGACACTAATTAGTTAAACCCGTCTAGTGTGTAACAAAGGATCGCGATTGTGTTTATAAACCTAGCAGACGAGGAGGGCCGCGCATTCGAAAGAAGGCTCGACCTCTTTCGGACTATCACGATCTAGCTATCTCGCTCCCTACTCATCAAGAGGAAATCCCTCAAGATGGTGAGAGTCTCCGCGCCAGCTTATCCCATATGCATGCCAATGCTGACAGAGGTTTAGCCCTTCTTATCGAGAACTATATAGAACCTGGCGCTGGCCTTAAGCCTCTAGCAGATATCTGGAAAGATAGCGACGCTATATATGATAATCTATTCCAAGATGCTCTACCGAATCCATTGCCCAATATCAGGATTCCGATGGTTAGAACCTATGGAGGGAATGATCGGGCCATGTGGGTTGTGTCACCCGTCTCTTACCCTTCTCTACTAACCTCCCGTAAGATTAAATGCCTATTATATTTGGATTCATCCTTATTTTCCCATTTTACCACCTCCGGAGACGGCACCGGAAGTTGACCAAGTCTCGCCTTTGTTTGAAAACCAGAGGGGCAAGTTTGAGGAGCCAACTTCGGCTATCAGTTTGGCCATCTCCGCAATCTTAGCCCTCATACCATGTCCTCAGGATCCAAGTCCACTTGAACCGGACTCTATTCTTTGGAGACGCACGTATTCGCAGTTTTTCGCAAAGGCAGCCTTGGAGAGTATCGAAAGCGAGACGGAACGACCGGAATCCTCCATTTCGCCGCCGAGGGCTCTCGATGATTCCGACGATGAGGTCTTTAGAGAAAAATTCCACTCACAGGTTCCTTTGGAGTTAGAAAGTATCATCGCTCTCGATCTCCTAAGCGTCTACGAATATGCCCAGCGCGGTAACTTGAAGAAAATGCGGGCTAGGGTCGGAGCAGCCCTGGTGGCAGCCATGTCCCAAATGCTCCATATAGACAATGACGAGGAGGACGAGTACTCGGAAGCACGACGGCGCACATGGTGGATGACGTATATCTGCGTCTGCCAAGGCTCGATTGTTAGCAATACGGTATGTTCACGGATTGTCTTAAAGATACGGCTTATCAGCTTACAAATATTCGGTAGCCTCCGACCTTCGAAGTCTTCGCCTCTAGCTTCACCGCCAAGTATCCTACGGTCAAGGCCGATCCAGGGGTATGATGATGATGAAACCGCCGTGTTGACTCCAACTAACTGTGGATAGGCATGGCCATTATTCGTCGAAGCTCAGCAAGCCATCTTGGCGGCCACCCAATTTGTTATCGATTTCAACAAGGCCAGAAAAGAGCAATCAGATATGACTCGTATCTTCAATCGAATGAAAGACCTCGAACGCATTCTGGAACCTCTCATTACTAAATCCGAATCATGGATACTAAACTGCCCACTAACGCAGCCGGTCGACAAAAGAGAATCGGTCCTATCGCAATCGTTGCGGTGCATTGCGCGCATCAAGCTAAACAGGTATTGGCTACGCCTAGAACCATGATCGGTAGTAGGCTGACATCATTTGTAGTGCTCGAATCAAAGTCCACCGTTATTGTGCCTTCTTCGATCTCGCCGTATTTTCAGCTAAGCACTGCGACCTGAAGAGCACAACTGAAAAGCAGCAGGTCGCTAGCAGTCCGGATGTAATTCAGCTCCAGTCTTGCTGCACCACTCTAAGCAGCACACCTTCTGTCCACTCGAGCCCGTCTGGTGGCTCCGTGTCACCCACGCTCTCCAGCCGGTCCACTCCCAACGCAGACTGCTGTGGTTTCACGTACCAGCCTACGCCAGTTATGACCTTCCCGTTCAGCACCCACCAGTCATCCAAGATTTGCCTGAAGTCAGCCCTGAATATTGCACAAGCGTTCGACTCCTTACCGTACCCAAATCCTACGGGCTTGCTCTGCGATACCCCTTGCTACATAGGGCCGAACTCTATGTTGATCACGCCAAGGACGATGCCTTCGTTCGCATGTTGCGCAATGCAGTGCAGCTATGCGTTGCTCATGGTTAAGGATAGAACGGAAACGATGTATCCGTCAGCGACTGGCGAAGCCGGTCCCCTTGTCGATAACCTTCGTGACCGCCTTCAACAAGGGCTAGTTTCCATCTTGGTAACACTGGAGAACTATGCTACAGCCTTCGAGGCCTTGGGTGGAATGAGAGGTAAGCCGATACCCCCGGCAAAATATAGCTATAAGTAGGAGCTAACCACAAGACCAGACCAAATTCGCGATAAGGTTGATTTAGCATTAGGGTTTTGATACGAATTATGACATTTCTTTGCCGTAAGGTATAATTCAGGGATATCCATTCAGTGTTGGGCTATTGCTTGGGCGCATTCTTTATATATATATATGTTTGGATGCTTCTCCTCTCTTTGAACTAATATACCACGAATTCGCTTGAAGGCTAGGACAGATTTAGCCGGAATGCATAGATACATTTATGGCTAGCGATTATAAATTGTGGAAATCAGGCAGGTACCTGTGAGGCTTTTTGAATAAACACAATTTGTGTAAGCTAAATCGCAAAGGTGTTTGTTAAAGCGGTACGGGCCAGTCATCCTTTTCAAAGATGGAAACGAAAAAGGGGGCTGCTAGGCATACTATTAATGCTATTAGTTAAACCCTATATAATTAGAAATGGGAGGTTATTACATATTGTGATGAAATATCTGCGCATAAAAGTTAATCAGTTGTCTTGTACTAAAAGTGTTAGCGTTGAGTTGAAAGCCGGCACTTCGGACATGCCGGGCACTGTGGGTCCGGAGCCTCACTTCACGCGGAACGGCAACGGCGCCGAAAACAACTGCAACCGCACGGCTTGCTGGGGACCAGCAAGAAACGGGCATATACTTGTCATTTGGCTCCAATAATACATTAACCTATGCCAATTTGATACTAGGAATATGTTCCAATGAATTCTTTGGTGCTATCTTACGCATATGTTCTCTTCCTTAGTCGACTTTATAGACACAATAGGAGCGGTACTGAAGACATAACAGTATAATAAGGATTCACGTGTTCACGTCTAGTTCTATGAACCGCTGTTATATCTAGGTGTGTATAACGGTCTTGTAAGCTATGAGATCATATGCGTATACACCTTATTCCAAAGCAGACTCTGTGTCATTCCAAAGTTAGGAGATCAATGGTAGTCACTCCAAAGCAAGTTGATTATACTCTTGACCATCCGGCATAAGATATACCTGTGTAGGTACTTTCTTGCGTACAACAGAGGTACAAAGCTTTAGGGTCCACTAGGACGATGCTCATCGTCAAGTCGTCGAGTCTAAACTAGGTGAAAGCCCTACTGAGCTCACTCATGATAATTCTTTTTTTCCTTCTTTATTTCTTTTCTTTTCTTCCCTGCATTCATTTCTCAACTCCCACCACAATTCCTCAAGCCCTCAACTCAAGTCTAGGCTCTCTCTCCATCATCTTTTAATCCCTGAGAATCTAGTCTTCTGGACAGCATTACTCCTCCCCATCTCTAGCTAAATTTTTTATTTTTCTTTTCGAAACATCTTTTCTTTCCTCCTCCTAATCTAATTCAAACCTCACCATTTCCAAAAGTTTCAACATGCACTGCTTCCCCGATCCCCCCATCACCCAGGAGACCTCCTCCAGCAGCCAGCAGGCCACCACGTCCGCACCCAGCGGCCCCGACACCCTGGTGGTGGCTCCTACCACCACCACGCCCGCCCGCGTCACGGGCCGCGCTACCAACGCCAGCCCGGGAAACCCGCAGAACAAGACTATTCTTAACCCGGCGGTGGTTCCCGTCCCCGTCACCCCTAAGAATCACCGCGTAGCCGATCTCTCAGCGCCTGAGCATGGCAGCAGCGGCAGCACGCTTTCCGCTCTGACCCCGGACAGCGTGCGCGTGCGCAAGATCGCCTCGTCGCCCGACGGCGTGGTGTTCGTCGACCGCCGCGGCGACGGTCGCCATCATCGCGACGGCCGCGGCTACGCGTCCACCCTCGAGTCCTGGGAGACGGCCGCCATGTTCAGCGACCTCGGCGGGATCCACCCGGATAACACGCCTGTTTTTTCGTTCGGCGACCGACAGGATATCAACGTGAACTCGGCCGGTGGTGGTGGTGTTGGTGTTGGTGGTGGAATCCGATCTTGGTTTGCGGCTGCGGAGCCGGTTGAATACGTAAGTTGAACCCCAACCCCGCCCCCCCTTTTCTTTTTCTTTTTCTTTTTCTTTTTCTTCTTCTTCTTCTTCTTCTTCTTCTTCTTTTCCCCCCCTTCTCTTCTTTTTTAGTTCTCCTACCTAGGTATTATCAGTATATCCCATCATCGCGCAGATGAACGTCATGAATAGATACCTACCTACCTACCTACGGTACTAACAAGCAAAACACAGGATCTCGAGCATCAATCGCTCCTCCCAAGCACCTCCTCCGCGGTGTTCGCGCCCGAGAGCCACCGCTCCGACGCCCGCCTCCGCCGACGACGCCTCGTGGACCACCCGGCGCAGGCCCCCTCGTTCTGGGACTACATGAGCCGCACCGAGATGGCCGTCACCTGCGTCGTTCTCGCCCTCGTGATCCTGGGTCTCGTATGGAACGTCGTCAATCTGCTCCAGAGCTACTACACGTGAGTTCTACCTGGGCGGGTTAGGCACCTTCCTAGTCCGTGGGCGTTAGTTAGGAGGAGTGCAAATGGTTGGGGAATTGGTCCACGGGCTAGGGAGTGGCAGACAGAGGACAGGGATTCCGTTACGAAAGCTGTGCCCGGAGATCCTGGTGGGAGCTGATATTCTGTGGTGGCGTCTGGTGGATCGCGATGGTTAGGAAGTAACTCTTATTGCTTTTACCTTTCTAAGTACAGTAAATACCTATCCCTCGTTGGATGGTATCTTACGTCTTGTATTACCCAATACCTTTGCGTTCGTGACTATCGATTATCAATTCGATACTAATGAAGGAACTTCCTACTTGACCTATCTGATTGGAGTATTCCATACCTACCTACCTAACCTAATCTATATAGGCCTTGATAATCCCTCATGGGGGCTATAGTACAGGTACCTACCTACTTATCCTTCACGTAGTCGTAATAAGCATGTCTGCCCAAATCTAAACCTACCTAGCCTACCTAGGTAGCTAAAAACGAGTGTTGGGTTCTATGCAAGACGTCTAGAAGAAAAGAGAATCCCTTGCTAAGAACAGAGTAATGTATACGTCTTCCCAGGCTCATCTTGTGATAGCGTCAGGTGTTCTTGGAGAATAAATCCAACAAACACACCTCTAGAGGTATGTTACCCACCTCCCCCTATTCCTGTTATAATCTTCTTCGCTAAACCAGTCTTCCAACCCTATACAATCAATCTAACTTCCATTAAGATATTACTATTGCGGCGAGGCTATAGTGGGGTGCGCAGACAGGAGTGGTAGACTGTTTATTGTATCCGACACCTGCTAGTTAACAAAAGGGCTTCTACACTTGCTAAAGTATTAGAAATAGAAGTAGGAGAGCTACTTGTATGTTTACGTTCAGGTAGGTAGTCTTTGCAAAGCTTGGTTTTAAGCACTGTTCCTAAACTGCGAATACCTAGGAGACATACAGTTACGTCCATAAGTGGAAGCATACTACCTAGGCTAGCGTGCCAGTAAAGAGGTTATACGATCTCAAGCCTGTCGCAAGCAACAACGAAGCACATCACGCGCAAACCTCGCAAGTCTATGGGTAATCAGATTCGCTTTTTCAATTTCTCGCTGGCTACCTATAGACACAGCTATGCAGAAGCTACTAGTTAATATGTATAAAGCACCCGAAGGTAAAGGACCTAACCATCCCCTCCAAAGCCGCCGTGGTATCATAACCCCCTTTACCCCTCCCCCTATCATCCTTTCCAATCCACCCTCTTAAACGCTTGATCGTTTATACACGCGAACATCCATCCAACCTCTGTAAACGATCAGAATGAAAAAGATAGTTACAAGTTATAAGTCGGAAAAAAGAATAGAGGAAAAGAAAAATTATCCTGTGAATGCCATGACCGCTGACCAATTTTGTCTTTCGCGTGTATAAAAAAAAACGCCGTCACATGCTTATACATGTATGCTAATGTATGTGTCTGCAACAGCAGAGCAAAAAAAAGAAATCCCCCAAAAAAGAAAATGATAAAATACCCGTATCAAAAAACCGCTGATATGATGTACAGCAACCGCCACGGTCCAAATCACTTCGTGACTCTATTGAGGTTCTTAAAGTTGATCCACTCGCATTTACAACCCCCCGTGCCGCCGTCGATCCCGCCGAGGGCCGGGTCAGCGTCCTCCGCGGGGTTTACCAGGGTGCCGCCGGACCCGGGGTTGGATAAGATGAGCTGGACGTCCGTAGTGTTGAGCGCGTGGCTGTCCAGGATCCCGTACCGGTAGGTGGTCTTCTTGCTCTTGTCCCCGCCGTGCATGTCCTCCGTGACCGTCACCGGGTACGGCATGGTGCCCGGGGTGTTGGCGGCCGCGGAGCCGTTGGTCCAGGGCACGGCGCCGCCGCTGCCGCCGATGAGTCGCGTGGTGTTCTCCATGCGCGTCCAAATCTGCACGAGGAATCGAGTTTGTGCGAATATTACTATAGACTTGGCTTCGGCTAAGGTGGAGCCGCCGTCCTCGTCGCCCGAGTTCCTTTCCAGAGTGTCGACCATGTAAATAGTCTTGTCGAAAAAGGTGTAGAAGCCGTAGTGCTCGGTAGGCAGGCCGCGATCGAACAGGCGAATGGGCTGCTGGATAGGGCGTGGAAAGAGCTGGGCCGGGCCAACTGTACCGTCACCGTTCGTTCTCGGGGGCGGAAGGTTCAGTTTGAAGTTGGACCCCGAATCATCCCTTGAGCCGATAGCATCGTTGGAGCCTTGTCGGCGAGTGAGCATATTAGGGCCGACTGGTTTCTCGATCGCCGTCAAGAGACTAATGAAGAAAGGTGTCGGCTCTCCGGCTTTGTCGTCCTCTTCGATATGATCTGTGGTATTTCCCAGGAAACGCATCTCGGCGATAGAAGGGGGTGCGGGGTCTGGAGTGAAGCCATCGTCCGTCAAAAACTTCTTCCTATCGGCCTGTTCCTCGTTGGTCATGTTCCACAAAGCACGAGTATCATTGTCGTACTGGATCTGGAAAATGAACTCAGGCTGGTCAGGCTGATGGGGTGCTACTGAATCATGCTCTTCTTTCGGCAAGGAGCACGACCAAGCTGTTTCAGGCGTCCTAAGGAGACAGCCGGACTTGGCTTCAGAATTGTCCGGACCAGAAACAGTCAAAACTCCCGTGGGCATCGGCGGAAAGTCCGTTAAATTGAGCCAGATGGAAGGGGTCGGGTTTTCGTCCGGCCGCCGCCGTGTGAGGAAAACTGCCAACAACACAGCGAGAATGATCGCAGCTATCAAAATACCGCAGATTGCGAGACAGACCCGTCTTCTCTTCCTCCCTTCTCGACCCGAGCGTCCGAAGCACCCCTTTTCAGGAATGCAACCTCGGCCTCTCCAAAAGCCGCCAACTTTCCTGGCCGCTACCTCCTCCTTTTCGTGACGTCGCCGTTGCCTTTCGGTCCTGTTGGCGTGGCCTCGAATTTCGTAGAAGTGGTCTCCAGGAACGTACGAGCCAGGTGCGCGGTCGGGGAGCACGGCGGGTTGTATAGTACGGATTCCGGAGGGTGTTAGGGGAATTTCTGCCATACCAATAGCGCCCTGAGAAGTCATCGTACCTGGTAGGTTTGGTGTCGAGGGTGCAGGGGACGGGACGCGCTGTGAATTGACTACTTGTGGAGGTGGCAGTATCACCCCAAACTTGACTTGATTGACCGTCTTAGGAGGTGAATATGGAGGTGGCTCTTCATTCGGTTTCTGGTTCTCTTCCAGGAGAATCCTAGCTTTCTCTGCCTGTCCCTCGCGGCGGTTCGGTGAAGCCGCACGAGACGACGTGGCGGCTGGCTGAACTGCGAACTGCTGCTGAGGCACTGCCGGCGCGTTACTATTTAACCCCTTAGAAGATGTGCTTGCCCTTTCATTAGTTCCACTCCACCACTCCCGGGGAGCTGGTGACAATGTCGGCGAGGACGAAACGTTGGGTCCTAGATTGCTTAGTTGTTGTCTGGTACTTGGTTGGGAAGGGTTGCCTTTTTCGTCCACACCAGCCCACCATCCTTGGGGAGGAGCTGTTGTAGTGCTGGGGTTAGTTTCTTGTATCTGCTTTTTGAATGGATTCCATTGTTGCGGTGGAGAGCTCATCCCGGTATCCTGCAATTGTTGTTTGAATGGATTGTTGGTTTGCGGTGTAAAAGGAGTCGTGATATGATCCCACCAGCCACGAGATGGGCTGCTAGCACTTTCGGGACTCACTATCGTTGCTTGAGGCTTAGCTGACTTTCGAACTGCCGTTGGACTCCCGTCTTCTTCGAAAAGAGTGCACGGTGTTCCAACGCTGTCGTCATCATCTAGATCAAGCCATGTACTTTGCCGCTCCCTTGTCTTCAGGTTTGCCGGAAGGGCTGGTACCGGAGGCGCGTCAGCGTCAGGCGCAGTAGCGCCATATATACTTGGCTGTGAATAAAAACTTGAAACAGCTCTGGAGGAATGGTATGGTGATTGACTCTCTTCCGTATCTGGAGACCATACAGAACGCAACTGCTGTGGGGTTTGAATTGTAGTGTTTTCTCGCGTCGGAGCGTATCTTCGCAAATCATTGGGTGTCTCGATGAGTGCTGTCTGTGGGCTAGGTTGGTGCTCTAGTAAGTTGTCTGAAGGTACTGCTATCCCGATAACAATTGGTCGAGCCTCCGGAGAAAGATCTGAAGAGGAAGTCTGTACAAGCTTGCTACTTGCTCTTGCTCTTGCGCCGTTCGCGTTGCCGGGTCTTTGCTTAAGCCACGAAAAACTACCAATTGAAGCAGAAGACGGCTCTCCTTCAAGAGCATGTAGGGCGACGGTATCAACGAATTTTGGCTGTCGCGTAGGCGGTGCGGGTTGGCGAAAGCTAGACATGTCCGTCACGACTTTGATACCAGCCTTCGCATTCTGTGCCTTTTGTCTAGCTCTCGACTTCACGCGAGTTGGTTTTTGTATCGAGTAGCGTATTGAATTCCGCGAAACGCTTTGTGTAGTGGTAGACCTGAATGACTTGCGTGCTATATCCTCCGAAAGGTCAATCAGAAGTCTGTCCTTGTCCTCCATCACTTTTTGTGCCTCTGCCTCTGACTCTTCCCAGTCTTCCCATTCATCCTTGTGGTTCGATCGGCTGGATGGACTCTTTAAAGGGCTTCTTGGAGAAGGCGTTATCACTTTCATGATGAATGATGTAAGTCAGGTAGTAAAAAAAAAAAAAAAAAAAAAAAAGTTTTGGATGTTTCCCCAAAAAAGCTATACCAAATTCAAAGTGCCTGCATTGAAGTTCGGCGCATCAAGAATAAAAATGATATAATAATCGGTCAAGATATATGTCGGGTGAGGTTGTCTATGTGACTGTCCCGTAAAAAAAAGTAGTTACGCGTAAGGAGAAGGTTTCGTTGAAGAGAATGCAAGAATTCAAGTCATTAAGAGCCACCCATTTGATCCCAGGTGAATGGGTATTATCATGATAGGGAAATAATAACACGCCTTTGTACAGAGAAAAAAAAGAAAGGCTCGAAAACAATACGCTAGTGAGAATCAGATGTAAGAAGTCATTGTCAGATGAGACGATTGGAGAGGGCCAGTATTAAATGGGATCGGGAACAATGAATGACTGGCAAAGGAGGTGTCACCTTGCCTACGTTTTGCGCTGCGCATCAGTACAAACAATATATCTCCAGCGCATCTAACAGGTCTAACAGGAAACTTGACTTGACCAACGACCAACATAGGCGATTTCATAGGTCGAACACGACAATTCGATATGTGAGTGGTCAAATATCAATGGCCCCCTCATTACACGACATGAAGCCAACGGGACATTAGTGCAGGCTGGGGGCTTAAACGACGTCCTCGCGGCTACTGACGAGAGGCCATAGGAGGCTTCTGGATGGTGAAATTTGGGGTTGAAGCAGATGAGCGTTAGATGTAGCCGCCGAGTTGTAGGACAGCATAGCCCCCATTGGTTGGATACTGTCCAGCCAAGATATAACTAGGCAACGGTTGGGCGGTAACGTATTGCCATCGCATGCCATCGCGGCTGCAACCCTACGGAACCCTACGCCTTCGGGGGTGGTATCCACACTTCCCGTTCTTTTTAGATGTTACGCTACGGCGTATTCTTGATGATGCACTGCATTGCATAACGCAGGCGGTAAACATAGATTCGAAAAGTTATTTTGTTTGTTGGTGCTGAACGAGATGCATGTTGTGCATACAAAAAAAAAAAAAGATGGATGAACTGCAAGTCTGCAGCTAGGTATTTCAAATTATTTGCGGAACCTATCAGAACGGATAAGGAGGTGGGTCATGAATACTATGTAATAACACGTATGTACATACGTACCTGACCTAAGGTAAAAAGTTACTTTGGTCTGTAAGCTTTGTAGTGCTTCCAGCAGCAGCAGCGCAGGTTGCTTCTCTGCTGGCCTCTCCGCTGGCCTCTCAATTGTTTCTGATTTCTTTCACAACACCGATGAGACAACAATAATCTACTTGATTGGTGTCTCACATGCTGCCATGTGTTCGATACGTTGTCAGAGAATGATACCTACTGTTTCTATTTATCTACATACTACTTTATGTACCTTGCTTTGGCACAATACAGATCAATCACATCTACGATTCACAGATTTATACCAAACAATCTATAATTCATTGTCTATTAACCAAGATGGCCATACCTCTCCCCGCCACCACATCTTCAAAATATAGGTACCTTGGGGAGTCACATTAACATGCAAATCAGTCAATAACTATCAATTTAGAACCGGCTCTTACACTTTCCGTTCGACAGACAAGCTTAGCATTGCATAAGACGGAGTCTTCCACAGCCTCAATACCGGTACGCTTGATTTATTCCCCGTGCTCAAATTCAATGTAGCCCGGTTCCTCCTCACAGCCCCCCCCCCCCCCATGAAGGTTCCTTTTCGATCTAAACCCTACAGAGCCATATGCCGACCGCAGTCTCACCGTATGATCCCGTCGAATCAATACAACTTCACTATGGGTTTCATCGCCTTAAATCCCCAACAACCTCAGTATACTACCATTCTCCTGAATCGACGTTCTAACATAGCGATAGGTAGTATGTCAGCATGTATCAATCAGGTGTAGTATTGCCCCCTTTATCATGCCTAGGTCTTTAAAAAGCCACGGCATGATTTCCTTGAAGGAACGTGGGGTCCGTCTGGCGATTCCACTCATGGGGACCTTATCTTTATCCCGTCTGGAGATTATTCTGGATATTATTATTCATCTCAGCCTCGCTAGAATAACTTCCTTATTGGTACGGTACTATAGGGCAGTCACCTAATCTACACTATTTTAAGGAATCTCCACGTGTTTCCGAGGCCAACATCATTATAGAGGTACTCAGAGACTCGGGTTGCTTCGTTCGCGCAAAGTGCATGAACAAGTAAGCACATAGGCCTGATGCCTAGGCAAACTTCAATGAATGGTGGTTTTTCTAGTTTACAAGCATCGATACAGCGCACGGCTGTCGCATCTCTCTCTCTTTCACCATCGAGAAAAGCCGAAGGATTCTAGTTTTCATCGTCGATGCAGATTCGGGGCTATTGTTGTTCGGGCAAGCATACGCAATCCTCATATGGGTCCGGGCTAGATAGAGTTTTGTCAGCATTGCTCGACCTCTCCGCCCCTATACAACCACTCAAGATAGGTACGTGACGACAATTGTTAACTTGTTAGCTCCAATATGATATAAGTCGCCCAGAGGGGTCTTCATTGAGTTGATATCGCTCTGTCCCTAAAAGGAAATCCTACTACTCTGCGGCCGGGAGTAGTATACAGCAGCAACTTGCATTCGGCAGCTTGGGTTGCTTTAAGGATTTGGAAGGGTATTCAAAAGAGTAAAGAACTCCGCATACTCCGCATACTCCGGCAGGAAAATATAGTAGGAATACATATCATATGCTACCCACTAGCACCCACTGATACCCATTGATACGAGAGTCAAAACCTCGGCCAAGACCAACTGACTACCTATACAATGGGGTTAGGTAATCCTGCGATTACCCTGCAGCCCTGGTCCATCCAATTAGACTGCGGTTAAGCGAAACCGGGGATACTCAGGTACCATGATCTGCATACATAGTACTATACCTATGTAACTGTACATGATCCTTTATCCTTCTGGCCGCTAGCCCACCGACATCCCCTAAACCCTCCAGTTTCCAAGTCGCTCATACCTTAGGTAGGCATACACAGTACGTGATCAACGACCTCCTTGACCTCACTAATATGGAAGAGGATCAAGAGTTGGTCAAAGACGAAGAAGCTCTGGACTTGCCAGCATATATTCGCGAAGCAACAGAGCCCTTTAAAGTAATTCAAACAAACTACAAACTTATTACTATGCAACTAGGCAACTATTAAAACAAGGCCGGGTTGGATATTGCCTGCACCGCTGGTGCGACAAGGTTTCTAAATTCGCAAATCATCATGGTCGCCCTGCCCTAAATAATATAAATATAAAGACCAGCCTTATTGGTGGCACCTAGACGATGGCAAGACTTCGATTATGCCTATTATGTCTATTACCTCCGCTCCACTGTCTATCTGGGAAGCGCTGCTTACTACCCCCTGTCTGGTCCCTCGAGAGATTCACAGGGCTACTAATTCACAAATCCTATATCGAGAACAATCCACGCGCGACATCCTCTGCAACCTCGAACCGGGGGGGGGGTCCCCTTGCGCGTTTTCCCTTACGGGTATATATGCCCTGGTGGCAATAGATTATACGTCTTTCGACTATATATAGTCAAGTGACATACATACGCATACGGGTTTAGGTCTGAACTCATATTATATAAAATCCATCTTAATCAGTTTATCGGAGAACAAGATTCGTCCTACCTCCTCCTAACTAAGCAAGACTAATTCGAATCTCATATTATGAGTACATCGCGTAGAGATGCGCCGCAAACTCCACTCGTCATGGTCACACCCCAGCAGCAGTGTAGTCCCCCTGCAAAGGACGGGGACTGGAACAACTATCGAGACATCATCATAACCCTATACTTGGAACAGAACAAGAGCTTGAAAGAGGTCATGCGCATTATGCGGGAGAATTACCATTTCTTCGCGACGTAAGCCTCTCTACCTAGGACCCTGGCGCGTAAGAGGTAGCTAGCTACCTTAGGTACAAACAGAGAAGTCTAACGTGGTACTCAGGGAAAAGATGTACAAGATCCGCTTCAACAAATGGGGCATACACAAAAAACTAAGAGCTCCCCAGGTCGCCGAGCTTCTGGCTCAGCGGGGTCGCCGCGCCGCCGCCGGCAAATCAACCGTATCCTTCGTTCACGGTCGTAAGATTGATGCGGATAGGCTTGAAGCGTACCTCCGACGAGTCTCACCCACCAGCCGGAAGGCAATTACGGATATCCTCGTCGGCAATGTTGTTCCGACCGATGCCCAGAAGCGTAGCGTATATGAGATTGTGTGCCGCACTCCGTCCCCCGAACCGAACCCGGTGTTTGCCCCGAAGCGCGTGGAGGCACCCGACAGCCTACGGCTTCCCGAAGATTGTATGCAGATAGTGCAAAGCTACGTAAAAGGCGCCTTAGAAAACGTCTGGCCGTTGACTCCTGACAAAAGAGTGATATGTCCACTCCGGCCGAGGACGTGGTTGGACCCCGTGTCATCCGCCAGACAACTGTTCGTCAACAACTTCAGAGAACAAGGCTTCCGCATGCTAAACATAACCTTCGAAAGCTACCGAGAAGTATTGTTACGGCAAGATCCATCGCTACTCGTCGAAACATGCCTTGCCTTGGGTGCACTCCTACAATCCGGACCAGGCCTTGCCGAGGCCTTCGTCAAGTACGCCTACAGCATGTCCCAGATCACCTTAGGTCCTAGACACCCATTGCACCTAATATTTGGTAGATTAAATGCCGTCGGACCGGCCGAAATGCCGGGTTTGATGGCTTTAATCATACGGGGCTTTCTGCAAGAGATACAAGCCAATTACTGCCTCAAGCCGACGTGGCTAGCAACGGTATATCGAGCCATGCTCAACAGTCGCTTTATAGGTGCGGATACGGCAACAAGGTACATGCAAGAACTCGTCACGGACCTCAATTCCTTGTCGCCACTGTCGGAGCACGACGCTGCGAAGAAGGCCCACAATCTCGACGACATGCGCCTGCTGCAGGACCACTTGTCGTGGATAACGAACTTCCACGACAAGCCGACGGAGGCGTCCATGTCTGCGCACACGCTGGCCGCGACGAGGGGGAGGAAGAACCCGCGGATGACGCGCTTCAGCTGCTACAACATGCTGCGCACGTTCCCGACGAGCCGCGGGGTCAGCAGCCAGGAGGCCATCGACCTGATGAGGGCGAGCCTGGCGATCTGCGAGGAGGAATTCGGGCGCAACGACAACGCCACCGTGACGCTGCTCGCCACGCTGCACGGGTTCCTGGCGCGCGCGGGCCGGGCGGAAGAGGCGCAGAAGGTGCGCGAGGACTTCGAGACGCGCTGGAACGAAGCCATGGGCGATACCTTGGGCGGTAGGATCGCCTGACCCGCAGCCCTGATGAATACCTACTACTTGGTGGAATGAGGGGACATACCGCATCGAGGTAACCTACCCACTGAGCAAGAATTGATTCTAGGGATCGAACCAAGGCTTGGAGTAACACTTAGTCCGTGCCCTAGAATCAACTCTTGCTCCGTGGATGCGGTACGCACATACATATCGGGTCTTGGTTCGGCTATAACCTTTTTTACCTTTTTGTATCAGTTGAAGGTGATTCATGACCGAAACTTGGTATGTATGTATATACCTAGATGTAGTATGTCCTCTATGTAGTGAGCTACGGCCGCATCGTAAAGAGAGCTGTAGCCAGGGGTATTCGTCAGGGGGTAAACCGAAGATAAAAATAAAAATAAAAAAGATTAAAAAAAGAGGTATTTTGTCAAGCATAGTTTATGCCAAGGTGATAGAGGTATCTCTAATGTTTAATTCTTTTCTTCTTCTTTTGTTTCCAAACTCATTCATAACTCATAACTCATCCCGCGAACTCCGCTGTGCCGCCGGCTCCTCCTCCTCCCCCCCCTTCTTCTGCTCCGCCCGTCTCCGCCTAACCAACTCGAGCAACGGCGCGCTCCAATCCGGGGCCTCGGGGCCCCGACTGATGCGCTCCAGATGGTACTCCCAGCACCCGTCGCCCAGCGCCTCGGGCCCCGCGGCCGCGCACACGCTCGCGTCCTCCGCGGCGCTGCCCGGCTCCGGCCACACGCCCAGCTCGGCGCCGAGGTCCTCGTCGAGGAACACGTCCGACACGATGCGCGCGACCTTGGCCTTGCGCGCGGCCCAGGCGGGGTCCGTGTCGGCGCGCAGCAGCATCGACAGCAGGTGTCGCATGCCGTCTTCCGCGAGGAATTGCCGGGCGATGCGCGGGCTTTTGAGAAGGCCGTCGAGGACCGCGAGGTGCAGGCGCGCGGCGTAAGCTTCTTCTGCTTCTGCTTCTTCTTCCCCCTTTTCTCCTCTGTCTTTTCCGTCTCCTTTATCCGCCGAGCGCTTAGTCGGCTTGACTAAAAGCGCCGACTTCAGATCATACGAAGGAGGAGGAGGAGGAGAAGAAGAAGAGGTTGCCGATTCACAGGTCCTGGCGAGAAGATCATCCCACGATCTCTCGAGGGCGCGGAGCGCGGGCTTGTTGTTCCGGATCGCGGAGGCGAGGATGGAGGACGCGAGGAAGTCCGTGCGCTGGGATATCGGGCGCTCTGTTTGGGATGTGCCGTCGTCGTCGTCGTCGCGCGCCGTGAGCAGGCAGAACAGCGCGTGCAGGGCGTCGGGGTCCTCGGCGATCTGCAGCCCGTAGTACATGTCGTGGGACAGGTCCTCGAGGTATTCCAGCGCTTTACCCAGCTCTTCGGGATTGGCGGCACTACTGTTACCGCCGCTCCTGGAAGACTTCACCGTCTCGAGAGCGGCGACGAACCCCTCGTTCTTCTCCTTGGGCGCTTTGACCACGCCCACGGGCTCGTAGGCCGGTGCGCCGGGGGGAGGTCGGGGCTGGTCGCTGTTGTTGTCCGGGGGTGCTTCCGGGTCTACGACGACTACGGAACGGTCCACGGGAAGGCCTTGGAGGGCCGGGTTTTCGTCCTCCGCGGGGTTATAGAGTTTAGCTTGTTTCTGGCCGGTCTGAATGTCCAGCTGCACGTGCAAGCCAGGCGGAAGATCCTGGTCGTCGTGGACGGTCTGGAATTCCTCCGTAGCGGAGAAGACTTTGGGGTAGCATTCCGCGGGGTTATCTGTGTGGCATATGAGTTCCGTCTCCGCGGACGGCGACTCGGCCGGAGGAGATGGTGGTGGTAGTGGCGATGGTAGTGGCGATGGTGATGATGATGATGATGATGCGTATGTGAATGAGAGAGCGGATGAAGCGAGGAGAGTTGTAATAACAGCTCTCTTTATGATATGCGGATATGAGTGTCCCATCTTATTTATTGAGTTGAGTAAAAGTAATGAGATAAAAAATAAAATAAATAAAAATAAATAAGTTGATGATAATTGGGTATAATTGAGTAAAGTCACTCAGCTTGAGTTTAAATAGGTACCTCTTAATGTATAAGTTGTATAAGTCAGTCTTGTAAGTGAGTTATGTGGCAACGTCTTTCGTTTAGGACAGTTTGCAACAGCTAAACAGGTACCTAAAGGTGGCCACGAACAAGAAGTAATTAATAGCTAAGCCCCAGAAACTAAGATAAGAGAAATAGTAAGATGAAGAATTATATCGAAATATGAGTAGAATTCTACATAAGTCTTTTTGTACACTACCCAGGTACCTATTATTCAAGATCAATAACTTCCACTTGGCACTATTAATACACTGCTAATTGGAATATAGAAATGTCACCTACTACCATAGTAGTGTAGGTACTTCGGAAACCTTCCGTAAATACAGTGCAAAATGACAGTAAAATAAAACTATTAGCACATTAGAGCTTACATACCTACCTACGATTATGCAATCCCTAATTGGTCAAAACACCCCCCACCAATCATGCCTCAATCTCTCCAGCGTCTTTAAACCGAACAACCAGAAGCTCGTTATCGCAAGCTTCCACTTCTTGACGACATCGATTCCGAACGCCAATTGGGCATCTCACATCCCACACCACACGACCCGAGATGCAAGCTCTCCGGACCAGAGCGGCTTGCGCAGCCCGGCGCGCGCGGCCCAACCCTACCATCACGACACCCCGAATTTCTCGTTCTTACGCATCCGAAAGCCACAGCCACGGCCATGACCACCACCACCATCACGCACCCGAAGCCGCGGAAGGATTAGGAGTACGTTTCTTCTAACCCCCCTGGGGGAATAACCATAAACACAAATATATATATATATATATATATATATATAAAGAAGAGAGAAAGAAAAAAAAAGTAGCTAATCACACCGAGAGTCTTAGACGGCGTTCTACGTCTTCGCGGCGGCGATCCCCGTCAGCTACGTCGCCTACTCGATCTCGCGGCCGGGCGCGAACGGGGAGGAGTCGAGCCTTACCAAGTGGATGCGGAACTTCGACTACTTCAACGACTGGGAGCTGCGCAACGCGCTGCGCAGCAACATGATCGACCAGGCCGCCCACGACAAGCACCTGCTGCTGCACGCGCGGACGAGCGCCCACGTCGAGCTCAAGATGCCCGAGTACGTGCCCCCCGTTTCCCGTTTCTCCCATTAGGGTGTTGTATTATTGTCAATCTAGCAACGGTCTTTCTTGGGGAATTCTATTCTATTAGGATTTCTTCTTCTTTTCTGTATACGAAAAAAAACATCCCAGATCCACCCCTGCTAACATACAACCCTTCCTCCTCTTCCCCCTCCCTCCAGACTCCTCTACGCCGGCTCGCCCTGGAACGTCCCCGCGGGCCACTACGCGAACATCGACCACGTGACGGAGCACTACCGGCAGCAGGCAGCCGCGGAGGAGGAGCGCAGGGCCAAGCTCCTGGCCGCGAGAGCCAAGGCCGCGCAGGAGCAGCAGGAGCAACAGAAGCTGTAGATGTCGTGAGAAGGGAAGAAGGAGGAGGAGAGGAGGAGGAGAACATCCTATGTATACAGACGCCCGCCACGTAATGATGTGTTATGCGTGGCAGAATGTACATATCATACATAGGTTAGGTTAGGTTAAGTACCTAAGAGAGGCTCTGATTGGCAAACCCAAACCAAACCAGACCAAACAAACAAGCTATGGCTATCGAAAACACGCCTCTTTTAAGTTTTGATTCAATATCTGTCAGAGCAATACTTGATTTCTTACGAGACTGGTTTGCTAAGACGTTCGCCCTCGTCTCGTTACGGTTTCTCGTATCCTAGCTAAATCTAATCCCAGATAACTCGTATAGGAAGAGTTGAGCGTAATAGGGTATGTCCAAACCAACGCTCCTCGAACGCTATTTCTATTCAACAATGTTCCTCTCCTCTCCCCTAATCAAACACCTTGATAAGAGTCGACAGCCCAAACTAAGCGCACGAAGGAGATATCTACCTCACCCAATCTATCTAGATCTAGCACCATACAACTAACTACCCAAAGTTCTCGAGATAAAGCGTGGATGTATATATATATATATATACATGTAGGTACCTAATATAAAGCCCCATCTATATAAGTTTCGAGGATATATATCACCGAGGTCAGACAGCAGTATCATATCATCAAGTTTTCGTGGGAATCAAATTACTCCCCCGAAAAGCATCGCAGGACGGATGCTAGGAAACGCCCAGGCCGTCAATAGATATATACTAGGTACCTAGGTAGACAACGCCACTAGGAAACAGTCGAGTATTATCTGATCCATCTTAGCAGCTTAGCATACTTCATATGATATGTTGGGTATGGCATGGTATTATACTAAATTAGGTACGAATGACTTCAAGAGCTTAATGAGGTACCTTACGTTAGGTTAGGTACGTATGCGTTTCATTATCAGACGAAAGCGAGATAACTACGACATACACACAACAACAACAAGCAGTCACATCATCATCATCATCATCATCATCAGGAAAAAAAAAAACAGGTAGTAATGTGCTTCAGCGCAGACTGATCTCATATCATTATCATGTATAGCGCATGCGCAATCGGTTGATGGTCATCTTTTTGCCTATCTACCGAGAAAGAACCGTTCCGTTCGCCCAATCCATTGAATGCAAGTGCAAAGAACCCTTTTCCTCCTCCAACTTTTCTTCTCTCCACAGACAGACAGTTGTTTACTTGAGAGGGATGAATCGAGAAGAGTGAGTAGCACCGATACCGGGTCGACCGTGCTTGACGGGCTTGCTGTAGGACTTGTTAGCCATCCGCGCAGACACATATACTACACATACATGTATATCCTCCTTCTCGGATGCATTAGGGATGAGATAGAAAAGGGGAAAAAACGTACTATGAGATAGAGAATTCGCCGAGGTAGTGGCCGACCATCTCGGGTCGGATTTCGACCTGGTTGAACTCCTTTCCGGAGTAGATGCCGATGACGCTGCCGATCATCTCGGGGACGACGATCATGTCTCGGAGGTGCGTCTTGACGAGGTCGGGCTTCTCGTTGGGCTTGGCCTCCTGCTTGGCCTTGCGCAGCTTCTTGATCAGACCCATGGGCTTGCGCTTCAGACCTCGGTTGATCCGGCGGCGGGCACGGGCGTGGACGACATCGCGGAGCTGCTCGGAGCTGAGGTCGAGCAGGCTATATTCATCGAAAAAAAATCATGTGTTAGCTTCTAGGGGAAAAAAATAAATATATGGAATGCATAAGCATCATCCATCCATCCATCCCCCCGCATTCAAAATAGGAATTCGCTACTAGGCAAGGTAATTCGTATTTCCATATATATGGATTTCCGATTGTAGGGGGAAAATAAAATAAAATAACGTACGCGTCAAGGTCAATTCCTCGGTAAGAAAACTTGCGGAACTGTCTTCTCTTCTTGAGCTCGGCGGCCTCCTCAGCGTTCTGCGCAATCCAAAAGTCAGTCGCAAAGTTCTCATCAATCTTAATTTAATCGGCTATCCCATCTCCCTCTCTCTCTCTCTTTTTTTTCTTTTTTTCTCTCTCTCTGTCCACAAGGTAGGAGCAAAAATAGGTGATGAAAAAACGTACGTAGTCCGGGTCGTCAGCCATGATTGCGGTCGAGGGGAATTTGATGGATGGTCTCAAGAAAAAGGATCTTCCGCTGATCGAGTGGTGGGTTTGTCGCTGTCGAAAAGCGAAATTGGATTTGGAGATGGGCGGGGGGTTTGTTGAAGTTCTCTCTAGTGGATAATTTGCGTTCAAAGCGCTTCGCTTAGGTTTGGCCTGCGCTAGCCCCGACTTCGATTACAGGAATTTTTTGTGTGAGGGTTGTGGCCCCAAGTCGTGCGCACGGGCCAATTTGTACTTGATAAATGACTGGTGCCAAGTGGGGGAAGTTATGGCGGTGTGTGGCTTAACCGTATACCATACTTCAAATGTACATTATGTATGTACATACATCAATACATGTAACACCAACTTGAACCTACACATGTCCATACCTTGCTCTATTCTGGAAGTCATTGCTTTAGGTCTTCTTTCATCTATAGTACCGCCATCATATCAAGATATTCTTGATCAGTCAAGACCGAAAGGATCTGTAACGTAAACCTACGGGCCTCACAACCGTACAGGATATGTACCTCAGATAAATATTAAGCAGATAGCTGTTCAATACGATGCATTAATATAGCGACGGCTTTGTCTTTTTTTATTGCCTTGCCTCGAGGCCTCTATCTGCACTAGTATATAATAATACATAGACACGGTGATGGACGATGCAGAACTACGTCTGCGACAAGTCCACCTGATTCCCAGTCCGAAAATAGCCCGTAGGGATATCACCAAATAGAGAATAGCGAAAGACCTGAAGTAAGTCGTTAAAAGACCATGGGCTAAAATGAACCCTGCTTTTCGTAGGCAACTTGAAAACTCCATCAACGCCTTCCCTTAAAACAACAGGCCTACGTCCGCGGCAAACGGCCAAAGCAGTGACCGTAAAAGAATCAGATGCGTAGCTTGCGTAGCTCTCAAATCCATCCATCATACGCACCATGCCATACACAACAAACTTTTTCGCTCGGCTGTGTCTCCCACTTCATAATGCCATGATCTTTGATTAGAATCATCAGTTCAGCTGCCCTTGTCGGCCACATCTGCCTTTATTTCGCCTTCGCCCCGAAGAGCCGTCATCTCGTTCGTCAGGTACGTAATCTTCTCTTCCTGAGACCTCCCCGTTGCTTCCATAGCTTGGACACGTTCGTTCAGCTGTCTCACTTGCTCCTCAAGTCCGTGGATGTAAGCCCATATGCCCTGGTCGGTAGCAAATATGTTGTTGCTTGTGCTATCACCGCTGCCAGCATTTTGCCCAGGACCATTAGTTGCATGATGAGAAACCCCAGAGCCGGTGGCCATCTGCTGGCCCGAATTCCCAGACGCAGACTGAGAAGCAGGTGTAGAGCTTTGTATAGCTCCCGCCGAGGCCGCGTATCTAGCTGCATCAACTGCAGAAAATCCAGGCACTTCGACATTTTCAGTATGAAGATGCACAATACGAGACTCTGGGCTGTACAAACCTGGAGGTGTGTGTCGATCTGACTGATGACGGTTGAAGTGCTGCTGCTGCTGCTGCTGGAACTGCGCCGTCAGACTCGGCGAACGCTGTCTGTTAATATTTGCAGAGTCATGACCCTGTCCGCCAGAGGGACTTAAGGGTTTAGGACTCTCCGTCATGGCGCTTTGGGCGTACATGGCTGGGTTACTAGCACCAACAGGAAGAGACGAGATGCTGGTACCGGGAGTCTGGGACGCATTCGAACTTCCGGAGCCACGATCCACATTGGGTGGATAGAGTCGACCCGTAGCAGACCCTGAAGGTTGAGGTGTTAAAAAAGGTGAAACGTAGAGTTCGAGTAGTGTTTGGTTACCTTGAACATGCTGAGCTTTTATGCTGGGTAAACTAAGACGGCGCCTCTCTTCCTCCGTTAACTCACCTTCGTTGGAACCATCATATACGACACCAGTCATCGCAGAATCATCGCCCCCAATATGGCTTGAACCGTCCACCTCTTCTTCTCCGAGAAAGCTTCCCAAGCTACTCCGACGACCCACACAACCGCCAGGGCCTTTGCTATGCCGCGCCAAAGCATCACCGCGCGCAAATTTCCGGTCGCACTTTGGACAAACATGCGGTTTCTCCCCGGTATGCAACTTAGTGTGCCGCTTAAGATCGTGCAAACGACGGAAACGCATCGAACACGTTTGACAAACATACGGCTTTTCTTGACTATGAGTCAGAAGATGACTCTTGAGATTGTGGTGTCGTGTAAACTCCGTCTCGCAATACGGGCACTTGTGCTTTTTCGAATTCGGCGAGCGTGGTCCGCCTTGCTGGTTCGGTGTCATGGGCATGCTCATGCCCCGAGCCGGAGGGGCTGGCATGTTGGTCGGGGGAAGGACACCGGGATACGATAACGAAGTGACACCTTTGTCTTCCATTGGAGCCGGTGGTTGTGTTCCAAAGCCCGGATGGTCGTGGCGTCCGTCAAGCTCCATAGGCCCAGGACTAGTCGTCACATGTGCGCCAGGTCCGCCGCCTAAGCTTCCCAAGCTAGTCGCGCTTTGAGGACTTATATCATCAGGCTTTGGTTCGGAATTTTGGGCGTCGGGAAGCGGTATAGAAACGGGAGGAGGCGCAGGCTGCACATCTTCAGCCTGAGGAGCAGTTTCGGGAGCTTCCTGATTAGATTCCTGGGGAATATCCTGGGGAATATCTTGAGGTAATTCCTGGGCCACGTCCTGGGGAGCTTCCTGAGGCCGGCTCATGGCGAGAGCACTTGCAGATAATAATGCAGATTGGGCCCTTAAAGCAGGATTATCGCCTGCGCCAGAAACTTGTATCTTAAACTGCTCTTCTTCTCTTCGTCGTTCCTCCTCAGCTCCAGTTAAGGGCGTAGGAGAAAATCTCGACGACCCAATCAGCCTAGCTGCTTTACTTGGCGATAGTTCGCGGTGGAGTGCTGATAATGCCGAAGATGGCGAGATAGGAGAAGATTCACGCTGTCTTTTAAGCGACTGGGTCGCGCGAGTAGCTTCAGCGGTTAAGGTCTCGACAGAAACAGGATCGGAGGGAATCGTAGGTTGGGAGGTATTAGATGAAAAGGGCGGGGCTTCCGTCGCGACGGGACCTTTCTCGGACGCCATAAGATCGGTTAAGGATTACCAAGAACACGATTGATTTCCCCACGAAAAAATAACTCGGTATCGACGTAGAAGAGACGCGAAGGAAGCTTGGGCGCATCAACGACGCATCGTTGAGCTTGATGGATAGTAAGGCTGGATGTGTGGCTGGAGGACGTGGCTGCTGCTATGAATTGATGGTGTTGTTGATGATCGCGGCAAGGCGCGTTGACAAATGCTGATCTTTTTTGGTGATTTTTTTTTCTTATTTTTTTTCTCTCTCTTTAGTACAAATGAGTGATAACCGTATCAACCTAGGGATACGTTATTTCTCTTGGTAATTTTCGCCGCCAAAAGATGGTTAATGACGATACAATTGCACTGAGTTGCGCGGGTAGAGATTCGGCAGGTCAACAGTGTGTAAGTGGACGACTGAGCCGCAAAGACGAGATGGTAGGTTGTGGATGAGCAGGAAAAAAAGTGCTTGGGGGGAGCATCAAATTGTGGTGGTGCAGGCGCAGGTGGCAGTGGCAGGACTGAGAACATAAGAGAAAAAAAAGAGGCGGAGGTGGCGGCAAGTTCCAGTTTATTTTTATTGGCACTGGAGCTGATTCGTGTTGGAACCTTATTATTTTGGTTTGGTTCAGCTTGGTCATTCCCGCACTGTAGCCTCTAGGTATCGCTTAGGTATTTGTATGCCGTGACGGATGACGTTAGGTACCTACTATACAATACAGTATTCACCCAACTAAGTACAGTGCATGCAGACGCTCTCAATAGTTACAACTTACAAACACCGAGAGAAAAACATTACCTCACCTCCACATACATTTTGTAAGCTTATATAAAATGTGATAGTTAGAATCTAAGAAAACTCATAACAGATAATAATATTACTACCCATCAACTTTTGATGATGATCAAGTGTGCTGCTATATGTGGGTAAATGCACATATAGAAGCTTATATCACTTACCTTAACCATACCTAAGGTACATGTAAAAATGTCGCTGTAGGGCTGTATGTGATAATGTACCTAAGATAGGTAGCGAGCATGTGGGTGTGGCAGTACAACCTCCACTAGTCATCATCAGAGTGCATACTGCATTCTGTAGAGAGTTTGTTTAATGCGTAATTCGCCTAAATATACTTTAAGTACCTAATGTACGAGAACTGAGGTAGTGTAAGAGGTGCACACACCTTAGATAGGCTTGGCCAATTATGGAACAAAAAGTTTTAAGAATTATTAGTAAAGAACAAAGATCGAGCATTATACAAATTTAAACATCCCGGACATCTAAGACAATGGTATTCGTCAGGTAAATACGGAGTAATGGCGTTTATTTCTTATTGAATTTTTAAAAACCTATTAAAGTTCCGGATTCCCGCTTAAAGCTTAGGTGCCTTCTAAAGGTATCTTTCACAACTTTTAGGTGAAGGTCCTAAGGTTCCAAACTGATAAAACGGGATATGTACCTCTACTGTATTTGATTGGGACTGGTAAAAATAATTAACAAGTAATTTTTAAAAACGTTCGTGGTTAATTTAATTTACTTAAGCTAATAACATTATTAATTTTAAATTAAAAAAAAATATAATCGGCATTTTTAAATATTTATTTACTTTAAAAATACATATAATGCGTATAATATAATATTATATTAATTAAATTTTTAAAATATTAAAATTAAAAAAAATTACTTATAAATATTATATAAAAAATTATATTTACTTAAAATTAAATTTAATTAATATAAAATATATATAATTTTTTTTAATATTAACGTGCCGAATAATTAAGTATTTGTATTTTATTATGCGTATAATACTTTTTATTATACGTATTATATCGCATTATACGGCATTATACGCTAAGCATATAATGCTAAATGCATTTCTAGTTTACCTAGCTATAGGTATACAGTACGTAGAGTATGAAGTACATCCGTTGTAGGCATCACCGCTGCACGGCCAGGTGTCTCCGCGGCAGATTTTATATTACAAATCTGACCAATCTGTTTTTGACATGAATATAGGCCAACTACATTTCAGCTATAAAGAAAAAAGAAAAAACTCCATAAGCTCAAGTATATACTAGTTAATTACTTGCTTATATAACTTAAGATGCTTATGCATTGTTCTCATTCTGTCGACGTAGTGTATTTATATCAGTTACATGAGGTATTAGGTAGTGTAGTTATGTACCTGGTGGAGTACCGCCTGAGATGATGTTGTTGGCAGTTGCCGTCTCTTTCCTTTAATAGTAGGTACACTACTAGTATTTCTCATCTTCTAAGCAGGCACCTGCAGGCAGGCAGACGGGCTGGCTGGCTGAAGTTCATCAGGTCCTAACCTTCCCTAAGCCTCGGCCAGTCAGCCCACCCCCAAATTTCTCTACGTTTACATTTGCCTACAATACAATATCCCATTCTAACCCATTCAACTTCGCTATACAAGTACTACCTAAGCAGTGAAAAATATTACCAGGTGTTGGTGTCAAGCCAGCAAATCCTCGTCATTATACCTACCTATGCAACCCCGTCACCCATAACCTGCAATAACACACATACCTAGACACACACAACTACATTGTAACCCCACAGACGCCAAGTCTATCTTCAATCGCCAAAAGCGGTCAAATACTCCACTAGTCCCGTCCCAGTTGGGAGAACTCCACGGATCATCAATGCTCGTGATAATGGAGCCAACCACCTGTTTGGGCCGTTCAACAAAACTATCTTGAAGATAAGTCTTACGGCAACTCAGACGGCAGGCTGAGAAAAAAAGAAAAGAAAAAGAAAAAGAAAAAGCAACGTACACTACGGAATACAGTAGGTACCTAATCTAAGCTATCTCGCGATGCGGCGCCCAGTACAGACATAACATTCAAGAACGTCACCTCTAGCCCTGCTCGGCAAAGACTTACTCCAAAGGATGTAACACTGAGCCTCAAAAGCGGATAGCGTCCAGTTATGATCTGCTATGTGCCAACCCGACTTTGGTCACCGTCCAATGCAGTTACAGGCATAACACCTATATTACAGGAAATATAGGAAATATTGACACTTCATGTTTATGTGCCCTAGACGAAGTCGGCAATCGACGGTGTGTCCCGAAATCCACGTCTTATCCGACCTCTTCGTGAGCCGAATTTCCCTTACCTCAGGAATCATACAGAATCGAGATATCTACAGTCATAAAGCGCCATTATATCCTATCATACTTCAGTAGGACTATAATAGAATATAGATCTTAAATTGAAATATTCATATTCTACGATCTTCTAACTTCTGCTATAGCATTTCCCCGTCGTCGATACTCTTATACCCTAGAATGCCGCTGACCGCCCAATAATAGACATGCTATAATAGCTCCAGCTGCCTCTAACTGTCCTTTTAAGGAACGCCGACCGATCTTTTTTGGCAAAGCTTCCCCGCAGTTTATAAGCCTTAATCCCAGTTTTCAAACCGGCAACTCCCATTGCTTCAACCCTTGCTACAACCCTTGCTATACCTATTCTCATGAAAGTCTAGAGATAAAGAACACGTAAAATAACAGCATGGCTCTTTTAAGGGGGCCAACTTCTAGGATTAGCCGCCTTAAACACCATACCAGAGATACGGAACGTAGTATCAGCAGCCGCCCAAACAAGATATAGGAACAAGTTGCTAGAGTGCTCTAGGTTCGGAGAGAGTTAAATCTCCATCCATATTCAGATCTTTCGTCCGTTGCCCAGGGTGATGTATGTCCATATTATAGCACCCTTTATGTGCTCGTACGTTATGTATCGTGAGTGTGACGAGACGTCGAATCACGCAATATCAGATCAACCAATCCATCTTCGCTTACTAATGATTCAAGACGTCTTGTCTCGTAATCAGTTGTTCGTGTTGCCGTTTAGGCTATATCGTGGACAGGTACAAGTGCCTATAGATCAACAGAGACAACATACTTGCCTTCGCTTTATACCGTAGCCAGTAGGCAATCCAATAGTGGCACATGGCTTCCGGTGTTATCTCAATAGAGCCATTGCGACGTGAGCTACAGATTGTGGCATTCTGGAAGAGCTGTACCTAGTTCAATATTAAGCTCTTGCGAAAAACATCACCTAGCGAGAGGAGATATATCCTTCTCAGTATCGAAACATTCTATGTTTTCCTTACGCTTGGAAGCTAAGCATATCCACAAGGCTCTAAGAGATATCCCATCGATTAGGTATGTTTCAAGCCCGCCTACTGGGTAGGTAGAGGAGAGGTTATACTAGAACAACTACCTTCCTCGGGAACCTCCGGGTACCAAGGGCAGTGCTCAAGTTCGTTGTACGTTGGTGACAACACAGTCCAATACATATCGGTGAACTTGAAGATTCCAAGTCCGCGAGTATGTTTCGTAGTTAAGAGTAATAGTTATATCAGGATGCCGTAGGGGTAGCGCTGATGTATGAGTAGGTACCTAGTCGGGTAGCTCCTCGCCAGAAACGCAGATACCTTAGGTACCCGAATATACGACCAACGATCCTTAGAGCCAGTGTTAAAGATATGGTGATATGTGAAGTTGTAGATTTTATCAGCCAATCCCGTACCGACCATATATATTTGAATTAGCAATGGGGCATGGGTACCTAGGTATGTAGTCTTTATCTTAAGGAGGTAGCTAATCGTAGTGTATAACCCCCGAGTTTATCGGGAATGAGACGAAGTCCTTTTCCTTTGGTGTGCTCAACTTGACCTTGGCTTTGAGCTGCTGCCAGGCAAGCCACCGAGCACGAAGTTGCTTGAGATATGTGCCATCAACTTAGTACGTACCTTGTTAGAAGCCGGCGGAAGCTTAATAATGCCGACGATGTTAGAAGGCTGTATACAGGAAAGTACTTATAACGGGAGACATGCTCTTGTATTCCCCAGTGCTTTTAACATCATACTTGTCTACAATTGGTGTTGAATAGGTATCATTTCAAACTTCACTCCCTATGAGTCTACTTTGGCTATTAGCATATCCCATGGCGCTTACATATTTTCCAGCCACCTACACCTGTTGTTTGGACCATGTACTTACTTATAGGCATACGGTATGTTGTCGAATAGAAGCTGCAGCTAAATTTAGGAAGCCTAGCTCGAATATATCCTTCGTCTAGTGTACCTAGACTAGCTGGTAAAGTTAGTTGATATGATACTTATTGCGGAGATGAAGTCTGGAAGTAGGTGACAACTTAGAACAGTATAAACTTGAATAAGAAAGGCTTCCATAAGAGAATTTATAAAGGCTATCTAAGTACCTCAGGTAGTTATAAGCGCCTTCATACTTGGTAAACTTATCTAATAATTATAATATAGTAGTTTACTTATATGTTCCACTTTGAAAGAAGCTCGTTTGCTTAGTTTTCCTCCTATATATAGATACTCCATCTTGAAAATTATATAGACCTCTAATGTGCGTAAATGGTTTAGGTAATAGCGAAGACTTATGGTCTTACAACATATGGCTTTAACCTTGATAGCTATATGAATGGAAAACTTGGACGCTAAAGGGGATCTACGACATACATACCTCCTATCTACATACATAGTATGCAGTAGTACATTTGTCATAATCCGCACCTATACGCCCGATAAAGTGATGCTAGGCAGTTCTAGACCGGTTCGCGCAGAATGGTGCGGAGCACTTGTGGTTAGTTAATGTATGGGAGTTCAGATGAGGAAGATTGCTGATGTATAAAGACTTAAGGAAGCATAGTGGTTGGGATGATCCCATAGGTTGTTTTAGGCTATTGGGGTCAAGGCAAATATCTCCATATTGCATCGATACATCCCATTAATAAGCGTGTTCTCACCTCGCAGTCCTTTCGCTTTCACTCCTGGGTGAAATCACTTGTTTTAACCTAGGGTACCTAGGCCAGAGCATTGGCGTTAAGCACACTTGAGTCAAACCTTGGATATAGTTGATGACATGTATACCTATTGCTGGCCATTCCAACATCATGCCACTTTTAATATAAAGGTATAGCACAGCGTAAGGGACTTTGCTCGAGTTTCTAAAAGCACTTGACTAGGCAGTCATAATGTATTAACCTAAGATATCTACCTATACTGGGTGTGATTACAAGTATATCAATCAGATAAACTTTATTCCTAAGCTGTCAAGACAGTACCCTTCTGGCATTCGAGGACATACTCGTTTCCTACATCACTCCAGAAGCTTCAAGTGTCCGAGAATTGGGAGCTAAGTTCACTCTATGGGTACCGGCAGTAAAATAAGCCCATGACGGAAACCTGCATGAGATATATGTAGGGTACACATGGCTCATGTGCGCAGGTAACATTACGCAATATATATCTAACCTCTGCTCCTATAGTACCTAAGCCAGCTGTAGAAGCAAGTCTCGCAGTACTGTTTTACTATTCCATTTGAGCGTTGGCAGAAATAATTTTTGAAGGTGCCAAGGCCCCAGAGGTCTTTTGAGCATGTTTCAAATCCGCTTGCCTGGTATGATAGGTATCTACTGCTGATGGGACGTTTGGAATCTCGACGAATAATACGACAGGAAGTATGGAAACAAATAACTTGATCCTTTCATAAGGAAATTTGAACCTACCTCACTATTGGAAGCTCGAACCATGGGCATTGAAAGTCTTTGTTCCGAATGTCTCAATAGGTGAACTCCTACATAAACTCAGGGGTTATGTTGAGGTCAAGTTAAAGTATGCATGGATTGAGATAGTCCGGTCTGGCTATGACGGCCTTCACATGACAAACGTATGGGCGATAGGCAATACTATAAATAGAGTCTGTTATAATTACCGCGCTTTTGGTGGTTGAATGAAAGTTCGTATCGAACTTTGGCCTCGAAGGTAAGGGAGTTGAGAGCATTAATGGTCTATCGAACCGTTGATTTGTAGACATCCCCACATGGCAATGGCGACGATAGCGTTCAAGCGGTTTCACCGATCGGCGTTGTCAAGGTTCCACAAGGCGCTTATCAACTTTTGCGTGTATCGATGGAGGTCCCAAAGAAACAACGTGGATGACGGGATGAACTTCATGGAATGGAGACCAGTCAGTGGATCGATTTGCCAGAGAGAAAGGGGATAACCGTCAGAGAAATTCTAGCCAGTAAGAGACAAGATACGCCTCATCACCCATGCCGAAATTGCAGCAATCAAAAGCAAGGGACATACGCGCAATCCATCCACAAGTGGCATGTGCGAAGGAGATCTGGATCAGGATCGAGTTGTTAGTCCACCTAATTATTTATTTACCCACAATCGTGGAAGCCTTCTTTTTCTTATTTACGATTCGTACATCTTGCTCCTTTCCGCTCTTTGTTGAATCAGTACGGAATACTGCTGTTCAATATGCCTTGCCTGAATTAATTACCCGTGGCAACTTAGTAAATCTTAGTGATATACTAGGTACATTACGATATCTGGTTTGTACTAGTGTGATAATAGTAAGACGCGAATAATTGACTATTGGTCATTCTGGTATTGAAATATGTGGATGAAGAGAGCAGCCAAGTATTTGTTTATGAAGGAGTAGTTCAAGAGGAAGAGAAGGAAATATGACCCCTTAAAAACACGGAATATGAAGGGCTGTTTTTACTACGTGTACAATACCTTGATAATAACAACGCTGCTATCATCATTAATTTGCGTCCTTGCTCTGATAATTTGCTCGGCCATGGCCACGAGCCATGAAGTTCTCCATCGTGAAAAGTTCGTATTCCTCATTGCCAATGATAAAGAAACGTGGATTGTATTTTTATTTTTATTTTTTATGAGCTGATGAGATGGATGATGATGCCGAGTACTGGGCAGCATAGCCACACGAGCAACTTTTAAACTTGATTTTGTAGTCAGTGGAGCTGCTAGGCGGCACGTTGCTTAGCCTTTAGGTGTAATGATGCTATCCATGCCCGCGAAAATGGTGGGAAGATAGTCCCAGAAATCCAATGGTGCGTGATACAACCCGCGGTCAAATTTGCCCTATATGTTCAATCCCTGCAGGCGTGGCTGCACTGACCATGCCGGCCATGCTGAAAGTCTCGGTAATTTCAGTAGGAATCGAATTAGTGCGCCGTACCTTGCAGTAGTGGGCATGCAAGTGGGAATTGTCGGTCAAGCATTGGCCATCTTCTCATGCGGTTACCCTGCCACTTCTCTCCCGTCCTGGTTAGTTCTAGTTAGTTCTGGTTAGCGCTCTTATACCATTGGATGGATCTTGGTCACCCCGAGGAAGGCCAGGACGTCTGTACGTACTATGTACCTACCTAGCTTGTCTTGTAAGTTGTACCGCCTGTACCTGCTTTCCCCCCTAAACCTCCTGTCTCCCTGCAAACAATTAATTTCACCCTTTCTCCCTCCATCTCTTGTGAATCTTTTTATTGTTTCCTTCTCTATCGCCCCGTCGTCCAACTGAGAGGTCAATCCACTCTCTACCACATTCCTTTGGGACCGCAATTACGCTCGTTTACATACGCCGCGATACGATCAAAAACCAAACAAACATAAACAATCTAATACTTGGCATTCCTTGTCTACAGCCATTATACCGATCAGCAACTGACGAAATTTGCTTAACATCTCACCAACTCAATCGGTAAGTGCCAATCAATGTGTGGAATTGCATCGTCGCTTTGTCACAGAGTACACAACCTGAATTACATTACCACTTGCTACATTCGTACAATATTGTGACACGGAAACTTTCCCTTTGATTTCCCAAGCGCTGTCATCCCTCGAGTATACAGTACTGGATACTGGATACTGGACGCTGGATGCTGGATGCGACAATCATTTCTCCACTTGCAGTTGCGCTGACAATGGTTCTACCCAGATTTGCGATTTCAAGATACACACATCGAACCTGATATCAATTGCAAAGTATTAACCAGCAGAAAACTCCACCATGAAGGCTGTTGTCTTGAACCTTGCCGTCGCGGCATCCTTTGCTGCTGGTGCCGCTGCCCAGCCCCACCACCATCACCATCATCACAAGAAGAACGCTCCGGCTGAGAAGCGCGAGGTCGAGACTACTTATGTTCCCGCTACCGTCACCCAGTACCTGCTAGGCGACGAGGTGGTCGGTGCCGACCAGGCTAAGGATGGTTTGGACAAGGGTCTCTATGTCGTTGTTGGCGAGACTACTCCTACTTTCACCCCTCCTCCTCCGCCTGCCGTTACTAGCAGCTCCACCTCCAATAGCGATGCGGTCTTCATCGAAAAGGTCACCTCAAGCTCGGAATCCACCTCAAGCTCTGCTCCTCCCACTACGACTTCTTCCGCCCCTGCCGCTACCTCTTCGAGTTCTAGCTCTACCGGCTATGCTACCGGCATCGATGCTGAATTCCCTGATGGAAAGATCAAGTGCGACCACTTCCCCGAGGAGTACGGCGCCGTCCCCCTCAGCTGGCTTGGCCTCGGCGGATGGAGTGGGCTTCAGTTCACTCCCAACTATAAGTTTGGTGACCTTTCTATCAGCTTCATCGAGACTGGCGTGAAGGGAATGAGCAAGAAGACTGGATTCTACTCCTACGCTTGCCCCGAAGGATATGTCAAGTCGCAATGGCCCTCGGCTCAGGGAAGCACTAGACAGTCTGTGGGTGGTTTGTACTGCAACCCTGACGGTTACCTCGAACTTACCCGCCCCGAAGTTAAGACTCTGTGCGAACCAGGTGTTCCTGGTATCACCATCAACAACAAGATGTCAAAGAATGTGGCTATCTGCCGTACTGACTACCCCGGTATCGAAGCTATGGTCATCCCCGTGGACGCACAGCCTGGCGCCGTCCGCCAGCTGGCCAACGTTGACTCCGCTGACTACTACCACTGGGACAACAAGCCCACCACCCTGCAATACTATGTCAACCAGCCTGGTGTCTCGGTCGAGGATGGATGTGTTTGGGACTGCTCTGAGGATCACGATGAGTGCGGTAACTGGGCCCCCACTATTCTCGGTGTTGGCAAGTCTAGCGATGGCAACACCTATATCTCCCTGTTCCCGAATACGCCTACTAGCAGTGCTAAGCCTAAGATGAACATCAACATTACTGGTGATGTTAGCATTCCTTGCTACTTCAAGGATGGCGCATACGCCGTTGGTGACAGTGGATGCACGGTAAGTCGATCCATCTATATTCAATCTATGTATTTGGCTAACTGGTATAGACCACCATCCCCAGCGGTGGCAAGGCCGTCGTTACGTTTAGCGACGCTTAAGCGGGCGAGAGTGGGAGGTTGTTTTCTGTCATACTGGACTGGGTTTTATATTGCTTTCTAATGGATACCTGCCATATTTTTTGCCTCGGTACGACATGACATTAGAGGCGTGTTTTGTCACCTGGGCGATGTGACCAATCTAATTTTTATTGTGTATATTTTTGGCTGTATGGGTTATGTTACGCCGGACTTCCGCTGTCTTCAATTTTAATCGCAGGTAGACGGGGATGGTTCGTGCGGGAGATGGGGAGCCACAAGACGTTTAGCAACATTTCGAGATGGCCGCTCAGAGACCATGATTTGATGCAATAGTTGATATATCCCTATATATTTACTCGCCCCGATGTATTCTGTAGAGAGCCTTCGACTAGATTTCTCTCGACAGAGTTCGCACCTGAAGGGTTATTCCTTACCAGGCCAAAACTATAGTGGATAGGAGTCATGGAGGAGGAGCGGGGTGGCGAGGTGTGGTTAAACGGATCTCGGGAAGGATATTCTGCAGTCATGGTCATTGGACGCGGTTAAAGGAGGGAGGAAGTTGTGCACAGAGAATGAAGATCTCGTTTAAAAACAAGTCAATTCTATTTGTCTTTTTCCAGCTCCTGTGTCATCTCTGCAATATCTCTTGGCAATCTACCTAAGGTATCCTGTCCTTTGCGTTATTTTCTTGGTGTTATATTGCAAAATAATTATTTATACATAGTTTTAAAGCCGAAAATTTAATATAAGATGTGCTTTGAACATGAGGAGCTTCTTAGTATTGTTATCATATAAACACTTCTTTTTTTTCTATTTCAGTAAGCGAGAGTAAAAGATAAGATTTATACTACTAACTACAGGTATGCTAACATAGACATGTCCATGCTTATACTACCAACTGCAGCCTCGGTTAAAGGTATTGTACCTAACCTAATGGATCTCGCCGTTTGAGGCTCTTCGTTAGCTTCTCGATCCACACCCACATGTGCTGCTTACCTAGCTAGTAATACTAGAGGTACCTAACCTTCGGTTTTTACTTCGTAGGGCTGAGGGGATATGAGTAATGGAAGGGTAAGGCTAGTGAAAACCTCTATAATACATAGGTTAGGTACCTAGGTAGGGCCAATGAAACTTCTCCGACCTAGATTAGGTATCGTTTTGTGTGTTGATTTAAAAGGAATAAAACTAGGAGGATCATGTCGGCGGTCGATTTGAAGTGCTGACAATGGGTAAGCGTGGAAAGGCCCGGCGGCGCTCACGTAAATATATAACCCCTATAAACAAATTGCGTCATTACGATGCGGTGCGATGCGATGCGATGCGATGCGATGCGATATCTGATTGTAGATGTTTTTTTTTTCTTTTTTTTTTTCTTGAAGTGTACCTGCTATAAAGTCCGGTCGGCGCCACACCCGACGTCGCTCAAGGTTTGCGCGGTTTCTTTTTTTCATAGCTCATCCGGCCAAGAAATGGCATATTGCAGCTTTTGCGGCTTGCGGCAAGCTGGTTATTGGAGGAAGCATTTGAAGCGTCCCCTCGTCCCTCGCTTGTTTCGTCCGGGTTGTAACGGGGCTTTTCCCCGCGGCAAGCTTGCAAGGCTTGGCACATAATAACGTCAAATCTCACCTTTTTTTTTTTTTTTTTTTTTTTTTTTCTCTCTGCTCTCTCTCAAATCTGTGCATCCCTTTTGCTCCAACGGCCGGACCTTGAACGGCTCCGATTAACTTGAAAAAAAGAAAAGCTCGGAGCATTGGCGAATGACCTTCTGACCTGACCCCACCTTGTTTAGGCTCGTGCGCTAAGCCCAGCTAGCCTAGCTCCCTCTCATAGATTGGTTTTCTCTGTGGCTTTTAGCTTTTATGTATGCTCTTGTAAGGTTTATGCTCGATCCAACGTCGATCCCGTCATGGGATAAGTATCCCGACATTTCCTTTCTTTTATTTTGTTTTCCTCTTAATGTTTTTTTTCTTAAACTCTCTTTAGAATTTTGATTACCATCGTTGCACTAGTTTCTTTTTCATTTCGTTTTATTTATTTAGTAATAATAAATAATAATAAATAACTAACCTGCCATGTCTCTGCAACGGGTTGGTTCCCTCGAGGCGTTCGTCATTGTTCCTACCGAGGGCCGCAGGTCGCGGCGGGGTTCTGCGTCCTCGGTTGCTGCCTCCGAGAGGGCGAGAAAACTCACCTTCAACCCGCTGCCAGAGTCGTGGAACCCCGTCTTCGAAGACGAAGATAATGGCCGTCTTCACCTCGGCCAGTCCCGAGGGGCCTTTGAGGTGCCTCGATGGGAGCGAATACGTGAGTAACCTATCCATATATCCTAGATACTACTCGTGACCAGAAGTGCCAAGGTTGTATAGGCAGCTAATACGTACGGGCTTGGCGTTTAGTTCAAGTTATTATTATGGTCGTGTTCTGCCTCTTCGCTGCTGGGATCGTGTTCGGATACGCTGCGTTGAAACCAGTGCTGAAGAAGGAGGGCGCATATCAAGATATATGTAATGGCGGGGACACCTGCGTGGAAATTCATCTAAATCTCATGTTCACTGTTGCCGCCGTTGCCACCAACGTTGCTGCCCTTCCCGTGGGTGCTATTCTAGACCACTATGGTCCTCGAGTCTGCGGTGTCATAGGTGCTCTGTTTCTTAGTATCGGCGCGCTGTGCATGTCCTTTGCTAAGAGCTTGCCTTTTGATGCTTTCCTCTTCGGCTACCTATTCCTCGCCTTAGGCGGTCCATTTACCTATATATCTTCGTTCCAATTATCCAATGCTTTCCCCCGGCACTCGGGTCTTATTCTCGCATTACTTACAGGCGCGTTCGATGCCTCGAGCGCCCTGTTCCTCGTCTACCGTATTATTTATAGCAAGACCGGCGGTAGTTTCGGACACCACCGATTTTTCCTTGTGTACCTTATAGTGCCGGTACTGATACTAATCTTCCAGCTGACAATACTCCCCAAGCAGTCATACAAGACCGTGGGAGAGATGATCGAAGAGATCGAGACACCTGCCTTTCCCGATCCGGCTGACGCGTCGGACGTGATAGATGCTGATGATCAGGTGGACGAGCAGACGGCGCTTATTCGGGAAGAACAAAGAGAGCACCACGAAAGCGTTGTGCACGACATCGAGGAGCTACTGGGCTCTAGCAAGGTGGACAAGGACGAGCAAGCTCAACGCGAGGAGGCGAGGAACGAGAAGAGCGGCGTGTGGGGTGTAATGCATAACCGCACGGCGTGGGAGCAGATCTGCTCGCCTTGGTTCGTGCTCATATGCCTGTTCACCGTGGTGCAGATGACGCGAATCAACTACTTCGTCGCCACCATCCGGCCGCAATACGAGGCCATATTCGGCTCGCTAGAAAAGGCCGTCGAGATCAACAACTTCTTCGACCTGGCGCTCCCGCTCGGCGGCATCGTCTCGATCCCTTTCATCGGGATCATCCTGGACCGCACGAGCACGGCGGCGGTGCTCGCGACGCTGGTGGCGGTGGCGACGACGATCGGGGTCCTGGGGGTGCTGCCGTACGCGTGGGCGGCGTACGCCAACGTGGCGCTGTTCGTCCTGTACCGGCCCTTCTACTACACGGCGGTCAGCGACTACAGCGCCAAGGTGTTCGGCTTCCGGACCTTCGGCAAGGTCTACGGCACCATCATCTGCCTCTCCGGCCTGCTCAACTTCAGCCAGAGCGCCCTCGACTACCTCTTCCACCGCACCTTCCGCGGCGACCCCGTCCCCGTCAACCTCCTCCTGCTCGCCCTCGGCCTCGTCATCGGCGTTGGCCTCGTCGCCTACGTCGGCCTGCAGTCCCGGCGGCTCGGGCGGAAGAGGGAGGTGTCGCCGAGCGGGTTCGCGAATGGGAGGGGGGAATACTGAGATATTATATTATTATTATATTATCATTTACGTCTTTTTTTATGGTCTTTACGCCTTTATAACGACGACGACTTTGCTGGGTATATGAAAAAAGTAAGTTGCATGGCGAATTGGTTTAGGTATTGATTTATGGCGGTTTTCGCATATGATTGGCATGCTATTAAATATCTAGGCTAGGCTGACTGAATAGTGTGTTTTTTTTTTTTTTGGCTTTTTTGGGAGATGCGACGGGGAGTACATATATATATACTATACCTAATATACCTCTTTGAGTTTATGATAGGATAGAATGACAAATAGCTGAAAAATTGAAAATATATCCCACGGGAAACGGATTTGTTTTGTCTGGCTATGTGATTTGAAGACGATTTACATGTACTTATGAGATTTCACGAAGACATATATATTCAAGCTTATATGCAGCTGGAAACAGTTCTCATTCACAGACATCCTAGGAATAGAAGTCGTACACATAGCAGACTAGGTTGAGATTCTATATCCACGTAAAATTGCTCATGTGCTGGAAACTTGCTCGCCATGCACGAAAGCTCCAGACGGCTTTGTCCGGCACACCAATATAGCCAGATTCGATTTCTCCTATCTAGGTATCAATAGGAATTAAAAAAAAAAGGCTCAGTTCTTGTAGCACGGTAACCGGGTAAAGTTTGCGCTGGATACTCCGAAGGACGTGCTGTGGAGACTTAAAAGGCCTCGTTTTCCTAGGTCCGTGGCGCCTGTTTATTTGGTGATGGCTATATGTAGATAGACATCGTGGCCGTTTTAAATCCGGCTCGGCTGGTGTTGAGGCTTGACGGATACTAGGTTAAGCTAAGACAAGCCAACTAATCCGTCTTTGCTGGTGCGTAGACTGAGACCGAATGGGTCGATATCATAGTATCATCATGGTCTTTACTACCACGATATCCTTTCCTTAGGTAGATATCGTGTAGCAATCAATATCTTGTTATTATAATTATTATTGTTGTTGTTTTTGCTTGGTCCATTAGACCATTCGAAACGCTCGTTCGTGATACCTGCATGGTCAACCCTCCTTTGCCGATTCTGGCACTGCCGTCGTCGCGTCCGTGTTTGGTTTGGGCTCCCCGTCGGCGTCGAAACCGAGCGCTTCAAGCTCTCGCACGAGCTCGTTGATCTTGATGACCTTGGCGATCTGCTCCGGCAGAAGGGATTCCCCGCCCTCCTTCTTGCTCTTGAGCTCCTTCGCCTGCTTGAGTTTCTTCTTCAGATTGCGAGCCTTCTTTTCCCTCTCGGCCTCCGGGTCTTCGACAGCGGTAGTAGCAGCGGTAGTAGTAGTAGTAGCAGCAGTAGCAGTAGCAGTCGCATCTTTCGCGTCGGCCGGTTCCTGCGACTGCTTCGCCTTCTTCCTAGCGTCCCTCCTCTTGGCGTTTTTGTTGCTGGCGGCGGACGCGGACGTGGCTGCGGTAGTTTCTTGCTTGTGCTCTTTCAACCCCTCGGCTCCGACGACGCCGCCGGCCTTGCCCCGGTTCCGGAACGACTCCGCCGTGCGGTTCTTGTACAGCTCGACGTCCTCGGGGGGCCGGTAGCCCGGGCGAATCTTGATCGCTTTGCGCGTGGTGCCGTCCGCGCGCACGGATTCGGGGATGTGTCGCTCGCCGCTGTGCTCGTCGGTGACGATGCCCGAGGTGGACGGTTCGGAAGGCATAGGGAAGATATTGATTAAACTATTATGTATAGGTACCTAGGTATGTATGTATTGTATGTAATGGGCTTTATGGATGTATATCGTAAAATGTGTTGTAAAGTACCTAACCTTTTATTTAAAGTGTACCTAGGTAGGTAGGTGTAGTTAGGTAGGTGTAGTAGGTGAAAATAAACAGTGTACGTAAAGTAAGGTAATAATAATGTTGAACCCGTTAGCGGTTTGAAGCCTGAGGGGGGCTCAAAGCGAAAAAAAGAACAGCCCACCTACCCACTTACGTCCTGGAGAAAAGAAGTGGGACCGTCAATTCTGGAAGCTTCAGCCAATCAGAGACAATCATTTTCTAAATCACCAACGCCCGACCAATTCTTTCTTCGGCTGAAGCCCGCGAACTTACATCTTCCGAATTCGAACTTCAAGACGTCAATCAAACCAATCATTCATTCGCCAACGCCAACGCCGACCACTCCTCCTACCCTACCATCCGAAAGTCGAAATTTCCTATATCTTTGATATAGATCTCCTCAGACCGTATTAGCCATGGTATAATTCACCCCGATCTGTATGTATCGTTAATGCGCAGTAACTAACTAATCGCGCAAAATAGGCCGCCGCACGCCCTTTGTACAAGCAAGTCGACTCTCTCTCTCTCTATCCAACGACTGAGCCATAAGACCCGTTGAGCTGACCATATTTCTCTTCGCGCAGCGCCATTTTCCGAACCAACTGGCAAATGCTGGGTTTTGTCTTTACCGGGGCTTTCGCTTTCGAGATGTACGCAGTTTCCAGTCCTCCTCTACGGGGAATACAGCGGGGGAATAAGAATAAATAGGGTATGGGTTGCTGACGGGACACTATACAGGTTATTCGACACCGGCATGAATAAGCTCTGGGATAACTTGAACCGAGGGGTATGTTTTTTTCTTCTTCTTCTATCTAACTAAATGATAATTCCCGGAGAAAAAAAAAGGTAGCAACTGACTAACTTGCCGAAAAAGCGACAATGGAAGGATATCCGACACCGATACGTCCAAGAGGAATAAGCGGGCTATTGCTAAAGTTCAAATGTTCTGAGTGAGGTTAGAGATAGGGACATACGAGAACTTCCGGAGACGATCGGGTGTATCGAAAACTACCTAACCTAACCTATACAATTGTTGTACCTTATAGACCGGAACAATTCTTTATAGCACAGTTCGCACCAAGCTATATCTCAGCCTATCCATATCTGCTCCCGACGAACGACTGCGTGAGCCTTGGATGGATGATTTATGTACCTAACCTAGATTATATATCTGAACATCCTGATTCAGGCGCCTGGAACAAATATATAGAGCCATTGACCTAACTCGATTTATTAAGGTGTAAATGTTGGGCTCACTTACATATTAATTGCTCTTTTGTCGAATTAGATTTAAATATCGTATATGCAACTCATTGTGACAAGGGGAAAACGTTATGTATTGCAATTTTAGGGTGAAATTGTGCAACTCGATAAGATTATCATACCTATTACAAGTACAAGCAGATCGATTTTTTTTTATAGATGAGGTGTAACATTCCATTTCCGCCGTGATGATACTGACGGTGTACGGCGTGTAAATGTATAATAGGTATCATATTGTACATTGGGCTATAAGGCGGGTAATATTACCTAACCTGTTTGGCAAGGAAAACGCCATAGCGCCTGAGTGCAAACCGCTGGTGTTCGTAGCTGCCCAGGGCCCCAGCTAATGCGAAGTTCGAACAAGTCATAGTGATAGTTATCGATAACCGATTTTACTAGTATGTAGCATCCATCCCGGTCATCTTAGCTCCTAGCAACTTACGTAGGAGGGGGGGAATTGGGCTTCTTGTCGGAACCTCTACATAGTAAGAACAAAATTCCTATTCCATCCTTTTTTCAACTTTTTCCCTATTTCACCGCCGTACCTGCCCTTTTTCCAATTGTCATAGTGGGACGCGTGTTTCTTTGTTTGCCCCGGTGGATTATAATTCTACGTCTAGCTACCCTCAGGTACATGTACTTTTTAATATTTACCGCCCTTACGCCCATTACTCAACAACGCACCCGCATATTCATCATATAGACATTGTCTCTCCACACACACGTGCCGCCACCGACTCAACCCGCCTTATACCCCGATTCTGCCTTTTCGGGACCTTTCTACAGATCCTCTTTCATCCTCACAAACATCAATCTTCCGCCGTTTTGGTCCCCGAAATGATAGTTCGCCAACCATAAATCATGGACACCGCTATGTCTACACAAGAGCTCCAGCTCTGCCAACATCTGATAGAGCTGCCGCGACGTTATCGCTACCGATACGATGAAGCCGCGTGCCAAGATCTTCTATATGGCCTCTTCTGGTCTATGGCTGGAGGGAGACCCGAAAACTTGCGACTGTTCTTTCCCGACGGTAAACTCACCCCGAAGAGCACCCTAAAGCTCCGAGAAGCCCAAGGCGCCGTAGAGGGGGCCGAGTACACCGAAGCTGCTCGTGGTAAGGCATGTGGCCACATATTCCGAGCTGGAGAGGCATCATATGGCTGCAAGACTTGCAGCACCGATGAGACGTGTTGCCTGTGTAGCAAATGTTTCAACGCCACAGACCATACGGGCCATATGGTACGGATCTCGATATCCCCAGGGAATAGTGGTTGCTGCGATTGTGGTGATCCCGAAGCTTGGAAAACTCCCATGTTTTGCACGATCCATAGCGAGCGCGAAGAAGACCGGTCGAAAGGAAAGGGCAAAGAGGTCGCTGGACTGCCTGAGGAGGTCGCTTCCAATATTCGGATGACCGTTTCTAGAGTCCTTGATTTCATCTGCGATGTCATTTCCTGCGCACCCGAACAGCTCCGACAGCCTAAGACGAGAGAATCCATCGAGAAAGATGAGAAAATGTCACGCTTAGCGTCGACCTATTGCGGCGGCGACCTTGAGTCGCCCGAAGAGTATGCGCTATTACTTTGGAACGACGAGAAGCACACAGTGCAGGAGGTTCAGGACCAAGTCGCGCGGGCGTGTAGTACGACTCTTAAAGAAGGGTATAACCGAGCAGTCGAAACCGATTCGATCGGTCGGAGTATTCTCAAATACGACACGAATATAGAGAGGTTGCTACGGTGTGCTACTATTCTTGAGCATATCAAGATAACCGTCACTATTCGATCATCTCGCGATACCTTCCGAGAGCAGATGTGTGGGACCATGATCGACTGGTTAAACGACATATCTGGGTGCGTAGTGGGAAACGATCAGAACATTCTCCGAATGGTTGTTTGCGAAGAGCTCCTAAAACCCTGGCGGAAAGGGAGCCCTGGCACGCATGCTATGCCTGGTAAAGATGGCCTTGAGGATGAAGAAAAGCTTGAATACGACCCCCTCGAGGCTCACACGGCTACAATTATCATACAGCGCGCAAGATTTCTCAATGGCCAGGAAAACACGGCCAATATAGCTGACTTGCTTGAATTTGACGATGACGATAACGATGATGATGACGAGGATATGGATGGCGGTAATCGGACGCCCTCGAGTGGAGAAGAGGACAACGATGATGACGAAGACGAAGATGAAGATGTGATGATGGTAGATACGCGACCGGAAGCTGGTGGCGCTGAAGTAAACGTACCCGACTGGATCGGTCCCGGCGTGGCATCCCTCGAAGAGGAAGAAGCAACAATGGCAGGCTACCCGCCGCCTCCGCCCCCACCTCCCGTACAGAGACGCGCGACCCGGGACCGGGATCTCACGCCGTCAGACTCGGATACCGCTGAGCCGTTAATAGCCCCGACCGTATATGCAAAGGCTAATCTTGAGATTCCCAAGACCCCGGGTCTTTCCAAGGCAGGAAAATCAGGGCCTCCGAAGCCTGGGAGGTACTGGGTCGAGACGCCAGGAGCTTACATGGAGCGTGATAGTGTCCATCCGTTCGAAGATGTCTTCCAACGAGTCCGTCTGGATTGGCTGATCCTCTTCGACTTGAGAATGTGGAAGAAGGTTCGAAATGATTTACGTTCATTATATATCTCTACGGTTGTCACTATTCCCGAGTTCAAGAGGGTTCTAGGCCTTAGGTTTGCTGCGTTGTATACGACACTGGCGCAACTATATCTTATAGGAGATCGGGAGCCTGACCACTCGATTATCAACATATCTTTACAGATGTTAACAACACCTTCTATTACCGCGGAAGTTGTCGAAAGGGGCAACTTTTTGACAACCCTGATGGCGATTCTATATACGTTCTTGACTACTCGACAAGTTGGCCATCCCTGGGAAGTTTCGTCGAGTGCCGTTCTCGGGTTCGATACAGGCTCAGTGACGAACAGACGCATGTATCACTTCTACGTCGATCTGAAGTTTCTCCTCGGCTCGCCTCATGTACAGGAGCGGATGAGGACCGAAGAAAGGTACTTGATGCAGTTCCTTGACCTAGTGAAGCTTCACCAGGGTATTTGCCCAAATGTCCGAGCTATTGGTGAGCATGTAGAATATGAAACCGACAGTTGGATTGGCGCCTCGTTGATGACGCGAGAAATCAATAGGCTTTGCCGGCTTCTATCAGGTTCTTTCCGGAGTCTCCCACCGCAGGATCTCCCGTATCTAGAGAGGGCCATAAGGACAACAGCCAAGAGTGTTATTATTAACTCGGTTGGAGCGGAGCGTGCCAGATTCACCCAGGCTGAGATCAAAGAAGAAGTGCGATTTAAAACGTTATGCGATTTCGAATTTGCCGGCGAGACGGCCAAATTCGAAGTAGTAAAGTTCGTCGTGGGAGAGCAATCTATTAGTTTCCACCATGCCCTACACTACACCTTGTCATGGCTGATCGAATGTGGAAAGCATATGTCTCAAGAGGAACTCAAGTCGATCTTAAACTTCACTTCGCAAGAGCTCAAGATGAAGCCTCGTTCAATGGGTCGAAAAATGATGCCTAGGCGAGATTACACCCCTGAAGATTACCTTATGGCCGTATTTGATTACCCCCTCCGCGTCTGCACCTGGCTCGCTCAAATAAAGGCAGGGATGTGGGTACGCAATGGTATTAGTTTGAGGCATCAAGCCGGGACATATAAGAATATCCTCCATAGGGATGTCACGCATGCGCGAGATATCTTCTTGCTCCAAACCGCAATGGTTGTTTGTGACCCGAGCCGGGTTCTCGCCTCGATCGTTGACCGTTTTGGAATGGAAAGCTGGACCAAAGGTTTATTTGAGCAGACCTCCACTTCTCAAGATGAGATTCAGCACCTTGATGTCGTTGAAGATATGATTCACTTCTTGATCGTATTACTAAGTGATCGAACCTCGCTCATACCGGTCAAAGACGAGCAGCAGACGCACTTGATGGCAATGCGCAGGGATATCACGCATGTTCTATGCTTCCGGCCCTTGTCTTTCAATGAGATATCAAGCAAGATGCCCGAGAAGTTCCATGAACAAGAAGACTTTCAGCGTGTATTAGATGAGGTGGCTACGTTCAAATCTCCCGAAGGCGTCTCGGACGTAGGGACTTTTGAACTCAAGCCGCATTTCATCGAAGATATCGACCCATACATTGCGCACTACAGCAAAAATCAGCGCGAAGAATCAGAAGCTGCCTATCGCAAGTGGATCTCCAAAAAGACAGGAAAGCCCGCCGAAGAAATAGTATACGAGCCGAAGTTACGGCCGATCGAATCCGGTGCCTTTGTGAAGCTAGCCGAATTTACCAGCACCGGAATGTTTGCTCAGATCATCTATTATTGTCTCTTGTACCCTCTAGTCGCTGCTAAGTTAACACCCAAAGTCCCGTTCACGAGAGTAGAGACGTTCTTGCAGGTTGTGCTGCATTTGATCCTCATTGCTATTGCTGAGGATAAAGTAGATGAGACAAATTTCACACCCGGGACTGATTCATTCGTCTATATCGCATTGACGACGTCTGCCCGCAGTAACTTTATGCAGGACGCCCCGGCTGCGAAGACTATCGTATCCCTTCTGGATATGATGTCGACTAAGGAGGAATTCAAAGCCTGCCACGCCAAGATCGCGTTGATCTTGAGGAGAATGAAGCAAAAATACCCGCGCCACTTTGATTCGGCTTACTCGCAACTAGGCATACCCGCGGACCGGATCGATACGGCGTCACCCGCGAATGCCCACAGCGCCGAAGAGGAGAGGGAACGAAAAAAGAAAGCAGCACTTGACCGTCAGGCCAAAGTTATGGCGCAGTTCCAGCAACAGCAGAAGAACTTCCTGGAAAAGCAGGGCGATATTGACTGGGGCGAAGACGAATGGGATGATATGGACGAATCCAACCCTATGGAAGAGCAAAAGAACTTCTGGAAATACCCTAGAGGTACCTGCATATTATGCCAGGAAGATACCGACGATGGACGCTTGTATGGAACGTTCGCCCTCTTTACGAAGAGCAAAATCCTTCGGCAGACAGACCTCCAGGACCCAGACTTCGTTAGAGAAGCCGCAAATACTCCAGCCAATCTTGATCGCTCAGCCGAGGCAATCCGTCCGTTTGGTCTCGCCCATGAGAACAGGAAAATAGTAGAAAAAGTCGACGCTCATGGGCACGTATTCCACAATGAAAGACAAGGCCTTGGCAAGGGGTTCCCAGCCAAGCTCTGTCGGTCAGGACCAGTCTCTGTTGGATGCGGCCATATAATGCATTTCAGCTGCTTCGATATGTACATGGAAGCAACTGTCCGTCGACATGGCCACCAGATCGCACGGCATCACCCCGAATCCCTGGAGCGCCTAGAATTTGTGTGCCCTCTCTGTAAGGCCCTTGGGAATGCCTTCCTGCCGATCACCTGGGATGGCAAAGAAGAGTCTTACCCTGGAATATTGCAACCCGATACAGATCTCTCTTCATTCATGAACAGATTCATGACAGGGCGCCGTTACTCTGCGGTGGTAACACGAGATCAGAGCCAGAATGCCTTCATCAACTACTTGCGCACAAGAATGCCAGAAGGTCTGTTCGAGAAGACCAGTGCTAGTCAGTTGCCGTTTTCAATATGGGACCCCACAGGTTTCAGAGCAGTGCCGTCGATAGCTTCTAGTGATACCTTTTCCCTCGCGCCTACTCCCGGATCTAGTGTACGGTCACACTCGCCGCCAGAATCACATAATGGCGATAAGGAGTTAATGCTAATCTACCGGCGTCTACGCGATACGCTTCGCAAGAATAAACTTGTGCCTGCGACTTTCGTGCACGACGGCAGGGATGATGAGTTATACGCCAGCGACGTGTTAGCCCAATCTGTGGGCTTCTCGATTTCCGCGGCGGAGATACAACAGCGGGGCATTGAAGCTCAGTATGGGATGACCTTGATCGAAAGAATGCCTGAACAGCTTCTGGTTCAGCTCCGAATCCTGTCAGAGACGGTGTCGTCGTACATAGCAATTGGTGGTTTTAGGCACGGGGGGGACAACGATATCGAACGAGAATTCTGCAAGGCCAGCGAGCGCCAATTTTTCCAACTCTTTATATCGTCTTACTTTAACCTGGACGTAAAGGAGCCCTTGCCACCGTTTGATGAGCACCCGCCACTACTAAGTCAAGACATATTCGTATTCCTTTGCGAGACTATGTTTGGCGTAGCTGTCGCGCAGAACATGGACCCGATGCATTTGGTTCGACTTTGCTATCTCGCCGAGATCGTCAAGGTTGTCCACAACGTATCCCAGAATCTCCCGCTTTCCAGGTTTCTCGAGTATATGAACAACCGGAACAAGGAAGATCCTGCAATGAACAACTTCGCCAGTTTCTTCAATTATATCACGATGACTGGGATGAACCTCAGCCACGAAATCGCCCTCGAGGGTGAATTCCTGGCGCCGTCTGATGACCTGCCTAATATTGGGTTCGAGCAGCCTGGTCTTGATAGCCTAGAAAGTCTCCATTCTTTCGTCAAGAAATATGCCCTAGTATTCTTGCGAAAAGTAGCAGTTCTCCTCCATGTTCACCTTGGGGTCGACTTCAACAGTCATATATCTCCTTCTCCGGAAGCAGACGAACTTACACGTCTAACAGCCGCGCTGCGATTACCATCCTTTGACGAAATGTGCGCATCCTTGACACCGTTGGGTAGCCAGTTTGGTTGGCCCTCGCGTACAGTGGCTATAGTCGACGGTTGGCTCCGCCACGAAATACGCGGACATGCTAGAGCCTCGCGCTTTGCCATCGAACAGGGAATCGAAGAGACCCCGCCTAGATCCGCCCAACTGAGCCACCCTGGTATCTTCGAGCTTGTCGGCCTGCCTAAGAACTTCGATGCCCTCATCGAAGAGTCTGCTAAGAGGAGATGTCCCAAGACTGGAAAAGACTTGTCCGATCCTATGGTCTGTCTGATGTGCGGTGATATTTTCTGTGGACAGACTATGTGCTGTAACATGGAATATCAAGAGCCGGGGCCAGACAAGCCTGTGACGAGAATTGGGGGCGCGCAGCAACATATGCTGTTCAAGTAAGTTGTCGTTGATGTTTTTCGTATTATCTATTGCTTTTACTAATGTAATTATTCCAGGTGCCAGGGCAACATCGGGGTGTTCATCAACATTCGCAAGTGTGCCATCTTCTACCTGCATCGCACATCAGGCAGCTTCAGCAGCGCACCGTATATTGACAAGTACGGCGAGGTAGACATCGGGTTACGTCACGGCCGCCAGCTCTTCCTGAACCAGAAGCGGTATGACTCGATGCTGCGCAACATGTGGCTCAGCCACGGCATCCCCAGCTTCATCAGCCGGAAGCTCGAGGCGGATATTAATAGTGGCGGGTGGGAGACCATATGAGCAAGAGAGGCGAAGAGAAAGCGGCAAGGGAAGTGCTCCATCATCCTCACAGACACTACACTTGTGTGTGTTAGGATAGAGAAGTAGAAATAAGGAGTTGGCAAAGGATGTTGCGGTCAACCCTTCTTCTCGGAGGCGTAGGCGTTAAAATGGCCATTGTTTTATAAGGTATGAGAGGGAGAGGGAGAAGGGGTGTGTATAACGGCAACTACCTAACATAACCTAACCTAACCTAACCTCCCGCAATCGAATATGGGTGTAATACGAAGTTTATGCTTACTACCGCGATTCGATTGCTCGAAATACATTGATTGCATTCATGGCCTAGCTGTCTTGGTACCTACCTAGTAGGTAGGTACCGTGTCATGAGCAAAGCAAGAATATGGAAAGGGGGGAGATGGTTAGTGGCATTTGTAAATAAAAAAGTTTATTCATTATTAATAAGTTGACTTGACTTGACTTGACTTGATCCCGATTTCAAGAGTCTTTCCCTGCACCCCACCCCTCCAGTTTCGTGAATACCTCATTTCCTACCTTAGGTTAGTTATCTGGTAGGCACCTAGGAGGTAGGTAGCTGATTCTCAAGCACCTATTCTCGTACTCATATAACCTATCAAGAAAAGTTATTGTAGTGTTGAATACAAACTTATGCATTTTTTGATGTATGGTAGAGGTATGTAGGTTAGGTAAGGTTAGGTACCTGGTATTGTACCTAAATTAAAATCAGGGGGGTATGCCGCGCTGTCCAAGTCTATTCGAAGTAACCAACCGCCCTGCTTAGAGGTAGGTAGTTTTCATTATGCCTATACCTATACCTATACCTTATTCATCCGTAAGGACAAGCAAGTTCTTCTACCCGTCATGTACCCTTTTCTCATAGCTCGTCTTATACTCCTGCTCCTGCTTATTCTTCCTTCTTAACATCCTCCTCCTTAAGAGGCGACTCGCTCCTCTCGACCCCGTCCTTCTGCGTCGCCGTCGCCGTCGTCGTCTCCGCCATATCTATATCAACATTACCACCATTCGAACCGTTCATCCCGGGAGATACGTCAACACCGTTGACCCTCTCCTCCTCCTCTTTCGCACCTGTATCATCATTATCCCCCCCTTCTCCTACTCTCCGATGTCTAAAAACCTTGATCCTCCCGTCCTGCCCCGCGCTAACCATCGTGTCGCCGTGAACGTCGACCCAGAAGCACACGCCGTCGTGCGCGCGACGGATGCGCTGGACAATCTCCTTGGTGCGCACGTCCCAGAGGACGATATCGCCGTCCTCGCTAGGCGCCGCCACGAAAGCGTTCGCCGCCACCGCACCACCGTCGTCGTCGTCGTTGTCGTCGTCGTCCGCGGCGACCGTCCCGAAGCACCCGCCGATGCTAAACTTGGAGTTCTCGTGGCCCTGGTACGTCTTCTTCACCGTGCCGGAGACGTAGTCCCACAGCCGCAGGCACGAGTCCATGCTGAAGGCTAGCACGTACCGCCCGTTAGGCGCGAAGCATACCGACGTTATGGGCGGGTTGTCCTCGTGCACGAGGGTCCGCAGGCACTGCCCTGTCGAGGTGTCCCATATTCGGCTGTAATTAATCAGAACAGGAGCAATAATTAGCTATGCTGGTCTACATAGTTCTGTTCCGAAAGGGTGTGGGGGGAGGAGGAGGGGGTAATAAAGGGGGAGAGATAGAATAGGAGAAAGAAAATAAGAATAAACTCACGTCAGTCCGTCCGTGCTACAACTAACAACCAAAGTCCCATCCCTACAAAAATCAATCCCGCTCACGGGATCGCTATGGGCCGGCAGACTGCGCATGAGCCTACCGGCGCGCACGTCCCACAGGAACACGGCCTCGTCGTAGCTGCCGCTGGCGAGGATATTCCCCTTGGGCGAGAACGCGAGGCTGTACACGTAGCTGTGGTGGCCGAGGAGGGGCTTGCCCGCGCGCGCGGGCCGGCCCGTGACGCGGTCCCACAGGCGGATGGCCTTGTCGTCGGACCCGGACGCCAGGGTCTTGCTGTCGGGCGCCCAGGCCACCGCCGACACGCCCGCCACGTGGCCCACCAGGGTCTCGGTGTGCTGGCCCGTCGAGGCCGACCAGATGCGCACGGTGCCGTCCGCCGACGACGACGCGATCCACCGCCCGTCGGGCGAGATGCGCACCTGGGAGATGGCGCGGGCGTGGCCCGTGAGGACGAGACGCGGGACGTAGTGCGGTCTGGCGAGCTGGCGAGCGGGTGGTTGTTGCTGCTGCTGTTGTTGTTGTAGCAATGGTTGTGGTTGCGGTGGTAAGGAGGTAGTAGAGGATTCACGGCGGGCGCGGCGTCGGGGGGGAGGAGAAGTTTCGGCTCGGGGGGAGTGGGAGTGGGAGCGGGAGTCTGATGCTGGTGTGCGAGATCGACTTCTCGATCGGGGGGACGAGCGAAGCTGGCTCCTCGATGATCGACTGCCCGAACTAGAGCGGCGCGAGCGTATCCTCGACCTCGAGCTAGAGAGGGATCTACTACTACGGCGGCGCGGCGAGCGTTCGTCGGAGGAATAATCTGTTTCGCGACGACGGTCTCTACTCCGACTCCGGCTCCGGCTTCGACTTCGACTTTGACTTCGACTTCGACTGTGGCTTGGGCTTTGGCTCTCGGAACGACTGTCTACGGTCTTCTCCCGGATGGAAACGCTGAGGGTTCGTTTGCCGCCCTTCTTGTCTGGGATACCATCGTAATGCGGGGCAGGAGTCGAATCGATACTATCGTCATCACGGACTTTGCGACGCTTGGTCGGTGGTTCGGGGTGGGCGGTGGGAGTAGAATCAACACCCGCCATGGTTGGTGTCTTCACTTCGCCGTAGAAAAAGGGTGCTTATGATTACTACCGATTGGTGATTGGTTGAGGAGGGAGAGGAGAGGAGAGAGATATAATACAATTGAAGGAAAGGTAGGGATATCACACAGCCTTGCGTGGATGAGAGAGACACATGTGACAACAAACGCGAACGATGAACAAGGCAAGGCTGAATTGAATGAATGATTGATTGAATGGGAAATTGAAATTTTGGCGGGTCTCCCTTTATCGAGTTGACGTTTAATTGGGTCATGCACCCCAAAGTTGGACCCACTATTGACAAGCTTCCTAGTGTAAAGCCGCTAATCTTTATCGCGTCGAGCACGCGCCTCGCGCCAAGGTACCTAGAATGGGAAATACCTACCGTGTGGTACAGTGCCGATGACAAACTGTAAAGACATTTACCTGCCTAGCCTAAGACAAAGTTAATGCAGGGGTATTGCAACTCTAAAAGTTTATTCTATGCAGGTAAGGTACAACTTATAAGGTACGACTAGGATTAAAGCCTTAAATGAGGAAATAGGGAAATAACGAACTGCTCTGCTTGCTGCGGGATCCTTGCAAGAACGACACCCATTATCGCTAACGAGATATGCTCCGAGTACCTAGAACATCCAGGAGTAACATCCAGAAGTACCTACCTAACATGTGGTTTTCACCTCTAATTTCAAAATGATTTGAGTCGTATCGAAAAAAAGATAATGCTAGGTTACTCTCGTTCTTTCTTTTTCCTCTCTGCGTCTCTTCCCCGCGATTTCATCTTATATGTACAAGTTTTTTTTTTATCGAATCATATAATCACTGCAAAACTCAAACTGGATTTAATTCTCCGTACAGTTCAAAAAAACTTATTAGGTACTCCTGCACGATTTGACTTAGCTTGACAATGCATCTCGCTTGGAAAAGATAATTACTTACTACATATAAATTATATGTATGTAAGTGGTAAAGCATTGTTCCATAAGGGATGATACCTACCTGGGCTTAACACCTAAAGGATCATATAATCCTAGTCCCAAGCACGTTGTAACTTCCCTGCTGCACGACCGGGGCAAAAAAAACGTGGTAGTAATATCACCGCAAGGGGAAGAGGAAACGAAAAAAAAAAAAAAAAAAAACTATTTATATAGACGGGATTTGCTACCCACATACAACTCCATTTCTTCCTCCGGGGTGGTCTAAACAACTCAAGTATCCATCCAGGCGGATGCAAGAGACAGACCCGGATATTAGGGAAGAGGAGAAGAAAATAAACATTTCACGATGGAGGAACTCCCTACCGAACTCAATGTCATCACCCTTAACTGCTGGGGTCTCCTACACCTGAGTAAGTACCGCGCTGAGCGTCTAATCGCCATCGGCCGCGAGCTCGCCGCCGCCGACCCCCCGCCTCACATCGTCGCCTTGCAGGAATGCTGGACGCAGGAGGACTACCGCAGCATCCGGCGGGAGACGCGCTTCGTGCTGCCCTTCGGCAAGTTCTACCACAGCGGCGTGTTCGGCGGCGGCCTCGCCATCCTCTCGCGGTGGCCCATCGAGGAGAGCACCATGTTCCGCTATCCGCTCAACGGCCGCCCTACCGCCTTCTTCCGCGGCGACTGGTTCGTTGGCAAGGGCGTCGCCTGCGCCCGCGTCCGGTACGGCCCCGGCGAGCGCGACGTCGTCGAGGTCTTCAACACCCACACCCACGCCATCTACGAGCACGCGTCCGACGGCAAGGCGGACAGCTACCTGGTGCATCGGCTCGCGCAGTCCTGGGAGATGGCTAAGCTCGTCCGTGGCGCTACCGAGCGCGGCCACTTGGCCCTCGCCTTGGGCGACTTCAACGACGTCCCCCTGTCCCTGTCCTACCGCATGCTGACGGCGCATGCCCCCATCAAGGACGCCTGGCGCGTGCTGAACCCGGACTCGTCCCTCGGCTCCGCTGCCCACGAGCTCGAGCGCGCGCGCAGGCGCCCGATCCCGTCTGCCCAGTACAATATCGTTGAGAACGGCGTTACGAGTAACAGCGCTTACAATACGTGGAGGTGGCCAAAGTCGGAACAACGCGCTCTCCATTCGGGAAAAAGGCCAATGGCCGTTCCGCCTGATACACCTGATCCGAGGGGCAAGCGAATTGTATGTGATATTAATTCCTTTTTTTTTTTCTTTTTCTCTTTTTTTTCTCTCAAGTTTACTCTATGAAATAAGGACGTCTGGCAGAGTCTATCAGGAAGATATTCTTAGTGTATATCCCCTTTGTTTCTTAAATACCTATCGCAGGAAACTTTTTTTCTAACTCTATTACAGGACTATATATTCTTCTCTCCGCAAGTCACAGTAACCCCTGGCTCTCCCCCCAAGTCGCGCCACGGAGCGGCAGCAGCAGCAGCAGCACGGACAAGCCGCGACACGGGTGAAGGCACTTGCACCACCAAAGGCTGGGTTGTCAAGGACGTCCGCGTCGGCATGATGACCCGCCACCCGGACCTCGGGTGCTCTCTGAGCGACCACTTCTCCGTCGAAGCCACCCTGCTCCTGCACACATCCTCCTCACCCAACCTCATCCCCCCTCACTCCCCTTCCCGCCCCCCATCTCCCAGCAAGAAACCCGCACCCAACCCCACGCAATTCCTCCGCCCGTCATCCTCCTCTTCCTCTTCCTCCTACTCTGCTGCCGCCGCCGCCGCTGCTGCTGCTGCCGGTATTAGGTCGAATAGTACCGAAGATCACCACCATGCCGCCTCCCTCCTCGCCCTCGAACACGGCACTTACCTCCAATCCCCCACCGGCTCCTCCTCCCACGTCAACCACGACCACGACCACCACGCCGCCGCCTCTTTCGACGACCAGCTCCTCCGTGCCGCCCCCGCCCTCCCCTCCTCCTCCCCCGCCTCCCGCCGCGGCGACGGCCTCCCCTGGACCACCTACGACGAGGTCCTGGGCCTGGTCCGCGCGTACGCCTCGCGCGAGCGCTCGCAGCGCCGCCTCCGCCTCCTGCACTTCGCCGCGTGGGCGCTCGTCGTCGCCGCGTGCTACGTCGCCGTCTGGTTCGTCGCCGACCTGAGCCCCGGCGCCGCCTTCGCGCTCCTCGTCCTGAGCAGCCTGGGCCTTCTGGCGGGCGCCGTCGACGGCCTGATGGGGCTGCTGTTCTTCGGCGCCGAGCTGCGCGCCCTGAGGGAGTTCGAGTGGGAGATTATGAACGCGAAAGCTTCGGCTAGTGGCGCGCACGGGATGGTGCAGCAGCAGGTTGATGATGATGGGGAGGAGGAGAGGGGTGGTGATGGGGATGGTGATGGTGATGAGGAGGAGGAGACGGAGAAGGGTAGGGGGAAGGGTAGGGGGAAGGGGAAGGGAAAAGGGGGAAGTGGGAACGAGAAGAGTTGGTAAGGTGAGGTGAAGTCAGAAGGGTAGAGTGTGTTTCTTGGTATTTGGTTGGTCGGTTGATTGACTTTTTATTTCATGACTCGATCGATATTGGGGGATGAGATGAGATGAGATGAGATGCTTCATGTGGATCAGAAGACGATGAAAATTAATGAAATGGTACCGCATGTACCTACGTAACGTAATTGTAATATTTACCTAACCTAATATATATATATATACAACCACCCTCACCCTAGAAACCATCCTAGGGAAACCCGCGAAAAGAGTTTATGAATGAATGAATAAACGAACGTTGTGTTGGAGAAAAAGAGTTCAATATCTAGGTTAGGGACCTGACTGGTCGTGCGTGCTGGTAGAGTAGTAGTAGGAATAGTGATGAATGATACCATGAACGATAATACAGGCTTGACCGTAGGGGATACTATTCTAACAATATTCGTTTCCGCCCTGCGTAACTGGAATCACACCAGTTACCCATTCCCTATCCCCCTAATCTCCTATCTCCATTCTTTCCTTATTACTCCTCTTTCTTTTCATCTATCCTTCTCTCCTATACGAATCCTTCATCGCCAATCCATCAGCCAGCTCGTCCCTGACACCAGGCGCGATAAGCAGCCAATTCGGTGCCACTGCTCGACAACGACCCCTTACCCTTCCCTCTGCCACCATCACTCCTCTCTCTAAGAGCACCCCAGTCGACGGTTCCAGGGGGATAATACCGCCCCCCTATGCGGCGGTACGTGTATCCCATAAACGCGGTCTGCTTGCGCACTTCTAGCACGGGTCCCTTTGTAATTTTATCCCTTAGCAGCCTATCTCGAGGCCGCTTTCGCTCGCGACGCCCATACGTTCGTATAAACGCCTTCATCTCGGCACAGAGCTCCACATCCGGAACCATGACTTCGATTTCCCGGTCCATGCGCTTGAGCTTGGCTGAGTCGTACGGCAACGATACGAATTTCGCGATGGCGCCGCGGACGTTGCGTGGAAACGCGGCTATCTGTGCTTGTATGACGGCTACCTTCTCGGGGCTTCGATAAGGTACCATGCGAGGGGGCGGAGTCGTAGGAAATCCGTTTACAGTAGCGTATGCGATCAAGGGATTCGGAGTCAGCCCTTCGTTCTCGGAGCTTGCTTCGGGTTGAGACTCGGACCAGTCAGATATGGGCTCCTCTTCGTCGAAGTAGTGCGTATCCTCGCAGCCCGAAAGCTGCGGGATGAATGGCGGAGGGATGTGCTGCAGCCGGTCCCAGGGTATATCGCGGAACCATTTATGTGCTTTGATATCCTCTCCATCGTGGGGGTATACGGACCTTCCCGTCCAGTCTTGATATCCACGGTGGTGGCGACTTCTGCCTAGAGGCTCGGGGTTTGTGTCCCGGTAACGATACCGCCTTGATGAAAGGCGGTTTTCTTTCTTACAGATTAAGTTGACGATAAGATCCATACACCGTCTCGAAATCACAGGGCGGGGCGGAAAGGCGAATGTCTGCTTGTGATTGACAATATTGCGCTTCGTCTGCTGACGGCCTCCTTCTTCCGACAAGAATGGAGTGTGGCCGTATAAACACTCGTACAGAATGACGCCGACACTCCACTAATCGCATCTTGCATCGTAATTACCCTCGCGGATGACTTCCGGGGCCATATACTGACTCGTTCCTACGCAAGACCTCGCCGCGCTACGATTACCACACCGGTTACGCCAGTTCAAGAGCGGCTCATACGCCAAGGGCGATGGTGGAGGAGTGGGATACGACGCATGACGTTCATGTTTCTGCATCGCCTGGGCCACGCTTTGAGCCCATTTAACTGAGCCTTGTAATCCTTCGGCACGGTCGATAGCGTCCCCTTCTACCGGTATGTTGAACTTCTGCAGTAAGCTATATCGCTGCGTATGGTAATAATTAGTGTCGTGGGACCAGTGGCCATCAAAAGCCAGACCAAAATCCGATATCTTTAGATGCCCAGACGCAGAGATGAGAAAATTGTCCGGTTTTATATCACGGTGGATACAACGCAATGAGTGTGCCTCCTCAATGCATAAAATCATCTCAGCAATGTAAAATTTGGCAACTGGTTCGGTGAGGACGTTTTCTCGGATGAGAAGGCCTAGAAAGTCACCACCAGGCATATAATCCATCACTAAGTAGAGGTTGGCGGCATCTTGAAAGCTAGTGACCAACGGCACGACCCTAACGTAGAATTCATTGTCAGCTTAACCAGTTGAATGGATTGATAGAGTATAAACCAACCATTTGGAGCCTTCAGCAGCAACTAGAAAATCCCTCTCCGCACGCAAATGGGCCTCTTGGCTCGTTCTTAGCATTGCTGACTTGCGTATCACTTTCATGGCGTATACCGGCTTCTTCAGTCGCATGTCATGTCCGAAATCACCTGGGCGGTCCTTCTCACGGACAAGCCTAACAACGCCAAAGCTCCCCTTGCCGAGAATCTTGAGGACTTCGTAGTTACCGGCGAGTTGGTTATGTTTGCCTTGTACCGCACCGATACTTTTCGCATCCAGGACTCGCATTTTCCGTAGATGGTCTGTCTCTCTTTTATAAAACGCGCGGCGCCTGGTGTCCTTTTCAGCTTCTGTAAGGCCAGATGAATGGTATAGCTCTCCTTCTAAGTAACGACGCCGAAGAGTATGTGGGCTGGGCTTGGAGAGTTTTTCGTTATAGTAATTCTCGAGGTAAATCTTCGCAGCTGCAGCCCGTTCTACAGTTAAAATAGTCGGTGACGATAGATCGAGAGCTGTCTCCTGAATTGGACTGAGGTTCGGCTCGGCGGTTGCGGTGGCCTCTGGTTCCCTCTCACGAATCACTTTGGTAGTTTTCTTGTCTCCTGGATTGCACTCTACTTTGGATTCAAGGGATGTTTTCCCGGTGGTGCCTGTTCCACCAGTTCCACCGGTGCCATTTGTCGGACCAGATGACTTGCCGCTGGAAGTCGTATTACTATTGCTGTACGAATTTCCGTTGGAAGCGGAAGAGACAATTTGTTCAGGAGAAATATCGGGAAGTTGTTCGTTGGGAATCTTCTCCATAGACGTGTAAGACTGTCTCGATTTAGATCTAAACCGATGTATGACGGTGACGGAGGCACCGAAAGGGCTTCGGAGAAACGGCATGGATAACTTCCCAAAACGCCGGCGTGGCCCAGGTGATCTTTCGGTGGGTGAAGGTGCCGGCCATGTTGCAGGCTCCCTGATGGAGTTTCCAGAAGCTATAAGTTATATCAGAGTTGTCCCAATAAATAACTAACCCATATTCTACCAGAGAAGTAAGTGGCTTGCTTACGGCTGTTAGTCAATGATCTCAGTACAGACAACATCCGTGAACCGCCGCGTCGTCGAGATTTCCGTGAGGACTCTCCTCTTTCGGGCATGGATAGAGGGGTGCAAGACGGGGAAGCCAATGGGGAAAGTTCACCGTCCAGTAGGAGAGCTGGCTGGCTCGTAGCCGCCGGCAACTGGTGCATCGTCGTCATGCCGGTGATTCATTGGTAACGCATAGTATGCTGATAATAACTAGAGGTTAATTAAGACAGACAGACAGGCAGGCAATGTACTACAAGAGAGATGATATTAAAAAAAAAAAATCTTCTGGGCCCGTTATAATACAGAACAAGAGGGCCCAGATCACCACCTTGAGGCGCTGTCTGTTGAATATAAGATGGTGGTGATGACAAGACTACATCCGAAAAAAAAAAGAAAGGAAGAAAGGAAGAATCCTGTATCTGAAGTTAGTAGACACCCCTTTAAGTCGACTCATAGTTTAGGTAGGGTTTCAGCCTCGATATAAGGTAGGCTGTGCTTGCCTTGGTTTATTAGATTATCACCTAAAGATTTGATCATGAAATCGAAGTTGTAAGTTACCCTCTTCCTTTGCACCTTACCTTACCATACAGGCAGGTACCGTACCTACTTACCTTGAACATTTTGTGTCACTTATGACATGTGTTCGGTACTTTCGTACTAATATATATACCTAAGGTTAGATAAATACCTTGCATATGAAGTTTTATTAATGTGGAAATTACACATCTTCATCAAAACTCATACTAATCACGAGAATTGCCTTAGGTACTGTTAGGTACTCATCACACACACACATAAATCACACCTCGAACAGTCCTAACGGTTATAACCGAAAATGACTAATTTAGTATAGCCAGTCTATCTGAGAGTATCAGAACTATCAATAGAAAACCAGCCAAAGCATCTGCACGGAGAGGATACCCAACCTCCCTCGAAAATTGTACGCCTGTAATGCAACGCAGACCTCGTCATCCCTTGTGACAACATCTGCTTCCTGCGCCCGACGAGACGCCAGATCCTCGCAGATTCGCGCAGGTCGGAGACCCCAACAGCGCAACATTATGAGACTCGTCAACGGATCGTGACCGTAAAACTGGATCCGAAAAAGAATCGCCGAGGAAATAAAAAACCAAACATAGGAGTACAACCGTAGTGGTATCTGCAGGTAAGGAAATGGCAAGGAAATGCTACACGCGGGTTCCTAGCTCGCGCTTATTTTATTTTATGTTCATCAGCTTGACGTCGAACACTAGTGTGCTGTTGGCAGGAATGCCGGGTTGAGCTTTGCTTCCGTATGCGAGGTGAGCGGGGATGGTGAGTCGGCGTTCGCCACCAATCGCCATGCCCTGGATACCAATGTCCCAACCCTTGATAACTTCTCCCTTTCCTACCGAGAAGCTAAAAGGCTTTCCCTTCTTGTTGGCTATTTTCATGTTAGCAAACCTCCGTAAACTACCTTTCTTTGTGATTGAGACCTACCATCGAAAACCTTGCCGTCCAGAAGCTTGCCGATGTATCGAACTTCGACCTTGTTACCCTTCTTTGCGACGCGGCCGGTTCCAATCTTGCGGTCGTCGACGGTAACGCCTTGGACAACCTTGACACCAGGAGTAGCGCCCTTCTCGGTGGCGGCCGGACCGGTGGGACCTTGTTCGAGGTTCTTGGCGAACTGAACCTTCTTATCACCCTTGGTGGAAGCTTCCTTAGCGGGCTCAGCCTTGGCATCCTCCTTTACGACGGGCTCTCCCTTGTTGTTCTTGAGCTTCTTCTGTTGCTTCTTGCTCAGCTTGGTCTCCTCAGCCTTGGACATCAAGTCATCGAGGGTCTCCGCCTCCTCAGCAGGACGCTTGTTCTTGCCCTTCTTGGTCTCGGCAGCGATTAGCTTAGGGGCCTCCTCCTCATCGGTGTCTATCTCTACGACACGGGGGTCCTGGAGGTCGTCAAGCTCGTCCGCCTCGGAGTCAGAGTCATATTCCTCAATACCCTCCATGTCGTAGTCGTCTTCATCCTCGTCTTCCTCGTCAGAAGAGACATCGTCGGGGTCGACAATGTAATTTCCAGTCAAGTGAATGGTGTGAGTACCCTTGACGACGAAGAATACCTCCTCGTCGGCACCAATGGTAATGTCAAGGGGCTGTTGGTAGTTCTTTAGGATATGTTAGCACGGAATAGAACAAAAAGAAAGGTTTTTTTTTTCAGCGGGGGCAAGACATACACGTTCAGTATCGAGGGTACAGACAACAAGCTCCTCGAGATCTAGGGTAGAAGAATCGATGCTCTCATCGTCGTCCTCATCGTCGCTGGAGGTAGCGGGCCCCTTGCCTTTCTTACTGGCCTTAGCGACACCATTGGCCTTGGCCTTGGTCTTAGACTCATCGTCCTCCATCTCCTCGTCGGAATCTTCCTCTTCCTGAGCGGCTTCGATAAGCTTTTGCAGAGCAGCGGCACGTCGAGCTTTCTTGGACTTAGCGGGGTCGCTAGGACCGCCATTGGTCTCATCATCAGAATCCTCTTCGTCATCTTCATCCGAATCACCGCCACCCATGAGCCGGTCTAGATATTCGTCATCAAGCTCGTCATCGAGAGAGGGTCGCTTGCGGATGAGCTTGAGAGTAGAACGAGGGACGGAGGGGATGTTGCCCTCAGCATCAGGTTCAGGCGCTTCGGTGGGATCGAGAGCAGCCATAGTGATGCGATACTTGAGATTCCATATTAGTACTTACAGGTACGATTAAGCGACGAAGAGGGCGAAACGCCGCCGGGACGATGTCGCATAGACACTGATATCAATCATTGGAGTAATGCAAGATGAACACTTACAGAAGCGCCATGGAAAGCCTCTTCTTGCATGGCGGGAACCATGACACCTTGCGCGGGGACCTCGAGCCCGTAGAGGGCGACAGGCAGCACAGGCATTGTGGATGATAAGTTGGAGTTAGATTAAAAGTAATTGGAAGCACAATGATAAAGTGCTATGGTTTGTAGAATGGGGTTACTTGTAAATTGCAATGATGTTTATGGAAAAGAATTAAAAAAAAGGGAAAAAGAAAAGAGAAGAACTTTGGACGCGACTCGAGACTCGTTGAAGAGGAAGGTGAAAAAAAAAAAAAAAGTTGAGAGCTAGCTTAGCTTGTCTATTCTTTACTTTCTCCAAAATTTTTTTTTTTTTTCTTCTTCCTTTTTCCTCGAGTAAAAAAATTCCGCCGCAGCAACACCCCACCCAAAAAGTTCTTACCGCCTTCGTCGATAAGGCAGCGCTAGTCGAAAAGAGGCTTATCCTGCACGGATCCCTGCAGCCGCTTTGCTCAGAAGGTTTTAGCGACGGGCAACCAGCGAACTACTGCGAAGCCGAAGCCAGGCCAATGGCACCGCAGCATTAAAGTGCGACAATAACAAATGACGATATACCGTACGATTTTTTCTTTCTTTCTCTTTTTTTCTCTTTGGTGACGCAGGGAATGAGCAAGTTGTTAATACGAACTTACTTATGTGGAAGTGTTTTTTTTTGTATTAGGATTGGTATTATTGCTCAAGTAACTAAGGTTATCAGGTGGGGGGGAAGGGGGGTTTGTAGCTCAGACGGATAATTGGTAAGATCGTGTAAGTCAAAGTAAACAATTTTGAGAGTTACATGCTGTAATTGATCAATGATATATAGGTATCTACGTAGTTATATTTTAGGAAAGCTAAAATAAAAAATATGAGTTTTGCCAAACGGTATAGAGGAAGAATATCTACCTAAGCTATTTAAAACAGATAACTACTGGATATAAAGTTGTCGAAATAGGGATTCAATGTCTTAAGGAAAGACATTGCCACGATGTTACACTTCAGTCAACGTCTGGTTAGAGAATGTCTTGGTGTATACTTCGGTAGATTTGCGTATTCAAATACCGCAGAGCAAGAAAACAACTCTTTCATTTTCTTCCTTTTATATCTATCTCAAGAGCAGAGAGTTACTCACCCCTACCGATTTTCCCAATTTTCCCAATGTTTACAATTTCATTCCACCGAGCTCACTCTTGCCCCTTAACCGATACCCGCTTCCCTGGCCCTCCGCGCTTTCATTTCTTAGCGACAAGAGCCTCTGCCTCCCTCACCCAATAATTGATCTTGTCCTGGAGGGGGATATCTATTTGCGCCGGAGCAACGTCAGTTCAAGCTCGGAGAGAGGAGGGGAAGATGAAAAAAAGGAGGTGGATAGGTGGGAAGAGTCATAGGCTAGACTAACCGACTGGATACTCCCGTCCACGATCTCCCAGATCCATGGTCGTGATAGCTATCTCCGCCGTCGACCGAGGGAAATGTCGCGGCGTGGCGCGGCAGTACGCTGCCACGAGGTCGTTGCCGTTGGTTACGCCGCCTGTCAGTCAGTCAGTCAGTCTCGCATATATAATAGAAAAAAGGGGGAATGAACAGAAACAGCAGCAGAGCGAGGGGGGGGGGCACCCTTACCAGCAGACCAAAAATTCCCATCCTGCACCCAGCGGTACCTATCGCCGACCAGCTCCCTCTCGCCGAAGCCCCTCTGCCGAATCATGTCCTGCATGGGCCTAGGCCCGCACACCGTCTTGCCCTTGACGAGGCCGGCCTCGCCGCAGACGAAGATGCCCGTGCACACGCTGAGGACATCCACGCCGGGCGTCTGCGCCTGCCTGCGCAGCCAGTCCAGCGCGCCGGCCGGGTACCGCGCCAGCGGGTCCGGACCCGGCACCAGGACGATGTCGAGGTTGCCGGGGGCGACGGCCGCGTCGTCGTAGTGGTCCGTCGCCAGGATCGATTCGTTGGCCGTCACGCGGATCGGGGACCCCGCGGGCACGGGGCCGACGTAGTGGATCTCGACGCGCGGCGCCAGGTCGATGAGGACCGTCGGCAGGAGGTGCCGGAATGTGTCCATGTCTGGGGACGGGGGTGGTGGGTTAGTCGCTTCTACATAGAGCTTCCTTCGCCTAGGCAGATATATCTCATCTCTTATGGGTGGGAAGGTTCTTGCATCTTTTGAGACTCTCGGGAAAGGTACGTACTACAGCCAGGTTAGTTACTTTTCTGCATGAGGGTATTTATATGTAGGCAGGCAGGCAGGCAGGTAGGTAGGTAGGTAGTAGGTAGTAAGGCAGTCTCGAGGTTAACTCACCATTCATAGCCCATGGAACCGATGATATCGATGGTCGCCGCGTCGAGAAGCTGGCATTCCACGGGGATGAAGACAGCGACGCGGACGACGTGTCGCGGGGTACCATCCGGGTAAGTAGTAAGAGTAGCCATAATGTCTGTCTGTTATATCTGTGTGTCCGTGTCGTGTAGAATAAGGATAATGTTAGGTAAGAGTAGGACTTGAAAAACCTGAAGACCAAGAACTGCTGCTTTTCGAAAGATGCAGATAAAAAACACCACAAGAACTGCGAGGTCCTCGAGGGTTATATACCCGTCCATCAGCCAGGCAGACGGGCAGGCAACTAACCAGCAGTCCTCATCCTTCAAACCCCTCTATACAGTAAGTATACTTCCTCCCTCCTCTCCTCCCCTTCTCCTTTCCCCTGCAGCGCTCTCTCCCAAACCACCCAAATCTTCCTCACCAAATCTCTGTACCCCAACGGAGTTAAAAACCCTCTCACAATTTCCCTAGAACCCCCGAGGCGCGCCGGAGACAGCGCAGGCAGCCGGTTGTTACGCGCCGAGCAGCAGCGGCGCTTTCTCTCTCTCTTCTGCTCCTCCCCCCAAATCCGTGTAATACTATTGGTCAGATTCGCTGGTTCGCTGGGTTTGCTCCGATTCGACTCGGAGCTATGTAGATTAGGGGTGGTTTTGAATTTTATTAGACAATGTACGATTCGTAACTTGATGGGACTTTTGTTATGTCCTACCTCCTACTCCGGGAGTAAAACGTAATAATCATGTTCGATAAACTTCAACATCCATAAATCAATTTCATCTGAGATCTACCTCTTTCAACTACCTCTCACCAACCGCAGACACCTGACAAAAAACAAAAATTACTACCCATACAATGCCACATCATACATCATATATCACACATATCATCTTCGTACACCTTCGGCTCCAGAGTAATACGATGTTATCATTTATGGTTGTAAGTTTCTCAAGAGTTTTACTACTTGACAACTATTTCTTTGTCTCTTCTCATTTCACCGGGCGTCTCCCCCCAATCCATCCCAAGCCCCGTCGCAGGACGACGCTTTCGTTATGTACATAATTAGATATTACCGGGCTAGGTTCGCGCATTAGGTATCAGGTATCTCTTGGTCTTCTCCCCATACACATACATCATGATGAAACCCGAAGTTTTTCGTCCTCGCTGGGCTAGCCCGCCCCCCCAATCGGACGGATGCGTCCCTTCGACCCCGACGAGCCGATCTGGACTGCTGGAGCCGTGTTCCTCTTCCGGCCCCATTTCTCTTGCCTCGTAAACGAATGCCGCCAGGAAAAATATCTTGTTCCTGCGAATTTGCTCCTAGAACTCCGTGAGCCCAGAATAAGGATCCCCGTATCTAGAATGCCAGTGCCGATGCCATGCATATCAACATCATGCCCTCTATTTACACATAGCCCCTTGGAGCTTTTCTTTCAAAAAGTCTTAAAAAATCGCTCGCTTCGTCGGTCTTCAACGGATTGATAGAGAATCGAACTGGAAGCGCGCGAGACCAAAACTACCGCGGTAGATGGTCTGGACGAATATTATTAAAACTCATAAACAGCCAACCTCTTACGGCGTAACATTCGCGAGCACAGACTTTGCTCTTTGCCGCGTAACCTTTTTGCTGACCGTGTACACCAAATCTAATGTGAAGAAGTGCATTAGTTGAGCCTGGGCAGTCGGTATCGAACCGTATAGCGGTGCGACAAGCGGTGCCATGGCATAATCGATAAAATTCTTCTTGATCTGACGGTGGGAGAAACACATTCCCTTGGATAGACCAGCCTCGTTCATTTCCCTCTCTCGTGTGGTGACGCAGATTTTGTGGAACTTCTCATACAAGAACAGCATCATCACGACCTCCATAAGGCCGACTGTCCGCAAGATGTTGCACAGAGAAAAAAGCCAACCTAGCTGATGGGGGTCCGAGCCCTCGGTCACCCACATGTATAGCGTAGATGCAACAACAAGAATAGTCATTTGAAGGGGCAGGAAGTGGGCCTCGAAAAGTCGGTGGAAAAGGACAACAATTCGTTTCCAGTCAGGCTCCTTCAACGTGTCGGAAGTAACATCGTGGAAAACTTGGCTCTCGAGAGTTTGCTCAGGACTTATGTCCAATTGGCTCTGAGTGATGTATGAGTCGGTAGGATTGTTCCTGCTGAGCATTAGCTTGGTTACTTCAAATCAGGAACGATAAATCTTACAAGGCAACGTGGAGTGGGCGGAAAGCTCTGGCAGTGTGATTTCGCTCTTGCCAGAGCTCCACAAACTTTCGAAGGGCAAAACCAGAATCCAAAGCTCCCCACATGTGTCGTAGAGCTTGCTTGTAACGGGCCTGCATGTCGTTGTAAACTTCTTGAACTCCCTCGCCGCCGTTACCCTTAACATTGCTCTGACTAACAGGACTCAAGATGGCCCGCACAGTCAAGTTTCCGTTGAGCGCGAAGAAACACTTCAGATACATGTGCAAATCCTCGCCAATAGCTTCGGAATCACCATCCCATCCTCCAACTCGGTCAACCAAGGTAAGCGGCACAGAGTAAACAGAAGTAGGGGGAGCAATAGTTGAACCACGGTAGAGACCAGATAGACCAGCAGCAGCCCATAGAATGTCCGCCACACGGACAATAGCAGGGACGGCATGAGCATTACGATCGAAAATAATGGGAGCAGCATAAAGAGTGGTACTGGCAGTGTCAACGAATGAAACGTGCATGTTCGTGAGCTGGGCGAAGTAGTTGCTCGACAGATGGCTGTCAGCTACAATGGGATTCAGTTAGCTTGTTTGCATGGTAGACAATTCACAACGATATGCAGGTTATTCCACTTACCATCAATTCCAGTTACAATCACATTTTTCCTCATGCCCGACGTGTACTTCTCGCTGAGCTTACGCGCAGCCCATGCCATGTTGCTACCTTTTCCGGGAGACTCGCCAGGGATATCGGAAGGGTGGAGAGTAAAGTCGATTGAACGGAACTTCTTGACGAATTCTTGAATGATACCCATAGCCTTCATCTCGACATTGTGTTCACGTTGTTCCATAGCGAGGTAGACCTAATAGCGAAGCGAATTAGTACTGGAAATTGAATTCGCGTTGCAATTGCGTTAAAATAGCAGAATTGTTGTTTCGAAAAATGTTGACAAGCTCAAATTATGCGTTTTAGTGCTTCGATGGGGGAGGGGGAAATAACTTACATCATAGTCGGATCGGGCCTGGGGGTGCGAAGCCAAAACATCAAGCGTCTCTCTCAAGCTGTCAACCTCCTCCTTGTAGTTGGGGATAACAATTGCATGAACAACCTGATCATGGACAGCGTCTCCGTCGGTGTAGAATTCGGATTCAATGTCGCCAGCTTCGCTGCTAGTAGCAGACGAAGGGAGGGAGTCTTCTTTAGAGGAGGTCAATGTCTCGGAGCTGGATAGAGAAGTGGAGGAACCGCGACGACGGTGGGTTAGCTTGAAGTCCCGGAGAGAGGTGCTTCGCGCAACTTTGGTCAAGCTTCGCGTTATGTCGAAGAGGGCGTAGCATGATCGTAAAGGGAAGGCGGAGACCAGCAGGTGAATAAACAGGCAGTAGTAGGCGAAGATGAGAGTCCAGATACCAGCTCCCTCAGAGGGAGCAGTGGTCGAGTGCGATGGTTTGCTCAGTGAATCCTGTGGAATATACTTGTAGTCATATCGTGCTACAGCTGCTTCCTTGGAGATAACCCAGTAGCTGAGGGCTATGGTCATTAGCATGGCCAGCCCTCCGACTCGTCTCGAACACCAGCTGAAAAGCGACATGGCTACTGGTGACGTGTTGCGATTGACTCTCCGAAGATTATGCGCCCAAGACGATGGAGAAGCTCTCGAGATTATTTTGGTTAAAGGAGCGTGGGAGAGTCGCCAACCAAGGGAGTTAGGGAAAGAAGAGAAGAAAGCCCGAGTTACAATGGCGAGCCGGGAAAAGATAACACAAGGAAGGACGTTAAGTGGGAAGGGAGTAGGGAGAGTGATAGTGAGAGAGGGGGGCTGGGACGCTTCTAGAGAGAAGGTCGCGATAATGGTGCACTAAACCGCACGACAACCTAGATTGGCCTCTCTTAGGTTACAATAAATGGGGGGCGTAGGAAAAAAAGAAGAATGAAAAAAAGGAGGAGGAAAAAAAATAAAAAAGACTAGTTAATTGGTAAAAAAGCAGGGCAAGAAAATGGGAGGGAAGCTGGAAAATTACTAGGTTGAACCTCATGAAGGTAGGGAAAAGGGGAGCCTTGTTTAGTACGACAGAGAAATTAGATGGGTAGGGATTCTGCGCCCCCCAAAAGTGGATTTTGTAGCTCTGACGACGGGAAGGGTTCTAACTTCCCAGATATTTGAAGCATGGGGCTAGCCGGTCCAGCTGCTAATGGGCTAGTCAGGCCTAGCGTCACTATGGTTATGGGGAGGGTTTATGGGGGGTGGTGCTTGAGGTACCGTGCTTTTGTGCCTTGTGGACAGATGTACAGTACAAGTACATGGTCAACACGTCAGGTACCGCCTGCAAGGCTATTGGAAGTTAGCGCACCTCTCTTTATGCAATTGGATAAACGATAATTATAAAGAGGGCTCAGGTAATTGTCCTGAATTGGGGGCGTTGCAAAGTACGAGAATTACACGATTGGTCAGAAGAAAGAACGCTAACAAAGGATGCGAGGATAATGTGTATCGGGTATATGTAAATGTAGTACAGCATTTAAGTATGATGAATCTCCATTTACATGTATTGTACAATACAATACAACTATAGCGAGATTGCGTACTAGCGAAATACAAGTACTTTTTGTATACGCGTATCGTGCTCTTTTCTCTTTTTATCTCTTCAAAAAGGACGGGCGTTTAACTCTAAACCTTTGCCTCTTTTTTCAATTGATTGATTGAATGGTTGATTATCTTAGTTGTTTTATTTTATTTTTCTTCGTCAAACAATGAGGCGGGAATAATAAAGGACTAGCAAACCTTGTCGAGATTTGACTTATCTTTCGTCATAGGTCAAATGAAGGTACCTCCTAAGCAAGCGTCCCTGACGGATTACATAGTAGAGACTTAGTTCCCCGTGGGCCAAAAAAAAAGAAGGTGTGTAAGTCGGTCTGCCCAATCTACCAACTGCTACTCGATTCAGACAGACCCTAGAAAAACGGCTGCCTAATATAACATTGCTAACACTGATTCCTTTCGACATCTCACGTTTCGAGACTAGCATCATCTTATTGATGCCGGTTGAAGATACGATGTGCATCCGACTCCGCAGATTTGAATTCGTTTTGCATTTTACCAAAAGATAGCGACGTGCAGGCCCTTAGTAGATAATTCATGTCATTCGAATGGTGGTATTCGAATTGGATACTCGGATGCATCATTTGATCCATTGAATGCATTGAATGTTGAATAAACCTTCTATAAGTAAGTAGTTCATTATCTTCAACTACCTAAGGTCTATAAGATTTGTTTCGTTATTCAATTCTAGTTACACTCCTATCAAACTGATAAACAAGGTCGGTTGTTCGAGTGTCAAAGCTTAAATGCTCTCGATCAGATCCAATTGGTTTTCCGTCAAAGCGATGACTTCAGCTTCTATTATTGTCCCTCTCCTACAGGCTACAGGTGTTGAGATGCGAGATATAGGTATCGTACTGTACATGGCTGTACATTGGGAATAGGCAACAGTGGTACCGCTCTTGGGTACTGTTAGGTTACGTGGGGAGAATGCGGTATGCGGTATGCGGTAGCGTGTGCAAGGTTCACAGCCCATCCATCCCGCCCCAAAAGGCCAAGGCTGATCGATTCTTCTTCTTACCTGCGTCGGTCATTGTTGGCTTACTTCTATCTTAGGTAGTCTTCTAGTTTTACAACTACTAGTTACTAATACTATTAGTTGGCTAAGCGAGTCGATCTTCGCTGCTGTAGAAACTTTGAATCCTACCCGTCTCAGCCTCTTTGATCTTCAAGAATGGGGCTTATGAAAGAAACTACGTAGCTTTACGTATGATAGGATCTCCTGCGGTTTATTCAGCTCTTTTTTTCTCCCTTCTTTTCTTATTCCTTATTCCTTATTCCTTCTCCATTTACATAACCATATACAGCTATTAGGGAGAGCTATGTATTATATTGTATTGTATAATGTTTAACGTGTATGCAGGCATTCGTCATAACTGCCTTATTCAAAACCGTCCCAGGTTAGGCGTTCTTGACGTTGCAGTAGCACATGTAATACGTTCGCTGTTAGTGGCAGACCCCGTCACGCTGAAAGGTGGGATTGCGGGCAGCGCAAGCGATAGAGAATGAATTCTCATGACATCTTATTATCTTGCCGAGCAAATATGCATGCACCCATCCAAGACCAGTTTCTGGGCAGGTCTAATGGTGTGCACATACACCCTAGTTTCGTCACCATCTGACTCCAGGTAGTATAGTGTAGTACTAGGTATATACCTACTTAGGTAGGTATTTACTACTGCTTCTAGACTTACCTATTATATGCTGTTGGACTGCAAAGTTCCCAAGATCCTAGCTTCTGATCTCTTTACATACAGATAGTGTATCACAACTCCTTCAGACGAGAAGCACGACAACTCGCTATACGCTATACCCGCCAGCTAGGTTCCAGCTTTGAAAGTCCTGCCGTGCGGCACATTCTGTATGAAAGCATGCCCAGGTGGTTCCATGTCTGATCCTTCGCGCGCACGTACTACTACAGTGGTCCAATGATGGCTTGCGATTGATGTAGTATATGCTTTAATGACATATGCTGAGGCTATGGTTTCCCTTGCGCCATATATTAAGACGCCTGTTGTTTCAATCACGGTATAGGTAGTATACCTACCGAAGGTGAGTCTTTTTTTTTTTTTTTTTTCTTTTTTTTCTTGCATAGCGTATTATTATATGGCATGATTTGTGGGGAAAATAGTGTAAAATATGTGGCCTAGAGACCGCTGGTATTGTCTAACACAAAACTTTTTCAGAAGTGGTTAGGCGTCGAAGAAATGGGCACGTTTGAGCTAGGTATGTAAGTTTGCGCTTCTGAAGCTATCTTCCTGCAGCTCGACATCACAGGTGCATTAGGTACGAAGTACATATGAACATTGCACTAAAAGCTGCACTTAGAGCTGAGCTGCGTGAGCTACGGTGGCTTGTTTCCTTCTTTAGCCACGCACTGCCATCCGCTAACTCGTCATCCTCTCCTTCGTCATTGGCCTCGTGTCGCTTGTGCTGCGATCGCGTATGCCCAGAACAGAACCAGAAAAAACATTTACGCCATGATTGCGCTGTGCCGCATGTCCGAGTTTTACAATTATATGTAGGTACTTTACTTCTTCTTTTAAATTCTTTCTTATCCGCTACAAAAATGTCGAAATACTTCCGGTACCTAAGGCCAGATGACCGTTACATTCGCAACGGATCGGTTAATTGCATGTAATACCATTGAAATGCCGATGGCCTTTTCGAGGGTTTTAAATAATCCTCGTGCCTTTCAAGTTAGGTACCATACCAGCATCTAACGATCCCAGTGAACCGTGTTATGACCGTTGCATTACAGTACGAAAAAAATAAACGCTTAAAAATTCCTGAATAGCTGATCGAGCGTTTAAAAATATAAATATTTAAAAGCGTTTTGACATTTTTAAAAAAAAATAAACGCATACATATATAAACGTTTACATTCTCAAACGTTTGAGAATTTTTCAAACGCTTAAATCATGTGACGTTTAGGTAATATAAACCATTAGGTTGCGGTTTAGCTGCAGTAAGGTAATATAGTAATAGCAGTAGCAGTAGCAGTAGCAGTAGTAGTAACTAAGTTGAATTGAAAAAAAAAAGATTCATTTGCTTAGCCTTAGATTCAAACTATTACCTTGTATGGTAGTTTACTTATACGTTTACATGTTTACATGTTTACTTGTATGTACGTGGTTTACTTCTACGTGGTGGTTACTTCTAAGCATGCATCTACTACCTTGACCACAATGGCCATTACGAATTACATATTACGTTACACGCGCGTACGAGAAGCTACCTTATTTTAATATATCAAGGTAGGGAAGGTATCGTAGCTTCCTCTTGGAAGAGGCTCTTACCTCTTGGAAAAGGCTCTTACATACTAAGACCCTAAGATATTCAAACGCTTATCTTGAAAGATAAACGCTTTCATATTTTCTAAACGTTTAGATACGATTAAATGTCAAAACACCTGTAGACGTTGAGAAACATCAACATCTAGTATTTAAAATATTTTGACAAATTTAATTGTATTATATCGGTTAAAAATTTCAAACCGTATATACACGGTTTACTGGTTCCCGCGGATCCCCGTAAGGTACCCGCTCAGGTGTCCCGCTTGTTAGAGTTTCAATGTTGAGAGCTGAGCCCGTCATCGCACAGTGTAACTTTCAGAGGTACGGTGGCTTTTTCCTCCTTCACGAATAGAATTGCATTGTTTGGAGCCAAATTACCCTTTTAGAATTTTTCGAAACTCGATTGCCCCAACCGAGTAAAGCACTTTTGAAACACCGTTGGATATAATCTCCTGCTGATCATCATAAAGACTGACTTTTCCTCGCAAACAAAAACGCTTGTCCTTTTTTTCCTTCTTTGCAACAGCTGCGTTACGCATTTCGGCAGTACAGTGTGGAGGCCGCCAACGAAAAATAGGACCATATTCTATCGAATTATATTGTACAGTTAGGTAGTACCGAAGTAGTACAATAAATGACCTACAGGCACTTACTACCTAATGTAGGTATGCATACGATGGATTATGGATATGGACAATTGAGCTCTCTCTCTTCTGGTCCAAGTACATAACATATGACCTCCAGTCTACAGCGTAGCCATGTAGTAGCTACATGATGCTTACATAGTACCCATCTGTGCGAACTAATTTTAATATGCATCTTTCGGACAATTCTGATTGGTCTCTTCCCAACTGACAACCCACGTTTATTTGCCAGTCGAGATTACTGGTCCACCGTCGATCTGGATCCGTCAACTGATTTCCATAATACATCCACTAACAGCAGTACAGGTACCATAAAATTCTGCCGTTTTTTTTTTTTCTCTCAACGCTACCATAGCAGGGGCGGCTCCATGTGGTAGTGCTTACCGATGGGGTTAGCTTTGGACTCTTTTTCTCTGAAAAAAAGCCGCCATACCCCAAAGCTATCAACAAAAGGCTCGTACATACATCGCACACCTATCTTTGGACTAGACAGGTCGTATAAATAGGGGGAGGGACGCTAACTAGTGAGCAAAGTTGGGGGGACTACGTATAAGATATGAGCTAGCCCGTTTCCCGAAACAAGAAGTTCCGAACCCTTATTCTTTTTTTTTTTCCCTTCTCTCTGTCGCGAAAAAAAAGGATCTGGGGGCCGCTTTCAATAAGGGGTCCTCGGCAAGGGCTTATCCAAATATCGGCGTTGCTTGGCAATGGAATGATCGATACTGCGATAGTTACACCATGTTCATTTTATGTATGAGCCCACATCAGTCCTCAATGCGTGAAACGCGTTCAAAAGCTAGCTAAGCTGTCCTGTCCAGCATTGGGGAAACGCGTCATGGATAGCAATATAAGGATTGAGGAAACGTAGCCAACCAACGCGTCTGCGGGTGCTTTTCGTCCCAAGTCTTTTTAATTTAAGCCGCTTGGCTATCACATCCATGCTCTCTGACACGCAGGTCTCATGCTACGTACGTTGTAGATATGAGTACTGTACCTATCATGGGAAAAGTAATTGGACCCTTCTTATTGCATCGTGCATTTGAGGGAGAAGTGTCAGGTAAAATCCATTAGTTTTCATTTATTAACTAGCCCCCCAGCGTGATGAACCAAGTGCCCGGGAGCTTTACCATTACGTGCGGCTTTATCTGTCTGCAATCATTTTTCTTTTGTCCTGTACTACGAAAACATCGTGGTACGTGTGAAATTCCCCTTACATTGAAGTAGGCGTCGTTATCTCCACTATATTTACTCCTATTGATAGCGAGTTGACATTCAATTCAGACTGCGGTCTTCGCAGTTCGAATTCCCACTTGGAAATGCGCCTAGATGGAGATAGCCGCTAATTAAATTCACACCGATTGCCCGCCGCTGAGCTGCCGATAGTTGAGCCACAGCTGTTGACCGTTCTATGATCTCCGCCCTGTATAAACACCCCACCTAACCACGTACGGGCGTACATAATGCAGTAGTAGTATGCATCTGCAAGATCAAGTGCAAGTCTGCAAGGGGAATGCATGGTTGGATATCGCCCAACTGCTTAAAATAGTATCGAAAGCTTTATTCTAAGAGCTTCATCGGCCGACGCTCGTCGAAGTGCCATATCAAACGCAGGATAATTTACGCGTGGGGTGATCAACCGCGTACTGGGGAATTAGTTAATGAAGGTAAAGGGGGGTCTCCTGATCGCGTTCCGTGACCGAGGGCAAATGTCCCGTTTCTACCTAATGTATATGAGATATCCCAAGCATAGCTCCCTAACAGCTGAGATACACATGATTAGCGTCTCACGACGAAAGTAGGAAGAAATTTGATTACCTTATGCTCCTCCGGTCTTACTAATACGAGATAGTCATCGGACAGGCCGTGACGGTGAATTTGCAATAGCTCTATGACGCTAGAAACACGAGAGCTACACCGCTAAATCTAGAGGTGTAGGTTAGACGTTCTTATCAAATAGTTTCTGGATCGGTTTGGCAGCCTGTTTATCCGTAAGCATTGGCACCCGTAGAACGAGCATCCAGAGTTTACTCACGTCGATGAACTTTTCGAGTTCCTTATCGAGGTTCGCGAGGTCATCCTTTCTCTTTTTGTTGTCTGCAATAAGTTTCTGTTTCCGCTTTAGTAGCTCCATACGTTTCTGTTCCAGACTCTCGCGCTCGCTACGTTCATGTTCGATTCTTGCAATCATCAATGCGTTTTCGTCGTCGTCGGCATGCTCAGGCTTCAGAGCGAGGAACTCTTTGAGGGGTATAAGGGGAAGTTTTTGGTAAGTGTGACTGAATTCAATTAGTTCTTGCGCAAGTTCGGGTGCTGAAACAGTATAATGGCTGCAGAAAATACTGTTGCTTGATGTAGAGATGGAGTTGAAGCTGGGATTGGGGTCTTGAATCGGTGTAGGAACATAGCTGAACGGAGCTTTGGTGGGTACTGACTCGTACGACTCGCAAGCGGAGATCTCTCCTTGGAGATGTCTCTGCTCGTAGTATAGGTTTTGAAGTTGTAGATGTAGACGGTCGACTTCCTGACGAGCTTCGGATGTCTGCGATTTAGTCTGTCGGGCACCGAAGTATGCTGCTCGGTGAAGGCCACGCAGTTGTGCAAGATTGGTGATCAGGAGCTTTTGTTGCTTGGAAATTTCCAGTTGGGCCTCTGGAGATGCTGTTTCGATAGGTCCAGCTGCCGCGATCTGATCAACGAGCTTCAATGCTTGTAGTCTGGTATCGCGGGAAGCATCGAGCACCGTCGATAGGTTCGCATCGGTCACGATTTCGTCGATCGTCATCGTAGATGAGGATACGGAGTAGCGGATTGTAAGACTTAAGGTTTAAATTCAATTGCGATTCGAAAATTAGGATGCTAAAGCTGAGTGCTGCTCGATGGTTGATATCGGTGTTTTCGGTGTTTTGACGTCTGGGCATTCCTCAAGCGCAGCCTTCTTGATAGAACTATTGGGGAGTTAGCCAATCACAAATCAGATATGCTTTTTTTTGTTTGCAGATCCAGCCTTACCTAGACCGGATATTCGAATCACCGTACCTAGGTAATGGATTAGGTAACTTTGCATGAATAGCGCCCCACGGGTTGTTGTGATTGGAGATTACCACCTAATGGAAATTAGAGTCAATATTGGGTTCATGTCGGTTACGACGGGGGCTTACAGGTTGCAACGCAGCTCTATCAGCTCGTACATGTACAGTTTTTTTTTTTTCTTAATTGCAATGATTCCTTCTTTTTTTTATTTCAACTTGATACTGGATATTATCAAAATCGCATAGAGATGGAACAACTGGAAAATACACATTCTTCAAATTGATTAACATTTAAATTGCATTGGGTACACCTCTAACCAACTAGCCGACTTACGGGATTCCGATTGTGGGGAACCTTAATTTACCCTTGCATAAGATAATACTACCTAGTCCGTGTATTGGACCTCGGATCTTATCTAAGCTACAGGTATCTAGGTACTCCGTCTTGTCCGATTATTCGATTATTCAAACCTTGGAACCCCCCTCCCTCAACCAATGGGTAACAACCAACTTCCACATGTGAAAGTCAACTTTCCTCCACTTTCGCCTCCAACAACTTTTTTGCTATTGTAACAGTTGCGTAGCGAATAACGACCTTAAGACCAATCTTTTCATAGCGTTCTGCATTCTTATAATTTTACTGGTCAACTTCACATCCTTCAACTCACAATAAACTGTCTCATGCAGGGACATCTGACAGCTTAGACGTGCCCAAGCTTTTTTTATTAGTTGGCACCAACCAAACTTTGTATTTTCTATAGTTTCGCATACGCTGCCATACACTACCATACACTACCATACGCTCCCTTTATCCGCCATGTCTTTCACGTCAACTTTGACCCTTAGGTCTCATCATGACCAGGGCGCTTCTAGAAGTTCTGGCACTGCCGACCAAGAAAACTTACCACGACGGCGCCGACGACATTCTTCTTTTATGCCTAGTAGAAGAAATTCTTTGATCCAGCAGATCATGGATGGCGAGGAAGGTTTACTGCTTAAGGTACCTACGTTGCCCCGAATACGACGTAGCACTAATATCAATTTATACTAATTTGTTAAAGGTGGATTTGTTCCTCTCAGAACTAGAGAGGAGACTTGAATATCTCGAGGGCTGCAGCGAATTGATCGACCTGGATTCAAGTATAGCCAAAACATTTGCTACGCTGCAAGCGGTACGGGAACGATGCTCGCAAGTTTCGGAAGAGGTCATCGGCGCTGGTCGACGTCGATTGCAGGTTATGGTTGAGACCTTGGACACGAGATATCATGAGGCCTTAGCAGCCGCCGAGTCCATGAACGAGAAAGCACACGTCGGTGTTGAACTTCTTGACGGCATGCTTACTGATTTCGAAACCCGAGCCTTGAAATTTCGTGACCGGGGCTTTGCGAATGCTGCCGACGCTGCCGGGACTTTGATGGACGAAGGCCGACGAGTTGTGGACGAAAGTCTAGAACGTGCTCGTGGTGTTATGGACGATGGTATTGAGCGAGCCTGGCGTGCCGCAGAATCCGTCGAGGAGCACATACAAAGAGCAATTACTCGTGCAAGGGAGCAAGGCCTTATTAAGTATGAGGAGCTTCCCGTACCTTGGAGGGTCAATCCTCATATCCTTAGCGGATACCGATTCACCGAATCTAAGATTGGGTGTGTTCGTTCAATGTTTGGTGTTTCGAACGAAACGGTTAACATTTGGTCTCACGCATTTGGTTTGATAATAATGTTGTCAATCGCTTTCTACTTCTACCCGACCTCGGCCAATTTCTCTCTTTACTCCAAGACGGATGTTTTTATTGCCGCCGTTTTCTTTTTCGCAGCCTGCAAGTGCCTGATCTGCAGCACCATTTGGCATACTATGAACTGCGTTGCAGACCAAACTTTGATGGAACGTTTCGCATGCATCGATTACACCGGCATCTCATTACTCATCGCAGCATCGATCATGACAACCGAGTATACCGCGTTTTATTGCGAACCTATTAGCCGCTGGACATACATGACCGCCACTGCTGTTCTCGGCATCGCCGGCACCATCCTCCCTTGGCATCCTAAGTTTAATGGACAGGATAGGGCTTGGCTGAGGGTGGGCTTCTTTGTGGGATTGGGTGCCACCGGTTTTATGCCTGTTTTCCAGATTATTCTAACTCGAGGTTCTGCTTGGGCATATGAGTTCTACGCGGGTTCCAACTTAGTCAAGTCTCTCTTGGTCTACGTTCTTGGAGCTTGCGTCTACGCGAGCAAAGTCCCCGAGCGGTGGTTTCCCGGTGCTTTCGACTACTGTGGCAACGCACACAACCTATGGCACGTAAGTATTCACCGTTCCCTTTTTCATAATTATGGCACTAATTATTATGGATGCAGTTTGCAGTACTTGGTGGAATTCTTTATCATTATGTCGCTATGCAGGACTTCTTCTCTGGAGCCTTTCAACGAGCACAGCAGGGCTGTCCAGCCTATTAAGCAAAATCCCTCAACCAATACCAAGACGCCTAGTTATTTACAATGGACTGCGCAAATTCCGGAACCGCCCGATTACATATGTCCTTGCAAAGTTGTGCCCTAAATATCTAGACGATTACAATAACCAAGACTTTCTTACAACAACAGTGTCCCACACCCCGAAGTTTACCTCGGACTTATCACCAACTCCAGAAGAACAATAGCTAAGATGCTCAATAAACTAAGTAGCGTCATAGGTCCAGTCGAAATTTCAGCTCGTTTTATTGCTGAAGAGACTTGTACAGTTAATGGAGCTGTTGCGTTTGTATGCGATATGAGGGTCGGTACTGGTACAGGCTTGTTCACATTGGCCGGGGTCGCGAATGAACATGAGTTGTTTTGAACGTCGACTTTCTTTGGTACCGGGGTTGCCGATTCTTTGAGGAAGGGGAGGACTGTTATCGTAGGGCCGGCAATAGTTGTTACATTGGCCACGACCTGAGGTCCCGCGGTCGTATTCGAAGCCGATCCGGGCAGCGTAAACCCGGCATTGCGAGCACACGTCTCCAGATCCTCTCCCTACATGTTGTTAGCTTACCGACGGCTCAATTGATCACGACTGTCGACTTTCGTACCTCGAGACAGCAATAACCCGCGACAGGCGCGCAGTATTTTCCCGAATCGCAGAATCCGTTGTCTGCTGCGCAGCACGACTATTCATTCTGTGTTAGCATTTGTTGTTCTAGGTGGTATGCGGGTTCTTTTTTCTTCACCTGGCCGATTTTAGGGTTGAAGCAATAGGTGCTCCCTTCACCTCCACATGACTGCGAGCCTTCTCCGTAATTCTGCTCGCAGGTCACTGCTTCTCTCTTGTGGTGCACGACGGAGATGCGGACGTGTTTCTCTTGCGCTGACACAAGGAGCCCGCAGCAGAGGAGTAGGAGCGAAAAAGTGAGCATGGTGCGTCTTTTTTACTTCTAAGGTATATATAAGTATATTATTAATAGGTCGGGGCGAAGTCTGTATATAGACGCTTTATGTGCGTTACGCGATTACGCGATTACGCAAAAACGAGTCGATGATAGATGGGTAGAGGGAAGGAAGGAAGATAAAAGACTTTGAGGTCGGTACACGATAGATAGAGCCTCTGGTAGAGGTAGAGGTAGAAAGAAGTAAAAGTCGAAATCTGATAGAGGAAGATAGATGTCAGAAACTGAGGAGCGTTGGTGATGCTATTCCAAATGTGGGATGAGCGGGTTTAATACACATCTTTATATATCACATTATCATTAGCAATAACAAGCGTTCTGCTTTGGCGAAATGGTTGTTTCACTTGTCGGCGTGAGTTCCCAATGGGTAATGGGTGGCCTTCGTGGAATCTGGCGTCGATATATCGTGGTGCATGCTGTTGATCCGCCCTGCGAATATGCCTGTTGTATTAGGTAGGTTAGGTTAGGTACCTACACGTAGGTGGGTATAAATGGTAGCCTTCCTGTGTCTGTCCCTTTGGTTGAGGGGGATGCAGCTTCAAGTATGTAGGGGGGTTATACTAAGTTTTCCAAGGGGTACAGGAAGAAAGATCAAGGTTAGGTACATATCTTCCTACCGCTACACCAACTAACCTGCCAAAGGGAGTGAATAGGTACCTAACCTAAGCATGCAAGACTATCCGGTAGAATATTCCAACATCCCTTATCTTACCTTCTATCTACCCGCATGTGTTTCCTAGAAATTCCCGACAAGTATGAAGGTTCAATTTATCAAGTCCCAGATTCCCGCGATATACTACCTTAGGCACCTACCTAATGTATATAGACCACGACAAGGGAGACTACTTACTACTTACTTCAGTTAACTAACAGGTATGCTATGCTATTTATATTAGCGTGACTTTTGTTAAAACGCCCGTTTCATTCATTCATTTATTCATCCATTCACAACTTCGAGAACTCAAGACTCGAGACTCAACGTTTGGGTTTCGAACCTACCTGAATCAATCCATCGAATATGAAATTGACTTCCATTCATACATTCCCCGACAGATCAAACATCTAAACCACAATCACTTATACATACCGCCAATTAGCACCTGTCATTATCCTTAGTTATCCTTATCTTTACTTATAACTACTCGAACTCATATTCAACAGAACATACTCTTCGATATTTTTCGAGGTTATGCCTAAGACATTACGTTACAGCAGCGCTTCACGGCGGGAAGCGCGCCTATTATACCTATATAATATAATAACATCCACCTATTTCCATTCCATCCCTTCCCTTCCATTTGTCCTTCCCTCCTTGCATCCATACTTTCATCCATCATCGATCATTTTCACATCGCATTGAAAAAAAGGAGAGAGAGAGAACAGACCAAGTACCGAAACCCTTTCCTTCCCGTGGTATATATACCTAGTTGGTATAGTACGCACAGTATATAGTATACTATGGTATACCACTGGTGCCCGTTCCCTGTCCCTCCCTATATTTGTACAAACCCCGAAACAGAACAAAGAACAAAAAACCAAATAAGGGGGTTTCGCTTCGTAAACATAGCATCATTTGCATCATCGTAAGCCGGCCCTCGACTTCCTTTTTCATTTCGCTTCCCTTGTTGTCGTCGTCGTCATCGTCTTCGCCCGTGTCGTCTAGTATAGTACAGAAGTGAATAGTAAAAGAAACATGGCATAAAATAAAAATAAGAAAAGACAAAAAGACAAAAAGTATATATCACTCCACTCCACTCCTTTTGAGTACCCCCTGAAGAAAATAAGCCTTCCTTTTCTCTTTACCTTGGAGAAATCTATATGCAAGGGCCGTCTTACTTTATATATAAGTGTGCCTCTTGACAAAAGAGAACCTGGTCCATGTTGAAGGAAATATCCCGAATTCTTTCTAGGATGGTCGAGATTCCACAGTTGGCTTTTTGAAACAATCATCATCGTCGAGTTTGTTGGAGACATTATTAAAAAGATGTAAAACGGTATGATCCGATACTCTTTTTTAAAAAAAGAAAAAGAAAACCTGGGTATGTCATATGAGCGCAACTCGTAGAGAAACATATCGTGTCACCTTTGAGAAAGGTGTAGTTATGTTACGTTATGGTCATAGAGCGTGTCGTATGATGTCTGCGTAGACATCGTCGGGTATCATCCTGATGATGGCGAGCGCTGTCCGCTTCACCATTTCTGCCCGCAAAGCCGGGAATGACCGAAGAAGTTTGTTAGGACTATTTATTTATTTGTGAGTACACAATCTCGATGTCTTGAGAGTTCCAGCGGTACATACTTTAATGAGGTCAGGAGTTCATTACGCATCATTATTAGTTGGGCGACAATACAGACGATATTTAGCTGTGGCCCGTAGGCGAAGAGGAAATCCCAGTGCTTCAGCACCTCCGGCAAGGGGGGAGTGCATGCGCAGAGTGTAAGTACGGAAGGGAAAGCGTATATCTCTGCTGATAGGCCCTTTGACGTTAAGTAGAAACTCAGCTTAGGATCCACAATCGCCAATACTTTATCAACGAGTGCGAGGCCGCGATGGACTCCATCCATCGCACCCCTAATATACCCGGGACACTCCTTGGTTAGGAGAGTATGGAAAGCAGCGAAAGCTTCGACTTCGCTGCGAGCTGCGTATAGGAACGGAGCAGCAAGTACGTTCATACCCTGTACGTAAGTTCCTGGTTCCGAAGCAGCAACATCAGAACCTTCCGTTGTGAGCGTCAAGGCGCGGGCACGATTCCTGGCAGATGGCGAGGAGGCAACGGTCTGGGAGATATCGCTGCGGGAACTGCTAGCACTTTCGGTATGGGCGAGGGACATTCTGCTACTTGTTGGGCGACGTTCTTCCTTCGCATCATGAAGTTTCCAGGCAATAGCGTTAAGCAGACGGATTAAGCTCGCCTCGCTAACACGGCGACGAAAGAGGGGGTCGGTAGTCAGTGTTCGAAATGTGTCGTTTCGGATTTTGGAGTAAGCGGGAGAAGCGCCTCGATGTATGAGTCCCAGGTACTCGTTAGTATCTAGTATAGGCGCATCGATAAATATAAGCCAGAAGTAGATTCTAGTTCGCGACTAAGCACCTTCATTAGTTCGGCCATTATTCGATCAGTCTCAAGCAAACTTCAAGCAAATCATACCATCCCATCGCTGTCGCTCCTGATACCCTGATCTAGAACTTTTAGACGCGCACTCTCCAACGCGGCATTCACATCTCCGTCAGGGGGACCCTCTCTAATCAGTCTGTCTAGAGACATGGTGTCAGCTACTCTTGAAGCTTTACTTAGAGCGCTCCTCTTGTGGTTTAGAGTTAATAAAAGATTATTTGGAAATATGGTTGGCGTGGGAGGTGGTGGGGGTGTCGCGTCGGAATTGGCTCTATTTCTCTGTGGGGATCGGTTGGCATTGCGAGGTGCAGGTGGTGCGCCCTCTTGAAGAGGGCGGAGAACCGGTTGAGATATCAACGAGTTCTGGGAGGAAATTCGAGCAGCGGCACCGAGGTTATGTGCGGATTGTAACTTGCGTAATCTGTGAGTGTGAGGCGACGGCGGGGGAGGTATTTGGTTAGAAAGAGTGGTTGTCGCGAAGGCATTAAATGCTTCTGCGATAGGCGGGAATGCCTCCCGCGTTGGGCTCGACATTTTGACCAGTTGGCTGCTGTGACAGCTGGCTATGTGGATTGCGATGATTCGCAAATTGAAGCTATCGTCAATAACGAGGGAAAAGCATGCTCAGCACGATGTATAGTTGTAGTGCGACTAATAGGCGCAGTAAAATTAGGTATATAAAAAAAGGAAAAACAAAGGCAGGGAAAAGAGGTTGGAGTTGTTTAGATGAGGGCTTGTGGTACTTGGGTACATGCGTTGTAACCTAATAATAACTGTGCAGCCCCCCCCTCATATTCACAAGATAATTATCACATAGTAGACGCGATTGGAACGCGTTGGCTTAATAAGGTTATTTACCTACCTGGTATTTAGTCGAGTACCTACCTTAGGTAATGGGGACAATACAATAAGTACCTACCTAATGTAAGTGCATTATCTTTAACTATACTAATAAATGTTTATCCTTCTTGTTAAAAAAGATATATGTAATACCTATCATGGAAAAGCACCTCAGCAATTATGCTCTTTTCTTATGCTATAATTCATTTTCCCATTAAATGTCCATCGATATTAGATCAGCATGTGAAAAAGGCTTACATCGATGTCAAAATCTAAGGTGGTAAGGCAGGTAAGGTTACAACTATAAAGCTGACAACCTAGCCTTTGACCGCTCCATCGCAGCTAGGATTGGTCAAGATTTCCCCGTAGATTGTGGCCCGTGAAAGTCTGCAGGTACGATCATTCTGCATATTATTCGCATCCGGGGAAGCCGATATATAGTTCAGGACCGTCTTATCTCGGAGACTTACACGGATGGGCGGGTTATCTCGGTGGCTGTTTTATGCTTGAAACTCGAGATCTTATGAAGTTGATATGTTTGAAAGGGCTGGCTATGTCATGAACATTTTATAGCAGATCTTATATATAGCAATACATACCTACCTTAGGTAGGTACCCCTAGGTAGGTAGGTAGGTAGTACTTACAGCGAAATCGGCACCGGATCAGCGTCCGTTCAATCTATTATGACATCATTAGAAATTCGGTATTAGATAAAATAGAATCTCCCATAAGTTATTCTTCGATCCAAATGGAGTTTGGCTGTAAACCGTATTTATAATGAATCGTGATGGCATCAACCAAAGTCGAAATCACGTCATCGACGCTTGGACCAGTTCTCTACATTTAAGCCCTGTGATTGGCTAACGGTGTTGTCTTTTCGCCGAATTGGGTACAGGTACCTAGGTACTGGTTCCCATCTTTACATCTTTATTTTCCCAAGTCTCACACACCATTTCTAACAACATCTAATACTCAACTCCCAATTACGAGATCATATGTTGTAAAAGTTCCCACCGCGTATAACTGCCGAATAAGCTGCGTAAGAGGTTTCATCGCAAAATGGAATTCTCCGTACCGAATACCACATGTTCCTAAGGAGGTATGGGATTATGGAGAAGTCGGCGTTCGGCCTCATCTCTTCTCTCCGTGATGCCCATATAAAAAGATGAAGAGGATATTATGTTTAGGTAGATTGCGTACTTGGAGATTTCTAGATAGTGGCGCTAGGCTTTGAAAGGTTTAAAGCCGATTGCGCCATCGAGTGATCAACCAATCCAGGGCTACTATGTAGTAGTACTTCAGACTCGGACTTTGTATGAAGTACCTAAGGTAATAAGTTCTAACAACGCCCTTATCCAATACTTATTACCTCGCTGCCACAATTATTCTTCGGCCAAACATTGCTAAGACTCTTCTATTCCATTCAACAATAATATTATATATCACCTAAAAATCTCTTTATCTGCTCATCTGTCAGGGCCGCGTACCGATCCGCATCTTCCCTCTAGTGGCAACCTAAGATCTGGATTAACCCATTGAGACTACCTATGTACTTGTATTACGACTCAGCCAGCATCGAACCCGACCTTCGTGGACAAGAAACTTTTACTCCTTATTATACAGGATACATACCTCACACAGACTTTTGTCTGACAGCTAAAACGGCCTTCAACGTTACAGCGAGAGCCTGTGCAAGGCAAACTGAAAATATCCCGGCCGTATTACTTATATTCTCTTTACCGAACCCCCGTATCCCCTCGGTATAATTTTTAAGAGCAGACATCACCCCCATTGTTTTATTGTGGACTTACCTACCTAACCTATTTATTTACCAAATCGAACCCACCTTATTCTCTTGGAAGAAGAAGAAAAGGGGGGAGGGGAGAAATCACCTGGTTTTTTGACAGAGGTCTGCGTCTTCCTCAACATCACTTTATATTGAGTCCGCCTTATCAATAAGTTTGATTCGATTTCATTCCGATGGCTACCTCCAGTGCCTTTTTATAGCGATATTTCCGATCCGGGTTAATTTGGCCCAAATCTGGGCTTGTGCCAAACACGCTGTTAGCGTTGGAGTTGAGGAGTCTTACTTCCCCTTGCAGATATATACCCCTATCGTTCTATCAGCAAAGCTGTTGCCTCCTCGAGCCTAGCATCTACTTGACGGGGGATCACTCCCTACTTCATCTTTGGTTACGAACTTCACTATATACCCTTTGAATTTCTACTAAGGTTTATCGTTACCTCCAACTCCTTAATTATATCCTCACCTATCAACTCCCACGATGTCTACGACAAGGAAAGCTGGCCAGACACTGGCAAAAGTCTTAGGGATCAAGCTTGAAGACCCTGATATGGACGACGTAACTCGAGGAGAATCGGTCTTCTCGATGCAGACGGCAGACAGTTTCGTCGAGCATCAACCCACAAGCGCAGAATGGCTCCGAGAAATAATGCCCTCGGGACGAGATGTACTTAACTATTTTAAGTCGTTATTTCCTTTCTTATCATGGATCAGGTTTTACAACTTACAATGGTTTATCGGTGATCTCGTTGCAGGTATGTTCTTGTTAACTACCTACCTAACCTAACCCAGGTACCTAAAGCTATAGATTGCATAGCTAACTTCTTTCCAGGCATAACTATCGGTGCTGTCGTCGTACCGCAGGGAATGGCTTACGCCAAGTTGGCTAATCTTCCAGTCGAATTCGGATTATATTCATCATTCATGGGCGTCCTTCTTTACTGGTTTTTTGCCACTTCTAAAGATATCACTATAGGGGTACGTGAACGGAGAGCTCTTAATAAAAAAGATATCTTACTGACATACTATAGCCTGTTGCCGTCGTCTCTACTGTCACAGGCTCTGTCGTCGCCAAAGCTACTAAAGAATATCCCCAGTACGAAGATACGCCGTGGGTAATTGCGAGTGCCCTTGCTCTCATATCCGGCGCAATTGTGCTTTTTATCGGTTTAATTCGGTGCGGATGGATCGTCGAATTGATACCCTTAGTGTCTCTCGCAGCTTTTATGACCGGTTCCGCTATCAACATTGCCGCAGGGCAAGTTCCTACGCTTATGGGAATTACCGGCTTTTCTACAAGGGATTCAACATACATGGTCATCATCAACACTTTAAAGAACCTAGGCAAGACGGATTTGAACGCAGCTATGGGTCTAACTGCGCTTACAATGCTCTACACGATCCGGTTCTCATGCACTTGGGCGGCCAAGAAATTTCCAAACCACCACAAGTTGTTTTTCTTCCTCTCAACACTTAGAGCGGTCTTCGTCATATTATTATACACCATGATCAGTTGGTTAGTTAATATGCACCGCCGTGATCACCCGGCCTTCGCCATTCTTAAGGATGTACCTCGAGGTTTCCAGCACGCCGCCGTTCCTACCATCGACTCGGATATAATCAGATCATTTATTGGCGAACTACCTGCAACAGTCATTGTTTTACTAATCGAACATATTGCCATCTCAAAGTCCTTCGGCCGAGTCAACAATTACACGATCAACCCGTCCCAAGAGATGGTTGCTATTGGCGTTACCAACGTCCTTGCGCCCTTCCTCGGAGGGTTCCCGTCAACGGGTTCTTTCAGTCGTACAGCTATCAAATCGAAAGCAGGTGTTCGGACCCCCTTTGCCGGCGTTATCACGGCCGCTGTGGTGCTCTTAGCTATCTACGCACTTACGGCCGTTTTCTTTTATATCCCCTCCGCGTCGCTCGCTGCTGTTATCATCCACGCCGTCGGAGATCTGATAACACCACCAAATACGCTTTACAAGTTCTGGAGGATATCACCTCTCGAGGTCGTGATCTTCTTCGTCGGCGTAATCGTTACCGTTTTTTCAACAATCGAGAACGGAATCTACGCAACAATATGTATCTCGTTTGCGGTTTTCATATTTCGCGTACTCAAGTCTCGCGGTAGGTTCCTCGGTAGGGTCCAGGTACACTCCGTACTGGGCGATCACCTCATTGGCAATGACAGTAAGGTGTTGGGCGAATACGGGACTTTCGAAGCTTTGGATTCTAGCCTCTCACCGCCTACGCGTAACGTTTTCCTCCCGATAGACCACGAAGACGGCTCAAACCCGGAAGTCGAAATCTCTAGCCCTTACCCTGGTATTTTCATCTACCGATTTTCCGAGGGGTTCAACTACCCAAGCGCCAGTCATACTCTAGACTATCTTACAAGCCACATATTTGCCAATACTCGTCGTACTCGGACAGACACGTATGCGCGCGTTGGCGACCGTCCATGGAACGACCCGGGCCCGAAGAAGGGCCAAGAAGAGAACACCTCGCTGCCGACGTTGAAGGCTATCATATTTGACTTTAGTTCTGTTAATAATGTCGACGTCACGTCGGTGCAGCAACTAATCGACGTGCGCAACCAGCTAGACCGATACACAGCGCCAGATGTGGTAGATGTCCACTTCGCTTGCATCAACAACCGATGGACGAAGAGAGGACTCGTCTCCGCCGGCTTCGGCTACCCGACGCCGCGTCCGGACGGCCTGCACTCGCGGTGGAAGTCCATCTTCAGCGTCGCCGAGATCGGTGGCTCGGAATCGGCAGCGGCGGCCGCGGAGCAAGAAGCCAACGAGAAGGAAAGCCAGATCCGGCCGACGATCAGCAAGGCGGAGTCGGTAGACCCGTCGACCCAGGCCACTACTCCCGGGCCCAGCACCGCTTCTAGCATAACGCAGTCTGCGGCACCGAGGAACAACAAGGCGTCTGAGTTCGCTAAGAACGCGGAGACCAGAAAGGTTGCCGTGCACGGGCTCAACCGCCCGCTGTTCCACGTCGATCTGACGAGCGCGCTGCAGAGCGCTATCGCGAACGTGAGAGCGAGAGACGAGGTCGAGGCCCAAGGAGGCCCGGATATCGGCGTCACGGTTTAAGATTTAAGATTTGCTTTTTTTTTTTAAAAAAAAAAATAGTTGGTAATCGGCGCGTAGGCAAACGTGTATAATGAGGATTGGTTAGCATTTTGGGAGAGTTATGAATGAGTAAAATTAAGGAGGTATTTTCTTTTTGGGTTGCTTATGGCGGCCAGCTTACCAACAATTACCTCGTATAGAGAGAGGGTAAACGGATGAATGAAAAAAAAAAGAAAAGGGCGAAATTTAGAATTGTTGCATATATACGCATGCATTCATCGGACTGGTCCATAGACTTAAGGACACAACTCGGGGGCTGCGTTGTAGATACTTTTTTGCATGAGGTTTAGGGTTAGACACTTGTATATATGAGGCGGGTTGTGTTGGATATACCCTGACGAATACTAGGCGAAAGTTAATCACGATACGATATGATGCCGTACCGAATTTCTTTTTTTTTGTTTTATCGACGTGATATTATGTATTATATACTTCACACTAGTCCTTGTTTCGAGTAACCGTCCTGATATTTTCTATATTCCCGTCACCCCGCCATACGACGTAGCGGGGACACCAGGCGGGATGACCAGCGTTGCATTACCTACCTAAGGTATATAAGGTTTAAGTTTAGGTACATTTCAGCCCCCAAGACCACGTTGTCTTTAACGTTGAGTTAGTATGTACGCACTTTATGTGTGGGAGATGGGACGAGACGGGATGAAAGGAGAGGGGATGAAATGGGATAAGGCGAAAGAAGACAAGACAAGAAACAAAATGGGATAAGATGAGATGGGGCGAAGAGGGATATCAAAGCCGGACTGCTTTAGAGAGGTACCTATTAATTACCTCCTATTCTACATGTATATCTACCTGAGGTACGCTCCCTTTAATTTTCCTAAACGCCCGTTTTCGAAATAGAAATACCCCATCCACCCAGACGCCCAGAATTCAAATTCAGTTTTACAAGGTCGGCCTCCTATCCTATCCCATCCCATCCCATTCCAATCCAGGTGTTCGGTGTACTAACCGCCCACCTCTCCATAGAACGAAAGTGAGGCGGGATAGGCGAGATGCGGTGAAATGAGGTAGACCGAGTAGAAACTAGGTACCTAACATAAGAGCAAGAGGGGGGGGGGGATGAAATGAAATAGAGGGAGCGGTACATATGCAAAGTAAAGTAGAATTCGGAGGACGCCGACCGGGAGACCGGGTCGGTCAGGTCGGTCGGGTCGGGTCGGGTCTGGGGCGGCGGCAAAATTGACTTATGGTGGGACGGGGACGGGGTGAGTATACCAGCGGCCTAGTAAGGGCCAACGGAAGTGATTTGGGTGACTTGATTAGGGCATATCGAGAAAATGTGTATATTGTATTGTATCTTATAGCCGTTGTAGGAAATTCTACTTACATACGAGATAGGTAGATGGCGCAAATAGCTTGTCAACCGACTCGGCTGCCGTCAAAGTAGGGAAGTCGGTAGAAAGGGGAGGCAGGGGAGCATCTGAAGAGCAGCTAGAGAAACAAGCCCTCACTTACCTTACCACCAGCTCAGCTCACGATAACTTCCAAACGCACACTATAGTTAGCAGTAGACAGTAGACAGGCTATTAACCACACACAAACTCTATCATCATCAAAAGCCGTAGCTAGGTATCTTTTACAGGAGGTATATATTTAGTTGTCTGCAGCTATACTCTATATGCGCAAGCGCAACCTGCCTCTCCTTAACCTCCTCCTCCCTCGTTCCCATAACCAATCCTAACCGCAAAGTGATTTGAATCGCGAGAATTCCCCATCTATCCAGGAGCAAGTAGAAAAAGTTTTTTTAAAAAAAACACCCCCGTAGTATACCAGGTATCATAACCTGAGAGATAAAAAGAAGAAGAAGAAAAAAAGGCAAAACAAGGCCATTGGATCATCCCCAGCGCAGCTGAGGATAGGTATTCCCTTTGAGAAGTAAATATTGAAGAGAAAAAGACAAAAAAAGAAAAAAAGGAACGATTAGAAAATTACCATTCTCTCTCCCCTTTCCACCGTCCCCCCTTTTTACCAGAAAAAAAGGCGGGGTGGCTAGGACATTCATTGTTGGGCCTCATCAGATATCCTATAGTTCACATACGTTGAGGCGTGTTGTTGTTGTTGTGCTGCGTAGCAAAGTTCCCGTAACTAGCGGGGAAGCCTGTTCCCGGACTAGATCCCATACCGTGGTATTTTCCTTCTTCTTTTGTTTCTTTTTTATTTTGGGGTCCGCAACGAGGTATAGAGATAGATAGAGATAGAGACAAAGAAAGGGGATGAAGAGAGTTTGTTTAGGTAGTCGACTAGAAGTAGTAGCCTCACCTAACTCTCTTCGCTCTCCCACCTTGTCCCTGCCTCATCCTCTTCGACCCTCCTCCTTTCCCAATTCCATTCCCACTCCCACTCCCACTGCCTCCTCCTTCCGTCCCCGCCGTCCACCTCGACCTCAAATGGCTCACAAGCGAGCTCAAGCGTGCCGTATACGCCACGGGCCCGCCCTTCTCCACAATCCTTCGCTGCAGCGCCGTCAGCTCGTCGACCCACGGGCCCAGGATCTCCGGCGGTATCGAGGCCAGGATGTCGACGACGAAATTGCGATCCTCCCCGCCGACGAGCCGGAAGAACAAATTGCGCTCCGCCTTCGCCCGAGCCCGCGGGTCGTTCTTCTTCATTCCCTCCTGTTCGTCGTCCTCCTCCTCCGCTGGGTCGTCCACGTCCCGGTCCCACTCCACAACCACCTTCTCCAATATGTGCACGGCCGCGCTCGCCGCCGCCCGCAGCTCCCACCCGCGCAGCGGCCGCGCCGTGTTGTGGATCGCCCCGCGGATCTGCCGCGTCACCCGCGCCAGGTGCTCGGCGCACCATCGCACGTCCTTCCGGGCGCGCGGGGGAGCCCCGCGCGCCGCCGGGTTCTCCGCGTACTCCCGGAGGCCCGCGAGGGCGGCGTCCGCGCGGCGCTGCAGGTCGCGGAACTGGTTCGAGTAGGAGTACGAGTAAGAATTAGAGTAAGAATAGGAATTGGGGTGGGAGTAGGAGCCGGGGGACTGGGGCGGGGACTCGTAAGCGTCCGCGTCCGCGTCCGCGCGCATCGACGACAGGAAGTACTGGAAGAAGTCGTCGTTGCGGAGCAGCATGCGGAAGATGGTCTGCTCGAGGTCGCCCCTCTTGACGGCGCGCTTCCCCCGCCGCGGGTTGTCGAACAGGTCCGGCCGGTACTCGTCGGCGGGCACCTCGCTGAGGGAGGCGAGCATCTCGCGGGTCTCGCGGACGCGCCGGGGGTTCGGGTCCGGCGACTGGCCGACGACGTCGCAGTGCAGGCTGTCGGCCAGCATGTCGAGGTGGAAGTCCGAGATGGCGTCGTACGGGTTCCCGAGCTCTGCCGGGTACCCGTGCGGCGTCAGGGAGAGCGGGCTCCGCTGGGCGCCGAGGACCTGGCTCGTGATCTGGTCGAACAGCCACAGGATGTGCCGGCAGGGAGACTCCCCGCGCTCGCCGCTCTCGCAGGTGCAGCTCGGGGTGCCGTAGCCGCTCTGCTCCGAGCCGGTCCGGACGGTGTACTCGACCGGCTCCGTTATCAGGAAGAGGCAGCGCTCGTCGCCAGCTTGGCATCCGCGCAGCGTGAACTGCGGGGGCACCTCTATGGCCCGGTTGACGTTCTCCCGCGTCTCCTCGTCGAGAAGATCCAGCGAGTACCGGAGGTTTGACGGAGAAACCATGAAGCCGTCATCGTCGACGTCGAAATCCCTTTCCGAGTCGGACTCGGAGCTGGAGTCTTCCACCTCTTGTTCTCCTCCTTCTTGTTGATCTTGTTGTTGTTCTTGTTGCTGCTGCTGTTGTTGTAACTTCCGACTTTGAAGACGAGTTATAGGCGGCATACTTCCGAGTGAGAGCCTGCTGAAACGTTCCGATGGTGGAGACATAAGTGACGAGAAGCGAGTTAAGATGAAACGAAGGTGATACCGAAGGATTTCTTATACACATACGTCTTGGGGATGTGACGAGACGGTGGTTACTTATAACATAGTCGCAGGGAGGCAGGCAGACAGGCCAGAGCAAGCCCCTAAAAGTCCGACATGGTGACAAAGAAGACCCGGTACCCAGACCGCTCGGTCCAGGTTGGTTCGATGTGCAGCCATACTTTACCTATTTCGTGCGAGTTACGAACAAATTAGTCGTAGAATGAGGAGGGATAAGGGAAGACCAGAATCCTCAGCCACGGGTCAAGAATTGGGCAAACGAACGACTCGAAAGGGACGTTGCAGCTGAAACGATATATGATATGCATTTATTATCCCGAACGAGTAATCGCTGGACCCAAGGGGATGGTTAGGACTGGCGATGCCGAATCTTACCTCATGAGATTCGCTATTGCTGACGGTAGAGGACGGACGTATAGCATAGCATCTGAATAACTTGGACGTTGTTGCGTGCGATATTACCCTGTGCGACGAATGGGGACGAATGCGATGGGCCTCTAATCAGCCACAGGGAGGGACCGGGGGGGTCCATGATTGGCAAATAATACGAGCGGAAAGTTCGTCGGAGCGGTGATTTTCAACATTTTGGACCCCTTCCCCCCTTTCCCCCCTTCCCTTATTTTCTGCCTTGGAGGAGAAGAGGCAGCACGGATCCGTAGTTGTGGACTCGCATATAAAGCACGGCCGGGGCCCTCGATGCGACCGCCGCTGATATGAGAGGTTCGTCGTGTCTTTGGGTCGCGATTTGGGCCGCGAAGCCTCCGTGCTAGGCCGCCTCTTGGCGCGACCACCTCGTCAGTTTTTTTAGTGTTTTTTGTCTTTTCCCACCGATGCCGACCCATTAGGCGGCCAGCGAGGCTTCTTACACACACAATCTCTTTTTCTAACACATTCCTCCGTTTCAATTTCTTCCAGAAAAGAAAACACAATTGAGGACTCCAGCTCTAAATTACCATCATTTTTGAAAACTCAACGACGAACGAGGTCCCCCCCAAAGCGATCAAAGTTCGTGTGCCGCCCTTGCGCATTGGGCCGACCTCTACGTGCTGCTCCGATTTAGGATTTCTCCGAACTACCCCGGATACTCGCATTGCCTATTCCGGTATGGAATTTCGAACCGGTATAATATCATCCGGCACAAAACTTTGCGGACGCGCGGAACCATCAGCTTCTATTCACTTATGACTTATGTGGTTCGGGCCGACGAAGCTTCCTATATGGCACCCTTCCTTATAGCTTCGCTGTATAGCCTCAATGCGAATAATGGTCTTCGTCGCAGTAATGCACGGACATGGAGCAACTGCTGCAGATGGATAGGTACCTAAGTCAAACACCGAAGTGGTATAAGCTCCTGGTTATGATCTCGGTAGAAAGCATACCTACCTAACCTACCTACCTGGGTATCTAACCTAAGGTAGGTAGGTATACGATGCTTTGCCTCCCCCAAAGTACTCGGTACTAGATCCCATTGGGCCCTTCCAAAAAGGACCTTGCGGTCGCTAGGTTATGAGGTCCTGGGACGACACTACGGTAATAGCCAGTCAGCTGCGCCGCTTTGGTATACTCCCCTTTCACCTCAACAGTTTGCCACTTCGGCTAACCAGTTGTCATTAGGGGTAGTGTTGATTGCACGTTTGGGAAGTTGCCAACTAGCGTAGAGTTGGGATTAGCACTTCACATAGTCAGTCAGTCAGTGGAAATTGTTTTCTCTGCTCTTCTACCAGGACTTCGGACGGGTCCAGGGGGTGGTAGCCAGGCCCTTATCCTATCGAAGCGTCGGCATCCTAGTTCCTTGCGTCCTTCCCAACTTCTTTCTTTCTAGACGCAAAGACTTTGGCTTCGTCACTCTGTGCCATCCCTACCTCACGCTGAACCCATCCTGTGGCGAAGTACCTAGCAACACGTTGTTTCTCGTGGCCTCGGTATATCACCTAAGGGGGGGACTCAAGATATACCGATAGGGCTTGACAAAAGCCAATTGGCTACCAGCCCACTGGCGCAATCTTAGAGACGCCTGCTTGGAGAAAGCTGTAGATACCTAATGATAGGCATCTAAGACACAGGGGCCGACGCGGAATTTTCCTGCTTCTCCCTTTTTTTGGAATCTGCCTAACGGATAAGTCGGGAAGAGACGAGGACGATACAATGGCGAAATGGCTCACGATTCGTCAACATAGCCCCGTAACTACAAACGAGTGTAGTGGAAATTAGGTCGTTCAATAATAGCGTCGTTGGCGACAAGTTGAAGTAGAGGCTAAGGTGCTCTTGAAGACAGTCGGGAAGGCAATCTGTACAAACTTGGGCAACAAGGGAAGTGGTGGCTCGACCTAATAGCATTTACTCCTAATCTCGGGGAACTCTCGGATGGCTCGAAAAACTCTATGTCTGATCATAATTCTACAGTTGAATACTCGGATTTTTCTACCTCTGAAGTTAGGTCCTATGCTCAATTTTGGCAATATCCTCTGAGTAAGTCATTACTATACTTTGACCCCTAATAAATACCTTTTCCGAGTCTTTCTGCTCTAGAATGCTTGGCAGGGGTTTCTTTCACGGCGGCATGATTAGGGTACGCTAGGAATCATTTGGAAGCATATTATATATTGATACTGACTCTTATACCGAAAGGAACGTGGAGTGAGATGCTTGTCTCAGTAGTATGACCAGGTTTTCTTAACCCCCCTTCTTAGGTATGGTTGGTTGCATAGCCTCAGATGGCTCCGTTCTGGAATGCTAATAGCTCTTCCAAGACCTGGTGCAAGGTTGGGCGCTCGAAGTAGTTGTCGTTCCATTTCCCCTTACGACGTTGGGAACCTCTGACTTCCAGAAACTTCTCTGCTACTTCGATTTCGGTCGACCAGAAGCGCTTTGCAGCCTGCTTGACCTCGTCGGCACTCTGTTCACTGACTGGTTTATTTGTTAGAACAAGCTGGCTGTTTCGCCTTATAATGAAGTTGCCAAGAGCCTCTCGTCTACCCCTCGTACATTTGTCTATCAAGGCTCTCATCGCAGGAGGGGTTCTCCTGTACTCGGGAAACTCAAGATCGGGTTCCCATCTATACGACTGCCACACGGCGGCTTTCTGCGGACCGCTGGCCCCTTCAAAGATGCACCACAAGACTCTCCCAAGCATGAACACCTCGGCAGCTTCTTGCTCTGTTTCGCTGAGGGCGATCCATGGTACGTTGAATCCATATTCCGGGTTGGTGTATTTTTCACTCTCCAGTTCTTCGAATCCTGGGACCAGTTCCTCCATTATCTTCCGGTATTTATTGCCTATGGCTTCGGGGACACACTCGTCGGTTGCAATTAGGCGCATGTATTCAATAGCGTTAACCTCCGGTGCCGCAAACTCGCACCATACGCCTCTCTGCTCAAAATCAACCATGATGACGTCGGATTTCTCCGAAAGTACAATATTGTCGAGCCGCAAATCAGGGTAGTATGTTCTAGAGCGAGTTTTCAAATGTTCGAGAGCCTTCGTCAGCTGTATTGACCACTTCAACTGGTCACTGCGATGCAGTAGACCATGAGCTTGTAGACTTGGCAGAACATCCCGAATAGTACCTTTAGGGTGATAAAACGTAGTGAAACCAGCGATAGCCTTCTTGAAACCGAAATTGCACCTCTTTGTAACGACGTGCATCGGCCGCCTAACGATGTTCTCATGGGGTTCGATGGTACAGAGAGTTTTCAGTTCGTGGTAAAGGTATTTCGCCCCACTGGTCAATGCCTTGAAAATGAACAGCTCCTCGTTAATTCGTACGAGACAAACGCTATCATGTAGAATTTGGACAACGTGAAGATCAAAAAAGTCGACTACCGGAGGAAATGGGAAGTCAGGGCCCCAAAAGTAAGCCAACTGTGAAAGTGGAAGTAGCTTGTGCTCCAAGTTATGGTTGAGGCCGACTTTAACTTGGACCTGGTCTGTGTCGAGTGCCATGTTCTCCAGAATCAGACGTGAGCCAAAAGGCACGCCTTTATAGAATTTTTCAAAGGATGATAAGTCATGAAAATCGGTCGTAGTCCAGCGCTGGAGGATTCGAACGATGTGTTTCGCTACGGCAAGTCTAGGTAGCCGAGCGGAGTCCTTGGTGTGGAAGGCCTTGTCTAATTCGAGCTGGTCACGGATAAGACGCGGTTGTGAATTAGAAACGAAGACGTCCATGCGTATAGGGGGAACATGTTTAATGAAAAGCGGGATCACGTAATATTGGCTGCCCAAGCCGGCACAACCATCGACGCGCCATAGGGGATTCAGGGGCGGGTCAAGGCTGTCTATACGATTCTTGGGATTGAGAAGAGAGGACGTCCAGGGGAGTTCAGAATAGTAGTTATCCAGATCTGGGGGTTCTGACTGTTCCTGGATTTCCGGGGGAGGTTGATAATACGCCGCGGTAGGGTGGACGACTTCTCCTATGGCTGTTGAAGACAGTTCCATCTCGAAGTTGATGTTGCTTTCTTAAAAAATTAGCAGATAACCGTAGTAACTTCGAAGCCGGGGTAGTGATTGATTAAAAGGCAGTGTATTTCTTTTTTTGCAAACTGACATCATGGGAAAGCTGCAGTGAATGTGAATTCTGAAGACATCTGGAAGGTCTAGTCAGAAAAAGTTTCGAATTGGATTCAGCTGAAGGTAAGTTTTGCTTTCCAACGTGGAATGACCACTTGATGCTCCGAGAGGCGAACAGCCACAGAAAGCAAGAGCCAAGAGCCAAGAGCCATCTTCTATGATCTCCGTTTGCGATTTCCGCAATTGAAACCTGCATCTGAGTTGCTTCTATGAGAGAGTACTTCTTCATAATAGTACTTCCAGATGTCGCTATAGAAGTAAGGTACTCCAACGTTCAACGTGGCCACTCTACCTACATGATATCCAACTGGGATGACCATATGCTGCTTCTGCTGCGGCTGCTGCTATGCGATCGGATGTCGTAAGAGGTGGTATATATTAGGTACCCAATGTGCGATAGTTGGATCTCGGTAAAAAAGGGGGGGAGGCGTATAAGGAAAAAATAAATAAATAAATCAATACTTGGGGGTACTCGTCGGTGCCGTGTATCGAGAGGCGGATAACCGCAGGCCTAGATTACCTTTATTTTTTCTTCTTTTCTTTTTTTTGTTGGAGAATTTCTTCTCTCTCTCTCTCCATCCGATAGTTCCTTGGCTGTCTTGCAGAACTATCTTATCTGTAATTCTTCTTAAGTGATATCCAATAGCACTGTTTCGTTCCTCGTGAGGTTAAACTGTGTAGGTAATGACTGCGTATGAGTGATGAAGCCGGTCGAGGGACAGGCAAGAGTTTCTCACTTCCAATATTGAAGAGAACGTTTCCAAACCTTTCCCCCTCCCCTTCAAAATCACCACGGGCGCATTGGTATCTGTCTCTGGTCCGATCCTTTGTAATCTTGAGTATATTATTCGCGCCAATTTCGGGGGGACCCAAAAAAAACACAGCTTGGGGGAAACCCAGATGGATCGCGAATTATCAAATAACAGCCATTGAAAAGCAGGGTGCGCTGACCGAATATCAGACCGGTTGCCAGCCATTTTCTCAGACTTTATTCCAAGCGGTAGTCGGCCCTAAATCTGAGAAAAAAGAAAAGCAAATAGGGGGATACCCCGTTAGATTAGGCACAGATTTGTCCCATGATTGGACGCGAGAGAGGCTGGCTCCGCACGGCTTTATAGGTAGAAAGTCCAGGTACTTAATGTTTGTTAAGTTTGCGACCCAAGCTTTTCTACCTACCTTGTCATATTATTATTAATGTATTTAGCTAACGCAGCGTCAGTATACTCAACACCGTTTTAACTGGTTCACCATATGTATAGCGCGTTCCTAAATGGGCATCCCGCATCTCCTAATCTTGTTAGTCGCGTCCTCTCCTTAAGACAGATGCTAGGATTAGAGAAATAGCTCTGTAGGGTCTTGTTAGACTCGTTGACTGTTGATCGTTGACCCGCTTCTTTACTATGCCAATTCATGATCGGTCGGTCTGAGGCAGGTCTGGAGACCACGAGCGCTGGTCGGTGAATGTCAATTTTCCATAGTTGGGCTGGAGCTATTTGAGCTATCAACAGCTAAGAATCTGAACGATATCTTCGATGCGGCCCATGGGGGCCTGATGATGTGGGATGCAACATCGGGGAGTGCTGTGGCCTCTATATATCGTCAAGGAGACGTAATGACGCTAAGTTGAAAAAGATTGTCTATCTGCGTAGTCTCGATTAGTTTAGGTTAGGTTAGGTAGAGAGATGTGGATTTCTCATAGGGCTGAGATATACGATACGGGTGGCTTGGCATTTCCCAATATCTACATACACTGGATCCTCATCGCCAAGAAGTCCAGGGGCCACTTTCAATCTAGATAGTAGTTTAAAGGTCAACTTAAAAAAGAAGAAGAAGAAAAAAAAAAAACGATGGAATTACCAGGTATTCGGTCCACAACCCCCTTACTACCAATGTAGATAAGTACCTGAAGTAGATAGGCACCGTAGTATGCATTTTAAGGGGTGTAGTGTAGTTTGGGTAGCCGTAACGTTGGAATGAAGATTCGTATCAATTGTCAAGTACAAAAACTTCTCCGAGAATGACTATGGTATGTATCACTTAATAAAGAAATGTTGTATTTGATTTTTGAAAGTTCAAGTTATAGACATAACTAACGAACCTTAGTTCGAGTAAAAAGTTATAATAAGAGCTTTAAACCAGGCAGCTACGTTTCGGTTTCGGGAGAACCGTGTTCATAATATACGCATCGGTTTATTATCTGCTATATCTGGCAGATCAACTTACATGTGCCTAATATCAAACAACCATCATGACTTCCATGAGCACTAGTGACTTATCATATAAGCTCCATTGGAGCCGATGGGTGGTGTAGGTATGAGGTAAATATAAAGAAGGCTCGGGCCGAAGATCAGATAAATATCTTAGGGTGAGCCGTGAGAACCCACGTGGCGAACTAATTATGGTTTAAAAAAATAATAACGTGAGATCTAAAGTGGGAGGGTTTTCTTTTAAGCGTGATGGGAACTCCAATTCGGCTGATCGCCCCTATAGCCCATGATGTCACTCGGGTAAATTGGGAAAAATGATATTAAGATACATAACGATAGCGTCTGGGCTCGACTAATAGGTAGAATATGTTCTTGGAATATTCGGTTGACAACCGAGAATTGATGTCGCGATTCGGAGCGAGGCGGTGTCCGAGCACATCATCTCATGCAGAACTGGCAAAGCTGACTTTTACAACCATTCATTTCGTCTTGGTGAGATTCATCTGTGTTTTCTTGTTTTCTGAGACGGACGCAAAAAATCCCGCGACGAGGAAGTACATTCATAAACTACCTCCTACTGACAAGAGGGGCAATCCGAGACACGTGGGTGGTTAAGGTAGGAGTAAAACTGTACATACCTTAGCTAGGCAATCGACTTGCTAATTGTTGGCGCGTAGATCTTGCAAGATGCATTATGCTATTAGACTGTGGGGGGGGGGGGGGGGGGGGGGGGGGGGGGGGGGGGGGGGGGGGGGGGGGGGGGGGGGGGGGTCGG